GAGAGAGAGAGAGAGAGAGAGAGAGATGTGTTTTTTTCGTAGCTTACTACGAAAAGGGTAAAGTAGATAAAGCGCCTTTTATAATAACCTCTATACAACTTAATCAATTTGCCATGATAACAAATTTCGGAAGCTGCAATTTTCTTATCATTACTTGCAACATTTCCTTAAACATTTCCTTTGAGCAGATGACACATTTTTTCGACTTCTAAATGTTACCACCATTTGCTATCTAAACTGAATCTGAAAATGATTTATTTCAGATGATGATAAGAGTGTAACATGCTGTCTTTTCTTTCGTTACTGGTACTGCTAGAACAAAGGAAAAATAATGGGATATCATTACATGTTAAAGATCCAAGTCATTCCATGGGCTAGAATTAAAGGAAGATCTTCAAAAGATTTACCAACATCCATTTGCATTTCTTATCTGGGCACAAGAAACCAAAATTATTTCAACGGGTAAACCAACATATACACGTACAACAATGAGCGAATCAAGACAGGACTGTTCCTAACCGCCATTCATCATATTGGAATGTCATAGGCGCAGGAAGTCGGCCATTACTGTCTCAGCGTGTGCGCCACCTCACGCTAATCTACCAGGAGGTCTTCGTCACGTCTGTGGTAACCGTGTCAAGAAGGTCACGTGTGTATACATGTGTCACCTCTCCAGGTGACAGCTGACAACCGTGTTAACCTTTGCTGGTAATCTGAGCAATATTTCGGTCATCGGTTCTCAATGGAGGGATTTTATGGCATGATATGTGTTGCAATAGTCAATGAATATGTATTTCATTCAGTTTAAAGTTTTGTTATTCAATGTTTCAAATTTTATGCAATATTCTCTTTTTCTTTCAATGTTGTTTCATTTTTTTTATGCAATATTTTTTTTCATTCAATATTTATTGAATATTGCAACACATATCATGCCATAGCATTTGGCTACAATATTGGCAATCATGCCCATTTACTTTTATTCAATATTTACTTCTCCTTTTGGAAATAATTTTTGAATATTTCAGGAAACCTTTCAGTGCAGTTTAACACTGCACTTATGCAAGCATTTGCGCTATGAGCTTGTTTGAAGAATGCTATTGGAATAAACCAATAAAGCAAGGGAAAACCATCAGTTTAAACAAGGGAAATTAAAGCTAATAATGAGGTTCCAAACTTAACAAAATAATATCCAACAGACCTGTCTATAACATCGATTACAATGGACCAGTAAATCAGCAGTATGATTGTGTTTTACGTCACTTCCACGTAAAAACAGCCCAAAACATTATAGAGGCGGGTATTATTGTAAATTCCAACGCCCAAAATACTTACTGTTACACAATCGTAGACAGACAATGGTCTGTGATTAACCATATAAAACAAAGCGCTACTCTCAGACTTGATTTTAACTTTTACATTGTAATAAAAGAATGGCTCGGGGAGGATCAAATACGGGAAAAAATGTATGATTTTTTTCTAACCTTTCTAACTTTTTTTTGGTTAATTTGAAATGTGATGGTATTTGTTACAAGCTCCACTATCAATAGGGCAAACTGGGTGAAACCAAGGATCGGTGTCACAAAAAGAACCTATGGTTTCCTTCATTGATCTTAATAAAAAGAGCAAAAAAAAAAAAAAAATTAGTCGAATATCAACCAGCTTCAAAATTACCCCGTGGTAGTGCCGTAAAATAAAAGTTACAATACATTGGTCCTAAGCATTTCCAGTTTCCATTACAAACCATGCACAATATCTAATTTTAGAGGATCACTACTGGTTTAAGGAGTTGTATGAAACACGTCAAAGTAGACGTCAAAAGTGAATGTAGACAAGAAAGTATATTCCTAATCTTTAGATCAACCTTTTGTCTTGCAGTCCTCTGTGAAACAGCCCCAGGTCAATAAACCAGCCTTAACCCCCAGCAAACAGAAAGTTTTATAACGTTAATTTTTTGGTTATATGAACGCTATAATAACGTTATAAAGCTAATACATACATCTTTCCCAGGACAACCATCCAATCCTCGTTCCCCTGGTGGTCCTTGAATTCCTCTTGCGCCCTAATAAATCATAAATAGTCAGATAAATAAATAAATGAAGTCCAACAACGAAAATTAGGAGTGTATTAAAAACGGGTACGAAATCAAATAATCTTAGGAAAGAAGTTTCGTTACTACATAAAAACACGGCATAGAAATAACATAACAGTCACGCAGGCCAAAAGTGAAGTGTCTACTAAAAATACTCTGGTATATTACTAAAACAGTATATTACAAAAACTTAACTGTAAACATTTTAGATCTGACATACTACACACGCATGACTTATAAACATTGGCTTGCATATCGACCTCAACCAGGTAATGTTTAATTTAAGTATGTCCTTGACTGATATTCTCATCTCATTTTGTTTACACCAATGCTGCCAACATCGCTCAAAAACAACGTAACATCAAAAATGATCAAATATACATTATTGGAATGTCTAGCTGTATATTTCTTACCGGGGTTCCATCTCTGCCATTGAATCCTGGTAGTCCTCGTGGCCCCTGGAAGCATATTAAAATGTAACGTTTCTATATACATTGTATATGTGCGCACGCACGCATGCACGCACGCATGCACGCACACTAATTTCAATATTAACAGGATTTTTCGATTTAAAACATCATCTTCATTCATTGAGATGCTTTGAAATAGAATTTTTTTATATCCAATTGAAAAGTCGTGTGTTTCAGTATAGAAAACTAAACCCCTCTCATTACTACAGTCAACCATATCAAATGATGGGATAGTTCTTTAAATAGTTCATTAAATCTCTTTTTGAAAACAGACAATTACGCGTTCATGCATCCCATATACATGTGCATGTATACCATTTAACACGTAGGCCTTCTGCGTTAGGCAGATGTTGGGTGGATTCGGTTCAATTAGGCAACTGACGTCACCAGCATTTTGTCTTAATGCAATGACAGCTTACAATGTTATAAATGTTTTTGGGAAATTTCAGTTTGGATTGGACAAGAAATGGTTTTTTTAACCAAAAAGACAGTAAATTTCAAAATGTTAAGTGCTTTGTGACTGCAGTGGCAATTCAACTTTAATTTTAGGTTTTTTTAAAACAAGATTAAAAAAACACAGTATATAAATATATATATATATATATATATATATATATATATATATATATATATATATATATATATATATATAACAAAAACACCGATTGGACATTACACACTGTAAATGCACTATCATTCCAAATATTGTCAAACTTAACTGCAAAAAAAAAAAAAAAAAAAAAAAAAAAAGTTTCAGTTACTTCCACAGTTGTAGAATGTGCTCAAAATCAAAGTACCGCGCAACTAGTTTCCACATTTTAAAGATAAAATCTCCTTGTCAGAAATACGCTTCCTGATTTTACAATGTAACTGCTCGACGTTTGGCTCTCTGTGACCAGAATTTAAGGTCATAGAAAAAAAAATAGGCGTGTGGCGAAAACACGCTGTGCATTGAATCACGTCTCGACAAGCTCGCCACATGCTATGGTCACTTTTATAAATAAATTTATTATTTTCCCTTATTGGCTGTGATGGGACTGTGACGGCACGTGCTGAGCCCAAGGTCAAGGTCGTCACTGCTCTTACAGCTATATGAATGTCACAAGGTAGTCGTTTAGTAGGATCCAAAGGTTAAGTACTTTGTGACTGCGTCGTAATTCAACTTTAATTTTCTTAATAAAAATTATAATTTTGACATATGTAAAATGAATTGTAGGTCAAGAATCAAACTTTTAACCCTCGAGAAATTGATTTTGATTATGGCTTGGACCTAAATCTCTAGTTAGGTCCAAGATTATGGTAAATGCCAACTAAATTGCGAGTCTTGCAGCTCGAAATGACCAACTACTCGAAATGATTTCATCTATAGATATGCAAAAAGAGCTACTTTGAAATAGCTATACGTTGATTGCTACTTATGACTAATACCAATGGAAAACTCACAGTGTGTTGTTTAATGATTTATGGACATATAAATTTTAACCATCAAGATGACCTATTTTCAAAATTTTCATGTCCTCGACATTCTCTTTAAGCGCAATGCGTACGCTTAAATATTCTAAAGCCACCATTAAGCGATGCAAATATGCAAAGTTATCTTAAGTACAGCCACAACTTTAGGCATCAGATATCAAGGCAATGGCGTACGTTTTCACGGTTTTCTAGCATTTAGATTAAGTAGTTTAGCTGCCAAAAATCCTGCTGTGAAAAGCAATTTTCCATACCGTAGGGATCCTTCACATTTTTTGTGAAACTGTCGCCAAATACTTTCAGTCTAACAGAGGTCACCAAAGGCAATTGCAAGGGAAATAATAGTAAATGTGTGACTTATTGAATGATATGGAAACTTTATACTAACCACTTTCCCTATTCCTGTTTCAGCCAGTTTCACCAACACGACTACCTTCAATGTACAAATAAACAGTACTTCCTTGTAAATAGATACTCACCCTGTCTCCCTTAGGACCCACTGCTCCCGGCACACCAATCTCCCCCTTCGCACCCATCATACCCGGGGGCCCAATTGGCCCCGCTGGCCCGGGTAAACCCTGTGGACCTTCGGGGCCAACCTCGCCCTAAAATAAAAAATATGATTTGAATTTTTTTATCCACATTTTAGAAGACGTTTTTGCGACTTCTGAAACTAATTAGGTAATTCAACTGTGGCACACTAAAGAACAAAGTCAAGAGAGCTAAGAGTGAATGCCCCTAAATATATCGTTTTTGTTTGTGTCTGGAGGCCTGTGATACAAGCTGCTCTGTGTTAAATGCTCACGGCTGTAAATTGATGTAAAAGGATTCTTTGTCAAAATGCAAAGTGTTTCTCTTTTTCTCTTAATTTAAGCCATTTCGTTCATCCCCAAACGTGTCAAGCTTTCAATCTTAATTCGTTAGTAGCGTGGCTACTCATGAAGAAAGGTTAAAACGTTTTGTAAACATCCTGATAAACGTCATATATATGTGGAGAATACTACTTAATTCAAAATATCTATAAAACTTGTGAGCAATTTCCTTGACAATACATTTGGGCAGTCGCTCTCTCTACACTTTGTTCCTTGGGCTGTGACATCACAGAAGCAAGTACTTAGATTTGATATATAACCCTGTCCACGCCCCGTGTCAACCTAACTCTTTAAAATGCTGGGCTGAAATTGTTTCAATAAAAGAGACGTATTGCAAGACGAATTTGAAATGACGTTAATCAACCTAGGATTATATGTCACGAAATATTTGCCAAATTTTCACCAATTGCTGAAATTTAAGAACACTCACATTAATTATAGAAATAATTTATAGGATATTTGTTACTCTCCCAAATATACATGCACTACGTTTGTTCTAAGTACTCGAATTAAGACGGTAAAAGCAGTCGTCCAGAAATACTGTATAAGTTAATTTAAAAGATTCAAACTTGGGATATGAAAGTGACTACACTTTATGGCAATTTTTTTTTAACCGGTTCACTAAAAAGTAAAAAGAAATTACCAAAACATGGTCCTAATTTGGTTAATGAAACATTATGCTTGTTGTGTACAAGGATTGGCTATGTTTTATACCAACTGTTACTTTAATACTTTTTGCACTACTGCGTATTTATGCCGAGTAGATTAAAAGGTGTCTAAATTCCTCTCGCGAAACTGTTAACGTATACCTGCCCTTTACTTTCCATGTGCATACGCTTACCGTTAGACCACGTGGTCCGGGTGACCCAGGCTCTCCGCCAGCCCCCTGCAAGGTAAAGATAACGGTTGTACATGTATCATATATATATATATATATATAATATAATAAAATGATTGTTCTGCTCTCTTCAAACATTAGCCGAAAAACTATTACAGTAATTGCCTTAAGTGCGCAGGTGTTATAAAATCGAAATTGTATACATACATTTAAATGTAAAGTAACATAGTAAAGTGGATAGTGAGTAAGTGGTTATTTAATCTACCGCCAGTTACTATTTCTTTATGCTGTAATGTTCAAACGGTAACTGACTTTGCCATTAATAGATAAACAGCATGGATTTTGGGTGTTGAAACCTGCTAACATAATTTGAAATGTGAAATAAGACTTGAATTCTTGATAAAACTTGAATTGGTCGTTCTGCTAAAGGGACAAAATTCAAGTCACAATAGAAGGTAAGGTGACTCGATGTTATTACAACTGATACCCAAATCGATACATATACTAGATAGATAAAAAAAAGATATAGAAAGAGTAGTGACAAACAGGGATATAGATGTCATTCAACAAAATTTTTACGGATTGGAAACGAAATTTCTTTAATGGATGATTTCTGATTTATACACAAGATTGTTTTTTATCCGAATTTTGCTCGTTGAACCTGGAATAGACGTGATGTCATATTGTACAGATGTGTGCAAGATAGTCCACTGAGCATTGGGGCAAAACCCATAGTAATGCATGGATAAAGGAAAATGAATTAAACTAATATTGCGAACTTCAAAAGCACACATACATGTTACTGATGGTTTTTACGTTTTGTAATGATAGTTTATTGAAAAAATCATTTTAGAAGAAGAATACAGTATTACTATGTGTTCTTAATCGCAGAGCACTAACAGGTTCTCCGCAAGTAGCATGCATCCAACTTGGAGTGCCGTGAATGACGTCACTTCATTACGTAACTAATTCGACAAAATGCTGTTACTTTTTGGCTTTGCGATAAGAAGTATTTTCAACTGCCAAACAAGATTCTGATGATCCTTGGGTTAGGATTAGGTGATAACTGGATTAACACCCTTGGGGTGTTTCTAATTTTGTTTCGAGAGAAAATAACATCGTTAGCATGAAAAAGTAAAAAAAAAAAGACAACCCATTACTTATATAATTTGATATACTAAAGTGTATTTTTACAGTTATCGTGATACTTTCACCTGTTAATTGCAATAGTTTTTACCCCATGTAACCTTTTTCGCCCTTTCTTCTCATATCTTAGTATATCAAAGTTTTAGAGTCGCCCCCCGCAGAGGAATGTAGTGATAACGTTATCACAACTGTTTCGGTTTGTTTCCAGAGGTGGTAAGCCAATTTTGTGGTACGTTTTCTCCACCCCACCACGTGGACTGAATTTCGACAAGATGTAAATGGAAAACGAAAAAAAAAAGAAGAATCACCGTCGAGCTAAAACCCTGCTATAAATCTCTGTCGGGTTTATACTAAGCTACTGCTAACACTTATCGTAATCTTTAAGGTCTTTCCAGCAAATTTAGACCTCGATTTCTGTGTTCTTGTCCATTTTGGGGTGGATACATGCAAAACAACAAAATAAACAACAATTTACGTGCCCCGCTTTTAAATAGGCCACCTGTTACACAGTACAATATAAGCCTATATGTGAATAAACATCAGTTTTTTCCTTCTATATATATATGGATCATGTCAAAGTTAGTGATCAACAAGAGAACTGCCACAAACTTACTCTTTCACCTTTTGACCCCTCGGGGCCAACCAATCCGATCTGTCCCTGCTCTCCCTTGGGCCCCTGTGGACCATCCGCCCCCACATACCCAGGCGGTCCCCTTAGGCCCTGCTCTCCTTTTGGCCCGGGTAAACCCTGAAATCAGTCAAAAGAGCAAAATGTGATTATTCAAGGTAAAAAATACAAAGATCTAATATGGTTAAACCCCAGATGTAGTAAAATAAGCAGAAATATAACTATCCAATAAAGTATGATGGTTCTGGCTTAAAAATTTCAACATTAGACAGCATTACATACTGCATATGCCGGTAGTAGTGTATACTACTTAAGATGAAAGGCTTAGAAATATCTACTCCTTGGCCATGTGATAGGTCAAAATATGTTTTTGAGTGCATTTCACTTTCGTCGTACCCAAAAGAAATGGTTTTTGTGAATACTTGAAGGTTGTTGGACTGGAGCTAATTCTCCCAGGTTCAAGGACCAGAGAGGATTTAAAGACAGGGAAGAAAAAACTGCATCATAAACAATATAAAGCTTGCAGTAGGGCCTAATTGCAGGAGGCTATAAAAGGAGGCAATCGCAGTGTAGTGATAAACAACGACGCTTCATGTACGGACAAGGTGCGATTTTGAAACTGCGGTTGACCTCGCTTGTTCCGAAAACTGTAAACAAATGAGTGCATATAAGTGGCAAATTCTCAACATCAAACAAATTAAAACTGCGCCTATGTGACCCTGTAGGTTGTACCGCATTCTTTCATAAATTTTCTCTCAAGTTAAATCATTTTGACACTTATATTGACATATGTGGCGTTCCTAACACGCTTATTTCTCAGTCAACTCTCCGGTCGGACCTAGAGAAGGACACATGGCAACCTAAAACCGCATAATAGCGAGCCCACAAAAGCTGATGACTCGATAACAGATAATAGACCTACGTCTTCGATTATCGAAAACCCGATGTCGAAAAATGGAAACAGGAGATACAGCAACCGACTGGACTGTATAACAATGGCGCTACGAGGGAAACATGCTGTTTGATCTCCTCACACCCACGATTGACACAGGCCTAATATACTCCAGTATTTGACATACAACATTTTATGGCAAGCAAATAAATGGTGAACGTCTGGTATCATTGAAGATAAACTAGTTGATGTCATACTAAATCACATATTCGCAATAAACAAGAGGAAACCGTTTTCGTCTCAATCGTGTTCAAGAGAAATGACAGTTGCTTCTACTTAAAACGCATTTGAAACCCATTTCCTTTCTTCACAGACGATGTAATTGCTGATAGAATGGGTCTGACAGGCCGTTGCGTTACTTTTTTCTTGGTTTTGAAGTGAATTTCTCGGCCGGAAAATTATATCACCACTGAATGTGGTGACAGCGTTTCTTTTTATTATTAAGATCAAGGAGCTTATATCAAGGGAAGAGGATTGGTTTGTAATTGTCTTCATGTGTCTTTGATATAACTAATACGTCCTTTCACACAAGACGAAATCGTTGTTTCTGGCGGTATACAAGTTTTGTGTGAAGAGAGATCGTAGGGTCAAACATGCTCAGATCTCTGCATTGTGGCAATCACCTTTTAAAGTAACTCTTTAATTTCAAATCACGTCTTAATAGGCCTTGCACAAATGTTTGACAAAAATTTTTCCGGTTAAAGTGACGAAAGTCTTGCCGATATGAGCACAATTCCGTTATCATAATCCGACTGCGGTGAAACCCAATTAGTTTGTCTTACCACACGCACTGTTTCCGCTTTTGTTTATACGTCACTGGAGAGCTGCGCGTTACGCAACCTTGCTATAGTGTAATGGTAAAAGGAATAAAAAATGCAATAGAACGAGTGCTGTACACGGAATGGCCCTTCTAGTAAGGCTAAACATAGGCAGAGTTTCGATGTTATATTAAGCGCTAAAACTGCCCCAAGTTATGGTCGCCAAATACATTTAAAAGTTATTTTGACGAGTTGTAAAGTTGTTTCTCCTATTAACGTTACATGTGCAATTTATTAGAGTTGGTATTCTAAATGCCTCGCCCAGCAGGTCCTTTTAAACAGTTTAAGTTGCATTAAACTTTCTGTAGAGTATCATAGTATGGCGACATGACAGCATAGACGATTTTTAACGTGTCATATTTCAAATGATTTAGTTTTTCTAAGAAGCAGTAAAACGGCAAAATTACAGAGGTAACCAACTTAATAGTGTACGTGAGGCCAGAACAACGTGACGCTGATTCACAAGTCCAATCCGAATACTGTTTCTTCCCGCGAGTGACACACAATGCTAGGGGTGTATCCCAGTTTAATTAACACACTAAATCACTAACGCACTGACAGCAGCATACTCCTGAGGAAATGCAATGGGTGGCTGCACATCTTCCATCTTCCTTTTTCACTTTAAGTAATACAGAATTAATCATGGTTCACAACCAAACATTTCCTGCACTGGGGAGGTAGGCGTACGTTGTGTTTCTGCCCACGTGCTTCAACTGCACCTTGGAGAGAAGAACTTTGATGTGCAGTGACAACCATAATTATCGCTACAAAGGAATTGTGACACCATTCGGTTTGTTTTATGGTAGAACTGCGTTGTGATGTTGTAAAAATACCATCTACTACATGTATGACTCCATCTGAGACGTTATGTAAAACATAACAGCGTTATTTGTACCGTTTGTAGTCCCGAGAGACAAAATTATATTGCAACCAGTGTGATCACTACGTGATATGTTGTAGGAAATTCAATAATATCATTTCTTTTGCGTTTAGGGCACATTGCCAGCTGACATTGCAGCCGTTTTACAATTTACATGTCGAGGATACACAGATTTCCCTATACATAACTTTTAAGAAAGTGATATCACAAAGGCAAATAAATGGAAGAGAAGCAGATTTTCTTTACCCAAGGAATTCGGGAAAAGAAAAGAAACAATCCCCACGAGGTCGAGAAAGATACATACAGGTCTGAAACGTCTTTATTAGCGTAATTGGTGTCTTGCTGATCGTACCTAGTTGACTACGTTTAGGGGCAGTCGAGGTCACTTCTACTGCATCTGTTGTGTCCATTTACAAATTGTCGAACACAGAGCCAATTACGTCCATTACAGACCCTGTTTTCTGACCAAAAGCATGCCGAATAAAGCCGCAGTTTAAATACACGGATTGTTTAACAAGTGGTTAAGGACTTCAAGGACGTAAATTAAATTATTGGAGCACTGAAAAATTTGTAACCCAATCTCGATGGAGACATTCCTTTTAAAAACATTCAAAATAGTACACCGGGTAAATCATCAATCAAACTTCTAAACTGTGTTTACTATCTGTTTATGTTTCAACTCGTCACCTTAAGAGTACTTGTAGTAATGACAAGTCCAAAGGAAATCTGCAAGTTTCCCTTCGGGTCAGGTAGGGACAGCCCATGCCCACCTGCACCGAACCTCGGCGTTGACACAGATTTAACATTAGTTAGGTACACTGTAGGTCCACCCTGGATATCAAATCTGTTTTTTGAGCTTCCTGTGGCCTCTGAAACTTAGTCTCAGGCTGAGTGGGTCTTACCTGTGGCATTTATCAAATATCGGCCCACCAGTGATACAGAAAAGTCACAAAAAGCCATAAAGAATAGCAACGACACAAAGCATGTCGTCAGAGGATTTGCAACTGGCATGAGCACTTTGTTTTAATCATTTTGGGGTGCAGAATGAGTGTGGCCACCCTTACGGTACCAAGAAGCAGCATCTAGTGTGGGAAATTGCTTCTGTCTATTTCATTAAATCATATTTAACTCAATCCTAAATGCTCACGCACGACTTTTTCTTGTTTCTTAAATTGGGGTCTGCCCAATTCACATTGGCTACGTGTTTGATTCAAAGTCAACGGCTTTGCAAGTCAGATGAGTAAAAATCGTAGCTGTGACATTAATTTCTAAGCGTGTCAACCAAACAGATTGACAAGGTTAATTGCAATACGTTGGACCTATTACACAATCGTCTAAACGAGATGAAGGTCAATAGAATTGACCTTATAGACTGCGACCAAACTACTGTTGTCATATTTTTCAATTTTATGCTTCATTACACTCTGTCACTCCAATCTTATTTAAATCAAACAAACTCATTCCAATAGTACACGGAATGTTCACTTAGATTTCCCAATCCCACCCTGAGGAGAAGTTTCAGAAAATCACTGGCACTGTGCTATGTGTATTCTAGTAGTCCAACTATTTCCAATGCAATGATATGATTTTCAGTCGGATAATTGAAAAGTTAAGTAAGGAAGCAAAACTATCAAATAGACAGACATGAAATGACAAAACTGAAAGAAGCTTAAATGAAATGACAAAACTAAAAGAAGCATTTGGCAAGTTGATGCAATATCACATATAACGATTAGCAGCTATCATCACCAATTTTCAATTACCACTATTGTACTGTGGACATTTAGAAAATGTAACAAGCACAGGGCTTCAGACTCACGCCAATTCAAAGACAAAATTAAGAAAAACAGATATTACTATATAGTTCAATCAGTTTTCGAACTCGTGTTTTAAAATCATTCTTGTGGGCTTGAGAGATGTTGATAACGAGGAAAGTGAACGGCGACGGCGACAACAGACACAAGTAATGGCTATATGTTCAAAGACATAATGCCTGTCCATTAAAACAACGGCTAGAAGCCTAGAACAAACCAAAGAGCTGATATACTAGATTTCTGCACATTCGACGGACTGATTTTTTTCTGAATTTGTGTTTTAGGTGCATTATGACACCATTTATTCTCTCAAATAACAGTTTCTTGTCAATTCTAACAGTTTGGTAAAGATTAAAACTCACGTTTCTACCAAATTGTATATTTGAAGATATTTACTTACCATGGCTCCCTTGGATCCAACACAAGAACACTGACCTCGGTTGCATTTCTGAAAGTACAAAAACACACGGTTTCAACGTATAAAGGTCAATAAATAACGAGCAAATAACCGTTTACCTTTGGTCATATATTTACACAAAACACAATCCTTAGATTTTTAACGGATATTTATCACAGGTTCTGAAGACTTGGCATCTGTTTCTACAATATATGCAAATCACATCCCTTATTTACCATGTACCTTAATGTTCAGTGAAGTACAAAAACGTACAAAAACGACGCATACATCAAAAGCAAGCATTGTTCCTTTGTATTTGTTATTGTTGTCATTAATGCAATCGACCCTCGTTTTTGTTTATTTATTTACTTTTTTCAGTAGAATATGGCCTCTGAAAACCTGACATTCATTCTCCAAGGCAAAAGCTCGCATTCTCCAGATATTCGGTACTTAGAAAAGCATTCGTCAGTTCTGTATTAGGATAAAATGCCACATGAGTCTATTGCCTAACGTTATCGGTTTCCGGAGCTTACACGCCTGCCTTGTTTCGGGTGTTCCTTTGGCTGGAGCATAATTTCAACTACAAGGCTTCCTCAATCAGCTCGGTTCCATTGCTAGCTTTGACATACAGTTTATCACGCCTCGTTGGATTTGAAATGTTCTTAGCTTTCAACACGCAAGCACGTTCACACATTGTTCTTGGTGTTCGGTTCCAAGCAATCGCAGGGGTCTTGCTAATATGATTAAAAGTTATGTCACTTTCCATTGTGAAATTAGACTTACTAGGCCTGTTTACAATGAAGCAAAGGAAATACTATGAAGACCTTTTATGTGAAGACGGGGTGGTCCTGAGGATATTCCTTTTTTTTTATTACAGATCGGTAATTTTTTTATAAACACTTTTTACGGTTTAACATAAACAAATAAAACACACTCTACAGAACCAATTAGTATATATATTGCTCAGACGTTTCTATTGAATTTCACTCATCAGGCTGTACACTGGGCGTCATTGCGGCACGACCCAATTACGTTGAATGTCGCAATCTGCGCTAAGATTAATAAATCCACCAGACTGGATATAGACAAATGGCTGAGAGCGATGGCTGAAGTAAATCAAGCAACAAGTACAATCGCGACAAAATCTTTTGCTGCAGACTGAAACCTTGTTGACTAACGCAACTAAACGCTTGGTGTTGGTTTCCATCTTGTTAACACGTTCAGGGTGGGGAAAAGAGACTGTTTGATGAAATTCCGAAGGGCTGGTTTGTGGTTTCTTAATTTCAGATAAACTCAATCAAATTTGAACTCACTTCAACTACGGGCATGCCCTAAATTAGAATTCTTGGTTTTCGAACGAAGGGTTTTAAATATGAGAATATCTACCGTGTGCAGGAAGGTAAGATACATGTACGTCGCCCTTTTGTGTTCCCGCAAAGAGACTTTCAAAGGAACTATCAAATGACGTACAACAGCGTCTTACTTATCCTATGTATTATTCAGACAGATAACAACGTACCCCAAACGATGTACAATCTACAACTATATGTGTAACGTGCCGTAGCGAACATTGCTTGTACCGACGTACATGTATGTCATGCCATTCTTGTGACATATGTACAATCAACTATTTTGAAAGCAATAAATTTAACAACAACCTTTTTGTCTGTGTGATCAGGTCAGTCAAATTCTATGAAGATCAGATTAACACTTATGTTAAATTCTACTTATGGCAGATGTGCATTTTTGGTGTGTCTTTGGAATTATAAACATTCCCTTAGACTTAAAACTTAATAAAAAGTATGCCCAAGCTTTTCAACCGTCAATTGTCATTGTTTTGGCCCATTTGATATTTTCATAACGGTTTTAGAAAGAACAAAATGGGCCAAGCGTAGGAACCAAAAATCACTTTTCGTATTAGATATTAAGCACCAATTCATAAACTGGGTAAGCGCTTGTAGATGCGTTAGAACAAACTTAGTGTTCGTGTTCAGCTTAAACATTAAAAAAAACACGTAACAGAAATTATTTCGCAAACTATCAATTGGAAAAACAAAGCAAGAAAACACAATGGAAAAGATATTAGTATGACAACCAGCAAATTATAAACCATTGCCTGCGAGTTCTTGCTGATGTTATTCGAAACAGGCAATAGTTTTTTATCACGATAGAGATGTGAACACACTGTAGGTGATTAGAAAACAACAGGCATTTTAGTCGATACCTGATAACGTGACACTCAATACCAAACACGGCTATTTTTAACAGCAGCTATAAACTACTACAACCTGTCGCTTTAAATGCAATAATAGGAATGTAAACGATTAATGAACTAATAAAAAGGCCCCAGAAAAACCACCAACAGGCGACAAACGTTTCCGTCTTTTGCATGAATTGAAATTTGACTGCCATGTTGGTCAAACAATGGCTGGCATGCTGGTTGCTCTCTGTCGTGATAGCTAGCAAGCTTTCCTCCACAACTGAACAAATACCGCAAAGAGCCGAGTCACGAAATGCAGGATGACAGGTAGATCTGTAGGTAATGCCTGCTAAGGTTCTCAAAAATATACAATTACAAACGAGACACGCTTTCATGGAATTTACCTCCCTTCTAGGGCCCTAGTACGTCGCCTCCAGCTGTTGACTTAGCGGAAAGATTAACATCTATTTTGTTTAATGGGGAGCTAATTCGCTCCATCAGTATTCTAAATGATCTTTTTTTCCTAATGATATCTTTTTCCCCTAATATTTGAGTAAAGTTGACAACTAGTTGCAATGACTGTTAATCGCACTTGGTTTCTTCTTCATATTATTGGATGTACATTCACAAATAAGCGACTTACAAAGAAGTCTTTCAAGAAAATATATGCAAGTGCTACCTTAAACTTTTTCCGAGGCTGGAGAATTTCAATCATTCACTAAAATGTCGACGCTTAAAACTCTATTAAAATGGCACTTTGTGCTACTTTCGTGCAGATGCCCAATTCTTCATTGTGGGATTTAGTCATGTTATCCGTTGCTGTACTTGATATAAAATTCCTATTAGGAAACTGAACCTACAGTTAATTTCAAAATCCTCCACAAATGGCTTCACACAAGAAACTGCTAAGGCGGCAAATTCGCAAGTCAGACAAGTTGGTATACAGTCCGCTCTATTTTCTCACATTTTAAGCGCTGTATTTGGGTTTTCACCATATTAAATGGAGACATTCCAGATGAGGTAAACCTAATCACTCAGGCAGGAAGCACGTATGTGTAACCTGCTCTGAAACTTAGGATAATGGTCACACGCAAACGTTGTCCCATATGTGAAAGTTCTGCCGAGCCTGCTGGAACACTTAGAGACAACAATAGGGGGCACTCATTTTATGATATAAATTCGACTGGCGGAGGGCCCACGGCAATTTTAAGCATATTATCAGCAGGTATTGATATGTGATAAAGCACCGTCCAAAGCATCAAAATCCTATCGTTATGGGCATTGGTGGTTCGGCAAATATTCCTCTCAACCTGATTTAATTTACACGTATGGAATGTGACACAGGAGACGAAATTGTCGTTAAAATGGGAAAAAGGGGGTCAAACATGTGACTGAACCCAAACGCCACAAATTTAATGAGAACATATTGCACTTTCTTCGTTATGCTCGCGACGTAGCCGGGTTAATTCGGGCTCGGTGTGATTTACCTCATGTTGGGTCAAAGCTGCTAACCGCTTGCCAACGCGAAGGAAACATTGAAAGTTGCAAGACTGCGACTGACTGCAATATGTAGCTTCCCTCGTTCTAGAGTGAAGACTTGACATGGCACACGTCGTAAATCCTCCGTATTTAAGCTCAGTTGAAAATAAAAAGTCAGCAGGATTTCGACTGGACCCGCCAAATTGATTTTACAATCTGCGAAAATAGTTTTTACGCTTGTATGCCCAGTCGTCCTGGCCATGTGCCTCGTGAAGTTTTCATGTTTGAAACAAACCACGGAAAACACACCAGTGCTCCGTCAGTGCTTAAAATGTATCTCTATTAGACTGAGACTCCGGGTGGAAATTGTATCTGCAAAGTGTAGGCACGGTTTAAATCATCATCGACACGGTGTGTTGACCGCTGTGATTACTCTGTGCGTGTATTGGCTTTATTTGCTGTTTCGTGGTGCGTGCAAAACAAACCCGACCCTTCCAAATGTAATGTGTTTGAAGACTAGTGTATCTTGCAGGAATTGTACAGCAGGTGTAACTTTATTAATTTAACTAATGAAAAAGAACATGATGAGAAAATAATCTGTTGATTACAAGCAGATTTGATCACGGTGTGATAAGATTTTGGGCAAGCTCGCACAACAGACAAACTGAACGCCATTGTCCATGATTGTCCTCTCTTGTTCTACACTTTGACACCTTGTAATTATTGGGTATGTTGTTATACATGTACCTGGTGCAGGAAGATCAAGAAAAAAGCTTTGGTTATGAATAGGTCCAAAGTGCACGCTACGTGGCGCTGCTATCTAGTCAAGACATCAATTTGCTGAACAGGAACATCGCTTGTAGTGAACCGTAACTAAATAATCAACTAATCAACTTCCCTTCCCTAATGTGAATTGAAAAGGGAACAAATGCCTAAACTACACTTTAACACCTTGTAATTAATAACTATATGCTGTAGTTAAAGTAACCCCTAACTTGCTTAAAAGACCAAAGCGATGATGTAATGTATCCGGGGTACTCGGTCTAACAAAGTTGCAGAAAAATCGTTTTTTTTTTTAAACTGGGTGTCATACAGAAAAAGAGCTCGCCCTTATAAACTTGTCTAAAAATCTAGACACACAAAGGCGACTGGACTCAAAATTAACGCACAAATTCAAGACCAGAAACACTTATCCCTCCCAGCAACTAGATATGAGGCATCAAATAAGGACAAGTCCTTTGTAATATGTAGCCCTGTTACCTCAGAAATTTAAGAATCTATGCAATTTACGAAAAACGTTTTGAGTTCACCGTGGGACTGCTTGCGCATGCGTAATGCTGTCAAGTTAATGACACAAGCTCACTCATTACCTACATGACTTCAATTGAATTATATAATAAAACATCACCCTGTCGCTAATCCTACTGAGAGTCGTAGTTGGAAAACTTATTCAGTTAACATCAAGAGAACATTTCTGCCGCCAATGGCTGTAGTCTACACAAACAGTCCGGTCAGCTTGGCAAACAAACGGAGACTTGCTCTTTGCAACTTAAACGATTTACCAAATTGCAAAAACCTATCAATTATTCCTTCTATGAGCAATTTTCTTTTTGTTTGCCCAGGAATAACAAAGAGCGCATGAAAAAAATTGCTTTTTGTGTTTCTGTTTAAAATTTACTAATGTAGAATGATGTGAACAGAAGCATGCGCTACTTTAAAAAGCTTCCATTTTTAAAGTTCCACAAAACAGTATCCCCATGTTTTTAATTTCTATTTAATTGCCGTTTGAAGGACATAGATCCGTATGGCGTGCTCTTACCTGGGGAATAGGTGGGAAGCCAATATCAATACTTCCAGCCTCTCTTCCCAGACCGTTATCTTCGTGCTGCACCGGGTTTACTGCGGCGTCGGTGTCGTTGGGGAATCTTGCGGCGGCTACATGCGTGGGAAATAAGAGTACATATGTGTTAATGATGTATTAATTGAAACACAACATGGTGGACATTCAGATCAAGGCGAAGGTGTCGGTCAAACGTGAGCGAGAGTTGTAGGAGTAGCGATTCCAATTAAGTAGGAGTAACGATTCCAATTGACGGCTTAATTCGGTACCCACGCTTCTCGGTGTGACTTCTTAATCTAGTACAAGACGCCATTGAATGCAAAAGAATAATAAACACAACTACGTTTACTTTTCTTCTATAATTAAAGAAGGCCTGTTATATCTGGGTGTGCAGTTTGTATACAGTCAGGAAAAAAACGCGTTAGAATATGCTTCTTAACGAAACATAAAGTAACTAGTGTTTCTTTGAAGTGGATGGGAAGGAATCTCCGGTTCGCGATCTTTATCTTGATTGGTCATCTCCCTTTTATAACAACAAAGTTTCGAGATTGCTTTGGGCGCTGACAGACGTGAAATATGACAAACTCGTTAGACCAAGTGAGTATAAAACAAAATAAAAACAATTCCAAACTTTTTTCTTCTTTAAAAAAAGTCCATAAAAATACAACTTAAATGGTCGAACCTGGTAGTAGTAACTCTGAATATCTTATATATACAAGAAAAAGGAAAACAACATATGGCATTGCTTTTTCATTTGAAGGCTAATAAAATGTGTGCCCACATAAATTGAACACAGATGCCACAAAAACGCGTGCATCATAGCAAAAAGTTCGTAAATAAGAAACACAAAACTTCGCAGAGGATGACTGAGTAAAACCAGGTACGAAAATACATGACTGGAAATTACAGACAATTTCTTACCCGCCACACTCAGCAGACACCAACCAAGGGCCAGATAGCCAATCTCTTGTCTTGTCCCATGCATACTTGACGCACGAGGGCCTATATCGGGAGTGAGTGTCGACCGTCTCGGCTCACGTTCATAAGGCAGGCTGCCACAGAACAGTCTGAAACCCAGACGGCCCAACTTTGTGACCTCTGACCCTCAGAGGTTAAAACTCTGTGGCAGGAAAGCGTCTCCGGTCCAAACCACAACATAATGCACTAATTTGATTACTCCCTATATTGCAACGGCGGTTGACGAATGGGAATTGCCGGGACGAAAATAAAAACCGGGGGTGGAGAAAAAAGACCCATTTGGTTTTATGCTCCACGTGCCGCAGTCATTGAAATAAGGTTTGTTTGGAGAGTAAAAAAGGGCAATTTTCAATGGGCACGTTCCCAAGCGCATTGACAAATATACCCAGGTTCGTTCCATCCTTGCGTCACCTTAACACTCAACTGCTGGGAGCCGCTAGAAAATTTATGAGACCAACGACATTTCTCAGCGGGCCTTGAGCTTATTATTTGGGTTAAAAGGATGCTTACTGAGTTCACTATTTTAATTCTTTTAAATACTTCTTGTTTAATGTCATCTGACGTCTACATTTCCCAATTTTATTTATTTTGAATCAGATAATTGCGACAAGTCAAAACTGGAGAGGTTACAGTAAGTTAAAGGTTTTAAGTCGATACTTCAAAGAAACACAAAATATTTGTCGTTCTTAAATCAGTGTTCGTCATACAGTGTACGAAGGCGACATTCTGTCCTTACAACAGTTTTAAAGTTCTTCTTGTACCAGCACACCATCTTTTGGCTTGTCCTTCAGTCCTATAGCTGCATTGACATTTTACCCTGACGACAGCTCTAAAATGCTGTTCTTGTACCAGTACATGTAACATGAATGAAACCGTCCTCTCGTTGACGAAAACCAGTGTAATCCGTTTTCAAGGGTGGCTGACTAAAAGCCACCGTATATAAACTTTGTACTGAATGCAAACAGAAAACCTATCGTCGCCTTTCGGTTGAAATCGTAAATGTTTCCCACAATTACCCTATGCCTCAGTGAAATACACTGGCGAACTTACGTCGTTGACCGTCAGCAATCATAGATTATTTTTGGAAAAAAAATTGTTTAAGAAGCTATGGACGAATTTGGATAAGACAGATACGCATCGTACATCCTTATGGTGTTTTATGCTTATCATGACAATCCAATCAAGGAGCTTATCTCCAGAGGTGATGTGCCGCAACACCTGCCAAAAATAAAGGAATACTACGAAATGGTGAGTGATAACGCCTTTTCCAAATAAACACTCAACATGAACGGGGTTTTATTCCATTTCCTTATTCCGACAAACACTATACATCCAACTTCATTTTGAGAGTTTTTTTTATTTCACTCGTTGCGAACGAAACAAATACCATCTCTCGCCATTATAAAACGTTCACGCTCGATCTCAAATTTCGATTTCTTTTTTCTTTCTTTCCTTCGCATCTAATGCAGTTTAAATGTTTTCAGCATGATATGTTTGTGCTGTATATTATAACTAATTAACTGCGGTATCTCGTATTCCTCCCATTGACGTAGAGTCATATTCAGGTAACTTCCTCTTAGCTCCATTCCATTCTTTATATGTTTGTTTAAAAAAAACAAAACTTATCTTCAAACCTTTAAGTAATTTAATATAGTATTCATCATAAACGTTTAAGTTTTTAAATTCTTTTGATCTGACATTTCTTTATTATAGAGTAATACTACCACTGGGTTCAGGTTGACCAGGTGCAATTCCAAATGACCCCTTCACAGGACCATAGGCCTTCTTACACGCAATTCCAGACGGAAATCGCTTGTCTTTCAGCTCTTCTATCAAAAAAGGTAACCCAGTGCAGCGTCACTGAACTTCAGCAAAAAAAAAAAAAAAAAAAAAAAAAAAAAAAAAAAAAAAAAAAAAAAAAAAAAAAAAAAAAAAAAAAAAAAAAAAAAAAAAAAAAAAAAAAAAAAAAAAAAAAAAAAAAAAAAAAAAAAAAAAAAAAAAAAAAAAAAAAAAAAAAAAAAAAAAAAAAAAAAAAAAAAAAAAAAAAAAAAAAAAAAAAAAAAAAAAAAAAAAAAAAAAAAAAAAAAAAAAAAAAAAAAAAAAAAAAAAAAAAAAAAAAAAAAAAAAAAAAAAAAAAAAAAAAAAAAAAAAAAAAAAAAAAAAAAAAAAAAAAAAAAAAAAAAAAAAAAAAAAAAAAAAAAAAAAAAAAAAAAAAAAAAAAAAAAAAAAAAAAAAAAAAAAAAAAAAAAAAAAAAAAAAAAAAAAAAAAAAAAAAAAAAAAAAAAAAAAAAAAAAAAAAAAAAAAAAAAAAAAAAAAAAAAAAAAAAAAAAAAAAAAAAAAAAAAAAAAAAAAAAAAAAAAAAAAAAAAAAAAAAAAAAAAAAAAAAAAAAAAAAAAAAAAAAAAAAAAAAAAAAAAAAAAAAAAAAAAAAAAAAAAAAAAAAAAAAAAAAAAAAAAAAAAAAAAAAAAAAAAAAAAAAAAAAAAAAAAAAAAAAAAAAAAAAAAAAAAAAAAAAAAAAAAAAAAAAAAAAAAAAAAAAAAAAAAAAAAAAAAAAAAAAAAAAAAAAAAAAAAAAAAAAAAAAAAAAAAAAAAAAAAAAAAAAAAAAAAAAAAAAAAAAAAAAAAGTCAGTTAAATCATCTCTGTTCGCAGTTTTCTGTGATTAATTCTAAAATCGAGATTCCTTAGCATATAATATGTGTAATAAATTCATAATCTTTGTAGATTTAAGACTGCCACAGTCGACAAAGGAGAGAGGAAATCCACCTAGCACTGTTTGTACCCAAAGCGGACATAAAAGAGAAGTGGTCTACCCACATCATTTGCGTGGGAATGAATAGTCAACAATAGCATGCCTCAAAAGCATTCTGCTAGAGTGATCCGAAAGAAACCACACTTGTTCTTGATTATCAGCAAACGATAAGTCTCTCTATATTAAACAAATACATTACGTTGGTGTCAATTTTTTTCACACACCCCCCCCTTCCACCAAGGACCCTTCCAAGATTAAACATTTGCCACTGGCTTAAAATAGAAGATTTGCAACTGACAAAACAATGGCTGGATCCCATATGAAGTTTTCAACAATGCGGGGACTTTAAAACTTTCATATACATTTCTTCATAAGTCCGACTAAAGATGGAGAAATCGGACCCAAACGCAGTCTGTGTGGAGATTAACTTTTGATCAACCAGGCGGTCAGAAAAAGGTGTCTAGGTCAACTGACCGTCACTTGACCATTATTTTCGGTTCGTGTGTTTTGTGGGCCTACTGACAAAAGTATACTCTTGTCACTTTCATTCGTGTGCGCTCCAGAACCGTTTTCCACGGGAGCGGTGTCTTCCCGCGTGCAGTACCATTTCCCATGTAGAATGGCTGACTGATTTTACTAGTGATGTAATAATGTAGTTACAATAAAATCTTTATATAATTAGTTGATATTTCATCACATTCCATTTTGTTTGTGCACATTAGTGTTAAAAGATCCCTTGTGGGAAGTTTAATCAAGTTTAAAATCACATCTGTCTGTCAGATCTGTTGTCAGACTTTCTGTAGGTCTAACGGTCCGTTCAATGTCTGTTAGTCTTACCTTATTTTATGTAACCCACATCTGTTTTCATACCTCTTCTATTGCTTCTTATCTCATTCACGCTCAAATGTATTCTACTTTTTACCTTTTTAACGTTATTCAACAAGCGGATACAAGCTAAATCGCCATTAAACGAAAATCGGCTGCTTCGCCTTGCCAAATTTAAAATGACTGTCCCTCCAGTTGATGTTCCTATAACAAACCAGGTAACTTTTTGTTGAATTTTTTTTCATCACAGGCCATGGCAACTCACTTTGATAAAAATAATTATATAGTACATTTCTACAACTAGAGAAATATTTATTTCCCTTCAATGCCACTGTTGTTTTTCACAAAACTGTAGGTGTGCCGGGCAGTAGCAATGACTGTGTAACAATTTCCAAGTTAGAGATGTGGAACAAGTCTCTAAGATAATCCTAAAATAATGTGATTTGAGCTGTACACCCTGTGTGACAAAGCTGCAGAGCAGATTGAAAGTTTACGAGTCCATTTTACCACAACGTCTACGTGTGCTGCTGCAGTCAAAAGTTTGTATGGCGAAATTTAAGGATGACAATGTCTCCTCGTATATCCAAAGGAGAAGCTGATTGATTGTTTTTTTTTTTTCTTACTGAATCACAGAATTGATACCATATTAGGATGTTCCATCATTTATATGCCAGAGGGTAATTTTTTATCTTAAAATTACACCAGGAATTGTGTATGGCCTTTCCTTTTGTGTCGTACTTTTACAGTATTGCCCAATAATTTCTGTTTATAATGAACTAATTATAATCTCGGACTTTTTTGCAATGATACAGATGTCACAATAACATCTTCTCTAGCGCAGCTAATTTTAGCGAAAAAAGTTAAACCTCTACAAGTGCCTTTGCCGATGGCATGTTACAAAACTTGCAGACAAAAAAGATCAGTGTTCTTAGTTTACGTATCTCTCTCTCTCTCTCTTTCGCTATAACACACACGCATACACACACACACACACACACACACACACACGTCCTCGTATTGTTTAAATGTTATGTGCTCCCAATAAGAATAATGCACAAAGGGTTTCTGAAACATATTGTGCAAATTGTTGTTGGAAGAATGCATTGACATATGCCTTTTGCTAATGTGTTAGGTGAGATGAAAGGTTGCGCTTCACAATTGCAGTAGCTTTACTGACACATTCGGTTTGGAGCAAAGGCCCAAAAATCCTACCCTCTACCAGGACCACAGATTGTTTTTATTAAACTAGGTTTTCACATGTATGTGGCTGTCTTATTCATGACATGATTCTCTACTGTGCATCGGAGGGCTTTCCATGTTAGCACTTGTGCTATATTTTATGGGCAAATTTTGGACGAAAAAAGACAAGATATAGTTTCTATTATGCTCCTATTATTATAAGTATGCTGTATGTAAAAGAGACTAAATGAAAGAATTATCAATATATTCAGCGTACTTCCGGCTTGGGAGTTCAACCCCTTTGCCTTTACCCCTTTGCCTACGTAGACTACGACTTGCAAACGGCCTCTTGCACACGTTCGACGTAAAGCCAAGCTCTTTCTTTCAGGGCTATTAATTAAGTTATCAGGGAAAAGACTAAGACTACTTCAAGACCAGTCAGCTTAACCAAAAGCTACTTAGTAGATACTTTTTGTCGCTATTGTTCCTGCGTAGTTGTACGTCACTGTTTTAATTTGATAAAACTTCACTTACCGTTAACTAAGATATGTGACATAGGCCCATTTAAAAAATTAACAGAATTGAGTTACAGGGCACTGTGGTTTTTGTAATCATTTTTATGAATTTCGAAACGAGTAACAATTGTGTAACAGCCTGAGGCGTAAGTATGCTGGAGTCCACTACTTCTGGCGGTCGAATTGCAGCGCGGCACTTGGTGAACCTCAGGGAAACCAGAATAAAAGAGAACCCTCAGCTTGACCTCACTTTGCTCTTACACTCGCTTTCGATGCACTTAATACGGCCTTCCGAGACATACGAGCCGATCTTCACTTTTAATTGTTATGACTACACCATGAAAATGCTACCTCAATTTTAAGTGCCACAAAGTTTCTTCTTGCACAACAAACGCATTTCGTATCATTTGAGACGCTCGGGTCGCAGAAGATCAAAGGGTTCGCCACTTACTTTCTGTTCTAAGAGAAATAGATACCTCAGTCACTTGTGATATTTCTCTACGCAATTTCCTCACCAAAGTGCGTCAGGACGTTTATTTAAGGCTTGTTTAGGCCGAGCTGGTTCTTGGGAGAGACTCACCTTATAGTAGAGGCAAAGAGTAGGCATCTGATGCAACGAAAACAATGCCTGTTACGGAGAAAAACATTATTGAACACGTGAACGTGGTATAGTGGAAGTTGACGGGCGGGTTTAACGCGTTCTGTTTACTAACTGCAAATATTGTTTTGAAACCTCAGCCTTAATGAGCTTTACAATTCCCTACCGCGTCATTGCACGAGGTCAAGAATTTAACATTCAACGCGTTTGATCATCTGATATTTCATAGACAGACAACGACCCCAGAAAATACTTTGAGACGCGACTGAATAAAAAAAGCACAATTTGAGGACAAAAACATTTTATTCACACATAAGTCCTTCATTTTTTCTTTTGCTAAATTTCTAAATTTACACAGAAACACAAGAGCATTAAAGCAGAGGTCAGCAAAATACACAATATCTTGAGAAACACACTGCAAATAAGATGAATGAAGCCGCCTCCAGTGGCGTCACTAGATGTTTTCTACCACAAAAATAAATACACACTCTTGACCAGTGGCGCCACTGGATGGCTTCTACTCAAAATTCTAAATAAATAAGAGCTGAAATATAGGTTTAAGTGCGCTGGACATGTAAAATCCACCAAAAGCTACCGTCCAAAGTACTAAGTTTTCATTCACAAAGTGGTATAACACCCAAATATTTGTGATTCGATAAAGCATACGTAGATATAGTTATGTACAGAGAAGGGCAAATAGAACATTTATCCCTCTCTTGGCATGCTACAATTCACAACAAGCAACCTACTGATTAAAACGCTGCGCCGAGAATAAATAGAGAAATAATTTAAAAGCAACAAAAAGCTCAATCTGATTCAAAGAAATAATTATCGGGCATTAATTATTATAAAGAGCAAGCCATTCTACCAAAGTTGGACTCCTAGTTTGACTCAATTCAACGGATGTAAATAGTATTGTATATTATTATAATTATCTTCAAAAATGAGGTAAAGTGCAGTCGGCTGATAAATGTTAAATTTTTGTATTGTATGTCGTTGTATCCATACTACAATGAAACAATATCTAAATGCATTAGTCTCTTTACAGGGAATGAATCAGTTGACAAGGTGGGTGGTATCACGAAAGTCAAACATACTACCACATAGTTCATCCGTCCTAAATCTTCTACAGCCGGGCTCTGTCACTAATACGGCATTCTGTCTGTCTAAAATGGATTAGCAATACTGCCAATGTTCACTGAGTATTATCTCAGTATCGCTGCCAACAAAATAGTTAACTAAACAGTAGTGAAGAAAAACCGAAGAATTCGCGTTGACCTCAGTGGAGGGCAAGGCAGTCGGGGTTGTTTACAAACAATTTCCCCTCAGCAACGCAAACAGTCTGTCTTAACCTTCCCACCCGAATACAGTGGCCGCCAATCTGGCGGGTCTGAAAGGAAAAAAAGTTTAGGTTAAGATCTTATAGGATTTACCATTTATTTACTCCTTCTTAATAAGATTAAATGTTATTTACACATCCATGTATTTTTTTTTATTTACAGTATTTACGTTTATCTTACTGATCTACTTCTAGCATTATGTGTGAAATACAGAGCTAAATACTCTCTAAATAAAAATTAAAATTCCCGACAAATTAAATTGCAATTTGGTACAAGAATAGCAGAAAATAACCTCTTTGTAGCCACGCTAAATGACTTTGGCCATTTTTAAAGTCTGGAATGGAGTTTACGACTAAACTAACAAAAACATGATAATAAGTTGAATCTTTGCTTTTAAATCATTGTCAACATATATCGTAAGGTTTAGTTCAAAGGTTTGCCACACAGCTGAACAAAAACTTTTAAAAATCTCCAAAAACAGGGACAACAAAAGACTGACGGCCGCTAGTACACCGATATATATCCCCCAGTATGAATTTGCAAATACGTCAATAAGAGCGAGGTTAAAAAAAAAAAAAACAGGGTTGACTCTTTTTTATTCAAATCAGACGTTAATCAATTTTTATATAAGCATCCTAGACATTTGCTCGACATTCTCGGAGCTAAAAGTTCACAAAAGGAAGAAACCCAGACTTGGAATGAGACAGATTATACATCGTTCGTGACAGTTTCACCATGTTCTACGAAGCTAAGCGGAACAATTCTAGATTAAGTTCCTTGAATCCAGATTAATTTTACAGTCGTTCTGCCAAATAACGACATACTTGATCCTTTCGGATTAGATTTACTTGGAATACTCACCCAATTTAAAGACGTATTGCACTTTGATCGGCTTGCTAAAACTTAGTATCCTAAAAACGGGAGTTTAGTTGCGACTAACTGCTTATGTAACGGCACGGAAAATGCCGAAGCAGAACCGTTTGCGCCTGAGAACTCACCTGTTGGACTTCCACAGTGCAGTCCACTTTGCCGCTGCGTGGAGGGGACGTGAACCGGCGAAGATCGCGCTCCCCGGCAGTGGCAAAAAAGCTTGACATATCGTCACTGTGGGAAAGGCCCTGTGAAAGTAAAAATAACAAGTATGAGATGGGCATGTTAAAGCATAATCATGTTTCCATCCTTTAGTGATATACTGAATTTGAACTAAAGTGGACTCGCTACGAAAAGCACTCAGGATATTGAGAATAATCCCTAATAGTTTTTGAAGTTAATAATTTAATTTTTATAGATGTAGAGATCTTTTTGCGTAATTAATCATTAGTACTTTAAAGATCACGGCATTACGAAGCATACACTAAAATCTAATCAATGGCATTTTCACTTTTCAAGGCACAGCACAAAAACACTGCACGAGAAGAATTTTAACATTTAGATCATTTTTGACATCTATTGCAACAATCTTTCATGATACAAATGAAAACACTGGGTGAACATCACAAAAGATTGCCATCGCCATACTTTTGCCATCCTCACGATTATCACACACCGTGCGTCATCTCTAATTTCAGTGTTTTTTCTTTCTTTCTTTTTTTTTTTTTTTTTTTTTTTTTTTGTAAATACAAGGACTTAAGGCATATTTTACCAATACCAATCCATCTATCAGAAAACTTTCAATTTTGATACAAAAACACGTTTTGCCTTAGAATTTTGCAGATCCCTTTATATATCTGAAAAAAGGTTTTAATAAACGCCATTACCAGGTAATTTGCTGCTGAAGTTGAACTGTCTAAACTAAGCCCAAAGACTTTTTTGAGAAACCAGCAGTGATATAATTAGTCAACAGATCACACCCAGCTATCTTGACGTCACTCCTGCTTTTGAAATTAGCAATCTTGAAAGATCTACATTAACACGCCATTTTTCGCAAGCCTGATTTTCCCAAATTTCTATTGATTCATTTTACTTTATACACAAATTTCATAACTGGTTTGTTTCCGATGAAGTATAAAAAGCCACTTCGATTCTTTAAGAAAGTGCAACAAATTAGTTATTCATCGGTAACAAAAATCAGTGATAAACTATAAAGGAGACTTACACTGCGTTTGGATCGAGATTTCAGTCCTGCACTATGGTCTTCCTCGTTCAACTTTTCCTGGTGAAGTATTTCCGCACCGTCAACTCCCAGGAAAAGAATAACGAGGCTCATGAACGCAACCCCGATCAAAAAAGCCTGCTGCCTCATTGTTACCCTGAAAATAGATAGGAACAGTGTTATTTTTACACCGATGACAGGTGTCTGTGAGTGTGTGTGTGCACGCGCGCGCGTGGTCTAAAAAGGACGCAAACAACTGACCTCAAAGTTTCCCGGTACCGCCTTAGTACAGATGCCCAAGTTAACAAGCACCTTCTCCTATCCGCGCTAAAGATGATCGAATCCAATGACACATGATCGCGGTAAAATTTCTTTATAAAGCCTTGCCAACGTTTAATTCAGATTTGATTGTTTTTGGTATGTACCCGAAAAAATCGATAACTTTAGCGCCCACAAACTCTATTTTGTCGATCTCCCAAGGGAAAAGTTTTCTTAGAGATGGATAAACGCATAGATCAGGTTGAATGTGATATTCAAAATCGTTTGGTCAAAACGTGAAGAAACCGAACTTGCATTTCGTAACCGAACAAATCTCGAAAGGGAAATGTTACATATTATCCCCAAACGCACCTGGTGTTTAGAAAGAATTAGTGATTTAAGCACTGAGGAGGAAAAAAAAGAAATTTAAGGCACGATTTCCTTTTTCTCTTCTGCGCACTCCATAACCTCACACATACCGCGAGAACATCAATTCAGCTTACCGTAAAAATCGATCTGACTCGTTCTTAGCTGTACTGAAGGTCTGTCTCTGTCCGCCCGTACAGTTCTGCTTATATTTCTCGAAGGCCTCCTACTTTATCCAGAAACGAATCAGTAGCCGCTAAGGCAATTAAGAGTTTTGTTTTCTTTGGCCGAGGTCCAGTAAGATTTGGAAGTATTTATTTGAACGCGCTGAGATATTGTTTTATATCTGTCAGTGATAAGCGTCAATTTTGATTGGCTGATACTTTAGGACAGCTAGCCCGATTCGTTTACCCGGTTTTCCATTAGTCAAATTTGACGACAAAATTGTAAGGAATTTACGGTCAGAAACATTTTCCCCTTGCATTACTCGACCCTAATATATTATCCCTTCTTACAGTAATATGTCCTCATTCATCCTGCTTAAAAAAAACGTAAAAAGATTTATTTTGCTTACTTTATCGATCTTACTTTATCTTCAATAGAAAATATTCTAAATTTGCAGTAACTATCAAGTTCGGAAAAACACGATTTATCTATACGGCTTACGAAGGGTGCTCTGTGCATCAACAGAGTGATTTCCTCATTGAATATCAACCCATGGATGTCACTAGCGCTGGCCATCCTTTCGGCAACCTGAATTTCAGAGCTCACTGGAAACTCACTTCTCTATTATCGGCATGCATCTGCCATTAATAGTGGCCTCTGAAACACAGGGTACTGAGCGCAGAGGGAGTGCAAATTTTTTTCCGGATCAGCGGCGAAGAATGCACTGCTTCCTGTGTTTAGGAGTATCGACGTAACACGCGCTATGATCGCACACAAAGCGTGAGAAAGCTGACGAACTTAAGCGAATTGTTTCGTCTGAAGAAAAAAATCTGATCAGTGTGCCTGCCCTATGGGTGGGCACTACAGGGCCTTTGACGGCAGCGAAAACAGTCATGCAGATATCAGATGAAATGTAAGCAAGCGCTCCCGAAATTCTTCAAATGGGAAGCGACCCCGATAAATACAAGAGGGATACACAATGGGTGCAGCCCTGAAGGTTTCTCATCTCTTGTCTTAGAACTCTGATCTTTAGCAAAATAAACAAGTCAGTAAAAATACAATAAAACCAGTAAAAAAACAAACGTATAAAGAAATTATCACTCATACGTAATATTTAAAGCAACACCAATCAGGGAAAATGAATTGAGAAAAAAAAATAATAATAAAAAATAAAGAAATAACGAATCGCATCGGTTTCTTACCTGTGGTTTAGAACTTAGTACAGCAAATTGAAAGGGAAGGAGACGCTGTCGTTGTATTTATATTCTGTCTGAGGTTTGCGTGCACGAAAATAGCTGCCACATCATATGTTCTGGTGCACTTTTGGTCTTAGCTAACATCAACAGAAGCAGAAATCGGCGTTTGAAACATCGGGATTCTTGCCTTAATTACGTGTTGTACAACAAACCTACTTTTTGAATAGCTTTGCAAGAGTACTGGGGGGGGGGGGGGGGGTACTTGGTGGGTATAACCAGTTTTTTTCCAAAGTTTTAAATGTCAATATTATGTATGTATTATAGAATTCGACACCCAAATTTATGGAAATTTCTGGTTTCAAAGCTACAGCCAGGTAAGTAATGATTTTCCGTTGAAGGAAGGAGGGGCTTAGAAAAAAGTGATTGGGAGGGGTTCTTAGGAGGTCAAAACTGCGCGTCTAGCGGCGCCCTAACCAGCACTCAAAAACAGCTAAGTCCACAAAGTAAAAACAACGACATGTGCTCGTTAAATTGGCCTTATTTTAGTTCAGTATCAACGTAAAAGAACTAAGCTTTGCAAAGTTGAATAGTTAGATATCATGAATGATATTAGAGATAGAGGTATACCTATCCGTGTATGTATAAACGGCTGCATTATTACAGATAACAGGTGCTCATGTAATGTTAATTGAAATTTGACTCAACTGTCGTAACATAACGTACCATTCCATAGTTTCTGATGCAAGACATGATCACAATATAATCAATATTTTGTTAATTACAATATGACAGTATCACATTTACTATATACGTAATTCAACTAATATAGCCGAGAAAAAAAAAACATTATATTTTGAATTGTTGAATTGCATGCATCCAGTCTTTACACAGATGGTCAGGAGACTAAGGGCGTATTCCCATACTTTTAGATCGATCTATCCCCGTGGGGAGTCTCACTAGATTACTGTCAGATAATCCGGCTTAAATGTCCGTCCCGCCTACTACAAGCTGTAAGGGGGTAATTAACTTTCGTGCCCGCTCGGCTGACAGCTATTTAGCGTGAACCCCCAGGCAGTTAGGTCGATCTAGTTTGGATCGATCTAATCTCTGGGAATGGGGTCTATAACACACTTCCAGGCAGCACATTTGCATTTCCGCGATTTTTTTAAATGCAATTTTACCAAGTATTACAAAAATAAAAAAAATGTCCACACCGATTGGAAACTTTCTCGATTAATGATCAGAAAATACATTCACCACAATTTACAAGATTCGCAAATAAACAAATAACAAAAGTGAAATACTCGCGTTATTTTCGTTTTGCGTGTTAGCATGTAAAAGACCATAGCTATGAACCCAGGAGCCAACGGTATGCAGACCTACAGGTATACAGGCATTGCTCCTTGCATTTCGAAATTTCACACCTTTGGCTACAGAAACGTGTTTAACAAAAACATACGACGGAAAGTTAATCTCAACTTTAAAACTAACACTTCATGATATTAACACAACTATGATCCATGATAAATCAGTAGCAGTAGCCCCGTTTAACTGAATAAACGAGGGGGGGGGGTGTCTGATGCTGTAAACTAGTTCATTAATTATAGCAAATGGTACCTCATTTATCGCGGATTTGCAGCAGACCAAAATGCTCGCCCTCAGAGAGGCCAGCCTATCGACATGACCAGCTTATCGACATGGGTTCTTTTTTCATTTTTTTTTCTTTTGTGAAGTCGTGGCCTATCACGTCAGCGATGAATAACAAATTGTGAAATGAATTATGAGAGCGAGTGAGATTGAGGAGGGGAGGGAGTGACAGGGGAGGGCCTTCACATCTAATACACTGAAGAGCTCTTTAACACGCCGTAATAAATCGTTTCTGCATCCGTTCATCGGATAATTCACAGTACTTAAGCCTTTCAGTGTTCTGGTGTTTAGGGAAAGGTGCCCGAACTGAAACAGATCGATTTTATGACTTCCGAGTCCAGGCGATTGCCACTTGTGGCCGACAAGATATGAACAGAATATGATATCAATGGCCCCTACTTTTAAGCTATAAGCGAGACCAATGGTACAGAAGTCTAACATAAACGATGTATACAGGCTCTTTTCAATGTCTACATCTGCAAGGTAACGATTATACCATTACGCATCTTAATCTCTCAAATTAGTTTTCAAGAGCCTTACTTTTGCCGTTTAAAATCATCAAAAGCCCTCTTAAAAATGTTTCCGTATCACCATTAACCTTGTATCCAGTTAAAAACGTGACATTTAACAAAATATCAAAGGGTGCGTCCAGTTAAAAGCATGGTCCAACAGACCTTCCTGTAAGCTTCCTGTAGGGTCCCGTGCTCTTAAACGTAAAAGCAAACACGGTACTCTCTTTTCGCTCCCCACTTGACATTTTGGCCTTGCATTCTTTGGCTCTTGGCCAAGGAACCGTAGTACAAAAATTTTCATTGACGAAAGCACTGGCGGGAAAACAGTGAAGGGGGAGACAGCTTGCACCTCTCCTCAAAGACCAAAAGAGGAGTCGTACACAAAGAGCAGAAACAATTGTATCCAGTAGCAATCCAACGAGTACGAAGGGTCCTTAATTTAAACAAAACAGTCTCAACACAGACTATGCTTAAATGTGGTTTTAAAATCATCCGTTTATTCTGAAATATAATATACAGCATAAATCAGCAAAAGATAAACAATCCTCTACGCAAACGGAACATGTAGACAAAATAATAACTGTTTGGGTGCTCCTTGTGTTGGCCAACTCCCAAATTGAGTTCTTACTGCATTGGAGCAAAAACAACACAAGTTTGAAAAAAAAGCTATCAATGTCATAAAACTTCACACACTGTACGTACAACGCTCATGTCTTTAAAATAGCCACAATTTATAGCATTTAATTTTAGAGCTAATCCACAAATCACTCAAATCCCAATAACGACAGCTTTCAAGAAAGAACAAAACCGTATTTTGGATTTTAATGTTGAGATCAAAGTATTCGAAAATCCTGGAAAACTTTTCATATGTTGCATATGTGCGTGTGTGTGTGTGTGTGTGTGAGAGTGTGTGAGACTTATAAAAAAAAAGAGAAAAAATTAACACATCATGGCCTAACCGTTGTTCCACGTACTAAAGCACATTCTATTTAAGGACTTCCAAGAATTCCCGGGCGGTATCATCATTACGGAAAACCAGTGTCGTCTGACTAGTCAACCTGTAGGGTTACGGCGGCCTTCCTCCGCACCGCCTCAGACGCTACACCTCATTTAAGGCAGACGTTTATGCTCAAACTTCAGTGAAAACGTCTCACCCATCCTTAGTGAACTTTACTCCTTTCTCTGCCATCACGGAGTTCCCGAGTGCATGCAGTAACTACCCTGGGGTTCAGATCTCGCGTGCTCTGTAGCACCCTCATTTTCACATCTCCAGGTCATTAAAGCGGACATATACAATGAGATTTGAAAACGAAGAAGCCAACAGGCAGCAAATGAGAAACTCGGGGTAAAATTATTTAAAAGTACGAGTGAAAATGTACTCCAATTTGAATGACTCCACCTCTGATCGGGTTTACCTTGCATTTCACATTAAAAATTGTACTTTGCTCATAGCTTTCTGCATGTCAGCACATCGTGAGATAATAACTATAAAAAGCCACGCATCTTTCTGATGCCCTGTGCGACAACGTGGTGAGAGGCACAAGAAGTCAAGACACAGATTTAATCTAAGCAGTTTCACCTTATTTTGCTGTACTAGTTTTGATGTAATTAGAACCGTCTCGCATCGTTTTGTCCCTATCGTTTAACACAATACCTTCAAAGTGTGTCATCTTTTTGAGCAAATTTGTTCATTTATTCCACTGTCCTTATTCACTATGCCCTTATGCTCATAGTCTGGCTGGCAGCACTGTCATTCTGATCAATTTAGGCCACTGTGAATGTGATTGATTTTAATGATTACGTCTCATGGTGCCATGTGTTATGTTGATTTCAGTAATCTCACTATGGCATCGTGTCCAAAATCTGTGGCAATGTCCAGTGGGGTCAGTCCTCCCATACTGGCCTTCCTGTCTGCCCCGGCCTCCAGCAGTCTCTCCACCACCCTGAAGTGCCCTGAAACACAGACACAGATTATAGTACTCCACTTATACTGCATTATAGTGCAATAGTGTGTGTTTGATCAAAAATACTGCCTAACATTGCAGGGTAATATGTAATAATGTTAAGGGGGGTTACAAGACCCAATGTGCCAATTAAAATTAACCATGTTAAATGTCCTAATAATAATAATAATAATAATAATAATAATAATAATAAATGTAGTTAAAAAATCTAAAAAAGTTCATGCTGAAGTAAAAACAAATACCAGATATCTAAGAAGAAAATGCCATTGAATAAATCTTCAATCAAAAAGGTGGGAATCTCACTCCTCCTTGGACTAGTTCTCTAATGAGGGCTTACCAGACAATATTACCCTCAGTCAGCCACCAATTAGATTTTATAACTAAGCTATATCCAAGTCCTGATTCTCGGCTTAAGTAAGCTTACTAGTATAATCTCTTATTGATAATGTTGTTCTTGGCACGTATGTACTTTTATACTTGGTGGGTATACATTGTAAAATCTTCTAGTATTATACTGATGGAAATACAAGGAAATATAAAATGTTTATTTTTGAAAAAATATAAATAAGCCTCAACTTATCCTGTGATAGGAAGTGAAACATTTGATTAAAATACATTACTACATGGTCCTTTTCTATTAAAAACTGGAATAAACCTAAATGACCCCACGTGCTGTTTAAGACTGGTTTTAAAAGAAACCCCTGCTGTCAGGGTCAGTGGCTGGACTGGTCATGTTATGTCCTGTAGTGACCTGTTAATTCAATCTCTATGTGGACTGGAGTATCAAATAGACCTATGAGAAGTGCTGTTCAATTATAGTAGATAGGACAACTTTTTTTTTGCTTGTTTCTGTGTCAACTAATCACAGAAATAAGACTACAAATAGCACTCTTCAGATACAATAAACAAAGTTGGTTTGGTGAATTTCTGTATCTTTTTTCCCCTTTTTGCCAACTTCAGTGTACTTACACCTTATTAAAGACAACTATGGAAAAATAATGCTTCTATTTTCATTATAATGCATATACACGTTTCTAGCATTTGGCTTGCAAAAAATTTGTCAAATTAATCTGCCATAGGGATAGAATTTCACACCATTTCCTTTCTTTTTGAAAGAAGTTGCTCCTTCTGCCCACACTGTTCATAACTATAGTAAATATATTTCTCAAGTTTAGTCAAATTGGAGAAATTTTCCTTTGAAAACATTAAATTCCGTAAACAACCTGCTGGTCCATAAAAATAACCACAGCTGTTCTCAATCGTCAGTGAAGGACAAAAGGATGGAAGATGTACAGTTATGTGTGTATCACTTGTCATGAACAGTTATGTGTGTATCACTTGTCATTTTACAAGTTATCATTTTTATTCCATCTTTTTACCTAGGATGTTTTGATTGAAGAAAAAAGCCAGAACTGGTTCCTATACTGTAAAAACCTGTGAAGCAAGCACTTGCCCAACTCACAATTTGATCAGAGGGAAATGTTGATCAGTTTCCTGTTTTTGTTTATATTAACCAATGATGAAATAAATAAGATGCTTGAAAATAGGTCTGTTCCACAAATAAACAAATATATAAATAAATATATAAATAAATAAATAAATAAACTTTATATTCCATTCATTTCAATAGGAAGGAATCTAACTGCAATCAAAATGTAGACAGCAGTAGCAGACTGATCAACATATCTCTGCAATTAATATATTCAATAAAAAATAAATGTTTTATTTATTTTAGTTACTGTTTTATTTTTCTGCTCTGCTTATTGATGAAATGTGTATATTGTGTATTGAAAAAACTACAACCAAGGCTTTTTAGCACATTTGGTAAGTAGAGTATATGTTTAAAAAAAAAGATGACATAGGAAAATTTCAGTGTCTTATATGACAAATCAAATGGCCTTTATAAACAAAATTAAATTAAAATTTGCACAACTGTGACACATGAGACCCCGAGTGCTATTAACTGGTATTTCATTCAATGCTTTTTTTATTTTACCAAATTATATGGAGAGACCATAGGTCACACGTAGGTCACACATAGGTCACCTTGGTGTCCATATGACCTTTATTCACTTCCATAAATAACTGGGATCATTTTGACATCAGATGAGTAACCGTATGAGAACATCAATGCTTTAACAGTTAAAGCAAATACTTTTATTACTTGCCAAACTACATGACACTTTCCAAGAATAGCAGTAAAATCAGACAATGATATCTCATTCTCCTTCAGTGTATTTAAGAATCATCGTTTAATCATTTACGTAATCTGATCACTTGCTTCCTTGGACAAAGATACTCAGCTTTGATAATTGCTGTATCATTCATTGTTACTGTGCAAGCAAAGGAAGTGTAAGACTCACAGAGAGGATGCAACACAAAATCACGTCTTGTGAAGCCCAGTTAAAAATACTGAGGCCACTAAATTAAGCTTAAAGAACAAGCTCCCAATCCTGCCTTGCCAGTGACAAAGGGAATGTTCTGCTATCGATCATTACAAAATGATCTCTCCATTCTATAACTGACACTTTCCCTTCCTTCCTGTCCTCATCAAGTGATGCAGTGAACATCCTCTGCACCCCAAACTGTTGTTGGCTTCCTTAAATCTGTTATTTAAAAATATAACTTAAAGTTTAACAACAGTGCTCATTAAAGAGTAGTTAAAAAATTATGTACAAATTAACACTCATTCCATTTTATCTCATGGGGGCCTCAGCTATGCAAGCTGGTGGTGCAGTAAGAATTTTGGACAGATCCACAAGAATCAAATATGAACACACAGAACTTGGCATAAGGATGTATCATCTGATATTATGTTTACAGTCTAAGAAGAATTTAATTTCCTCCCCTCTGCTTCCTACTGCCTGATATTTTCAACTTTTACATAACCACTTGTTTATGAAGGCAGGATATTGTTTAGACCATCTAATAACCACAGAAGAACTGAAAAACAATACCCTTGAGAAATAACTGATATATCAATTCAGCCAGCTGATGGCAAATGATTCTATCAGACTGGAACAGCCTGTGTTAGCTATAGTTCTAATTATTCATTAACAAGAATATGGGGAAGGCAAACATTGCTCAAAGTGTTAAGTACAGAATTTCTGGGGTGTAATCTACACACACCATGTATCAGAGATTCCTGGAAACAAACCTTCACTATCAGAATGCAATTCCCATTTACAGTAAACCATAAAACTAAGGGTGCTCTTAATAAAAGAAGATAAATCCTAATTCAAGTGTATCTTCATAACCTTTGGCACATACTTTTATTTATATAAATGGACCTGGTCATGTTAACTTGTAAAGATAAGATATCAAATTGATAAACATTTTTCTTAAGTCCAACTTTAAGCAATCTAGTGTAAACTCTAGCTAACTCTAGATTTTAATAGTTTTATTTTTTACTGTAGCCCTGTACTGATCTAATGCCACACCCACATCATTTCTGGTCTCTATCTAATTAAAACAAAATGATTTCTTCACATTTTTCTCTTATTCATTTAAATCACCAATACGGTGATTAAGGAAATGGAAGTCTGGCTTTAGGCCTAAATCTATTTTAAAAAAATCAATACTTTGCGTTGATGACCACAGACACCCAGGTTAAAGACCTGTGGACCATTTGTAAAGAAATTGTCTAAAGTCAGGTTTTGGGCCTAAAATCTTAGCCTACTAAACCACCTAGAATGTGTTCCACAAATAATTTTCAAGTCTGCTTTCCTGTTTTTTTTTTTTTTTTTTTTTGTCTATTAACTATTCTTCCCCCCACTCCTCAATACTGTACTCAACACTCACTCTAGATAATTATCTAGACGAACAGCTAGATTATTTTAACAAAACCAGAAAAACCTTTCCAAGGCCCAAATAAAACTTGTTAAGCATTCAGTTAAACTAAACTTCATCAACATGAGCTCAGGTTCCTGCCACCCTGCCACCCCCCCCCCCCCCCCCACCCCTACCCTCATCTCTATCTCCTTCTTACCGTGCATCACAGCCAGATGCAGTGGGGTGGACTGATCACACTGAATGTTGACGGGGTTGACCTCCACAGTGGGCACTCTCAGCAGTAGGTCCACCAGGTCCACATTGCCACAGTTGGCTGCAGCATGCAATGGGGTGTTGCCAGTATCACATGGGAGGTTGGGGTCAAGCTTGACCTGAAGTGACCCAAACAAGTTTTCATTTATTACACTTTTTTATTATTGCAATTTCATGCTATACTATTCTTATGTAACATTTCTTAAGGAATTGGCTAGGGTGATTTCTTATTGGTATGTATTGATATGGTTATATAATATTGACAGATATTGGTATACTTTGGTGTATCTTATTGGTAGATGTATGAGTATGGGTATTGTTATTTTGTATTTGTACAAACTGAGGACAACTTGATTCCATCAGTTTTTTCCTGGATGATAATGTGTTAGCTGTGTTCAGAGTCTGTCTTCAGCCTCTAACACAGCCATGTCTAATCATGGGATTGCAGGACAAATCACATGTTGTGTATTAGAAATCAACACTGCTCCTAGATCTTGACAGCCAAACTTGTCAAAGTGTATCTCTTTGGCACAAAGTACTAATACAATTTTACTTTTTAAATTGTTACATACTCTGATTATATCATTGAAAATAGCCAAATACACTGTGAAAATTGGTAGTTTACGCAAGGTGACAATGTTTCTGTACAGAGTTAATGAAGTATTGCTTCTATGAGGAATAGCAGCACATCAGAGATATGAATTATTCTACTCGGACCAACATATGGAATAATAATAAAGGGATAATTTGATGAGAAATAGTAGAATATATGTTGTAATACCTTTTATAGCAAGATTAGACTGTATTTGACTCAAAAAATTTAGCATGAACCCAGCTTAATGTATAACTAATAGTTCGTTACATGATAAGAGTTAAAGCCATATTATGCTGCTAGGAACATGATCCTTACCTTAGTTATAAAGTATTGTAGAATCTTGGGTTTGTTACATATCACAGAAATAAAAAGCCAGGTGCGGTCATGCTCGTCCCTGTAGTGGGGGTTCACCTTCTTAGACCTGATGTGGTAGTGAACGACATCTAGGAAGCCATGCCTGTGACAAAAATAAAAAGTTATTTCAGTGAGGGAAAAATAAAACAGAATTCAAGCAAAATATTGTTAGCATATTACAGAGGTTCAACTACTGCACAGTGGTTCAGTTCTAAATTTTAATATAATAATATGACCATAAGCCATTATAAAAGCCTATCAGTTTATGTAGATCATTCCAACTCTGCAGGGACCACTGAATGCAATCAAGTTAACAGATTAACATGCCTCTTGGCATTGAGTGGAATACAGAAAAACTGGTGATTATGCAAGTATGTGGAAACAAGAGGCGGCATGTTAATCTGCTAAAGTGACTGCATTCAGCAAGAGTCCCTGTGGAGTTGGCATTCTACATATACTGAAAGTGTCGATGGAAATGAGTCCTTAAATGTTTAAATTCCTGTGCATATTATTCTATATTTTTTTCAACATCTATTTGTTTGATTTCAGGGGTTATTTTATTGATAATACTGTAACATGTTGCACAAGCGGTCTACAGTGCTGTACTGGCAGCCTTGGAGTATAGAAGACATTACCTTATTGCCTGGTACATGCGCCTTTCATGCACATCTCCCTTTGGTTTGACAAGGTTTGGAGGCAATGGAAGGCTAACATTCCTACCCTGCAGTGTCCTGTAGAACAACACAATGGCAGACCAGACATTCACCAAGCAGAATGCCCTTGTAGCCAGCAACCACTGAGCAAACTGCTTATTTTTGGTTGAACATTTTACATCAGCAAGAAGCACTTTATAGTCGCCCCGTCTCTCAGAAGTCAGCACATCTAAATGGTCGAGAAACATGTGAGGTCCTTTGGAACTCATTAGCTTCTTGGGATACTCTCTGAAAATTCCCTCAAGGAGCTGCACTATGTCAGAGTGACGGAGCTTCCTGTTCTTCTTCCCGGCAGCAAACGCCACAGTCAGTTCATCCAGCAACACCCCATACTCCATGTCCATAATTCTCTGGCGCTGAAGAGGATCAAAATCTGTCAGCCAGAAGTGAGCAAACTGGACAAAGTTTTCTCCCTTGTGGACCCAATTTGTTAGTTCTGTGACGGCCTCATTTGAGCGATGCAGCCAATCGGCCACCACGGTTGCATCCATGAACACCAGCATCCCATCAAAGTTAACTGGCTGGGGGTCTTTATTCCTAGCCCCATTTATTTCTGTAGACTCTTCATCTATTTCCATATCCTCATCACTAACATTACCAACTGAGCCTGGTTCTGTGTTTGTTTCTCTTTTAGCACTGACAGGTGGAAGAGGCTGTGCCTTAGGAAGTTCGTGTCTGCTGGGTAAAGTATCCAGGGCCTTTGTCTTCTTTTTCTTCTTCTTCCTAGATTTAGGTCTTGCACCTCCACTGGTGTGACTACTGCTGTAATGTCCCGGGGCATTCTCTCCGATCCCTTTTGTGCCCATTTCTGGGGATAAACCATTTGTGTTGAAGCCAGAGTCAGGACTGACTGTTCCAGAGCTTGCGCGTCTCTCAGATGTGGCGGAGCTCTCTCTGCTACTGCTCACACTGCCGCTGCCCAGTGACAAAGCATCAAATGCCGTGGACAGTCTGCCATCTTCGTCACTGAAATCCATTTCATCGTCGCTGTGTCTCACCGTTAGGCGAGAGACACAAATCAGTTCCCGTAAATCTTTAATACCTCGACTCATGTTGATTAATGATACAATCTATGCTTATATTTACAAAGCTTTAGGTAATTCACTGCTAATATATGCTATCTGCTATATAATTATATAATAATATGGACGGAATGTATTGAATATCTAGTTATTTTTAACAGCTACATTTTGCTTGTCTGTGGACTTTTCCTGGTCAATTCAAATAACTCCCAATAATCATAGTAAATGTAGCAAAAATGACAGAGCAGGGAAATTCAAATCTCACATTCCAAGCCAACCAAAAGAAAAATATCAAGGACTTTGATAGAATACATTTGTAAGAATACATGAGCAACAGAGATGCCAATAATTTGGGAGTTGGCATGGATAACCGTGGAAGCAATAGGGACTTGTTTCAAACAAGAACTTTATACCAAAAGCTGGTCTTTAAGCTTTAGACCAAACTTTTACAAAATTCTACTTTGGTCACAGATGAATCTGTTGTAGTCCAGTTATATGAAATATTGCACTGATGTTTAAGCAAGTTTAGTTGATGTTGATGTTGATCTCGAGCTGCAGACGAGTGTCGAGGATCATAAAAACCACAGTGAGGATGACTGGGAGGCGTATTCTGGATTGCCAGGCGAGTTTGAAGAAAAACATGCACACGTCTGACAGTGTGCTCGGTCCCATACGCTGGGGGATGTAGTTCTCCAGCATTTTCCAGTGCCTGAAATGAAAGATAGTGCTCTATTATTTTAAATATTACATAGTTCATTCAGTTCATTGAATCTATTTCAATATAAAACTACTTCCAATTTTTCCATGTTAATATACTGAATACATGTTGTATTTTTAAAGAAAAGATTAATGTCCAGATAAGACTACATATCTTATGTTTGCATTTCTGACTTACGGAAAGCCGATAAATGACAATTAGCAAAAAGATCTTAAAAATATAAGCTATTACAACTATATGCACTTGTTCTTCAAAAGAAACCTTTTTGTAGCATATTGCAAGTTTTTCATCATACCCATACTAAACTTTAACATCTTACACATAACATCTGTGGGCAAGTTCTAGCAGCAACAAAAATATTAAGCAGTGTGTAGAAACAGCACGGTCCAATCTGATAACTTCATTTTCTGTTTCTATTTTGTTCAAGTGCCATTTAAGAAAACAACCAGGACAGCTAATTAGAGAAACAAAACTGTAATAAGGCACTGATATCTGACCAGGCACCTGTTCAAATAATGAAAACCATAATTTTCAAAGATTTGATGAAAGAAAGACGTATGCATTACAGATACTAATGCATGGTTAACATATGTTTTCACAGCATATTTTTTATCATTAACAGCACATCTGAACTGCATACACCTTAGATATAATTATATCCAGAATTTCGTACTAATTTTCTGTATTGTCTGTCAATATGTTTGTCTTGAATTTCGATCATCGTAGTTGTTTACTACCCTGACTTATGCCAATGGTGGATGCTGTGAAAAAGACCCAGACATTGTGATTGTTGCACATACATCATGCACGAATGCCAGATCCACCATCTTTGCCCTGGTTTAACTCTACACCTTTTGTCGACAAGCTTTATGTGATATCTACATGTGATTTATTGTCTATACACTGTTGTATATCTCATAAACCTTGCTGACTCGTTGCATGTACATAACATAACCAGCAAGGTCATTCAGCAATATTCTGTAAGAGTTAACTATGAACAATTTTTTGTTTGTTTGTTTTTTTGCATCTTCCTTTTGTTCCCCATTAAGCCAATGTTAGGAGAATATTAATAAACATTGTATCAATTTGTTTTATTTCTTTTTATTGTTTTATTTGCCTCTTTTATAGGGTCATACTATAATGTGCAAAACAGTGCAATATAATGGAAAAAATACAACTCCAGACATGGTAAACACAGGGAAAGGTCACTTGCTAGGTATAAGGGTGATATAAAATGAAATATATTGCCAGGTAATTTCTACTGGCGACATACATGTGACTTTACAAACTGCTGTAATATGTTTATAAATTATGAGTCATCCACCACATTGGAAACTCACTGCAAAGTACTAGCATATATCAAGAATTAATTACCAAAAATGCAATATGGTCTCAAAAGGGTGCTGACCCCAGAAGCCAAATTTATAGCAAAGTGTCTAATAGAGCAATTACAGTACTAGTAAACTACTATATAGCTGCTATAGTTAGACACCGTGCTAGATACATGCTGGGGTAGCGCTAGCAATTTTTTTCGCTTAGCCAAATCACCACATTTTTGTCAATTTGTTATAAATCCAAATGGTCATAATTTGACTAAAACAAGTCAAATCGAGCCCTTTTTGTTTAGCCAATATAAGTCAGTTTTAGCACTTGGCTAAATTGGCGAGTGTTAGCGCTACCCCAGACAGGTGTTTACAGCTAAAGCTATAGTAACTATAATTTGCTTCTGTGGTCAGTGGACATTAGAAACCCTTACCAGTAAGTGGTATAGTACAATTTGCATTTTAGTTGTTTTCTGTTCCTGAGCTGTATTTGTGCGGACTTCTTTTTGAAGCCATGTTAAATAATTTATTGCAATTCTATGGAATTGAAAGATTAAACCTTTGGGAGTAAACAAATACCAAACATGAAACTTAAATGTGAGAATAATTGACTTTAGGACCTATTTTTCCAAGCTGATGTTGACCATTTTGGTTGAACATTCTTGGTAATACATTCTTGCCTATATTGGGAACTCTTTTTGAGTTTACAATATGGTGGAAGATCTGATAACAAACATAAACAAATCGTAACAGTTTGTAACGTTAGGTCAACAATATAAATTACCTAGCAATACATTGTATAACAGTATGACCATATTTCATATATTGTACAAGTTGATTTCTCTGCTTGGGAAAATCTGTGAACCAAAAATTTGACTATGCATTCATGCCCACCTCCCATATTGACTGTGTAACATTTTTTGTGCCTGTGACAATATTAAGAGTCTCAAAATTAAGTTGGATCAACTTTTGTCTCATTTTTTGAAGAGGCTGTCTTGAAAAATTGGCAAATATGACATCACTAAAACATGAAAATATTTTCCCTAAACCATGGGCAATATTACGTAATTACCCAAGTTTAAACGAGAAAGTGTAAAAATTCAAGATCGATATGTGGCTTTCTGTTTAATTCAAGCAACCAGCATCATTGGGGAAAAACATTCCTAAGATGATAAAGCGAGAATCCAAACGCAAACAATCTAAATACTTTACACTGACTTGTCAAGTACGTATAAACCAAAATGGTCACTATGAGACAGGAATGCTGACATGTCCTACCTTCAGTTCTTTCGGGGTGTACTAGTTGAAAACAAATAAAGCAATAGGTCTTTTTCTCTTAAAACTTTTACAGATCGAACTTAGTTTGTATTTTTAAGACTCCATGTTGTTACGGAGAAGAGATTGTAACCTGCTAGTTTGATTGGTTAAATTAAACGATAAATTGACCAATAAAATCACTGTGTATGTTTCCAGCTGATGTAGAGGGTTAAATCCCTAGAACATGCAGACGTTTTAGGATCTCATTGTATGGCTCAGAAGGCCTAACATGGTACTCGCCCGGCAAGATTAATCTCTCAAAAGATACTTATACAAATTTTCACTTTCGATATACAAAGATTTGTACTTCTTCTAATTTATTTTAGGCAACGTAGCTATTAGTGGGCTCCCTGTTAGTTTGTAGAGGCGGGCCATCTCTCACAACAAGGGGCTTCGTAAAGTTCGCTCGTTAGAATGCAAGCCCTACTTTAGTTTGTTTACACAGCACCTACGAGGATGGACACTTCAATACAGTTTAATGGGAAGAAGGCGCTCGTCACAGGGGCTGGGAAAGGTTTGTAATTGTAGGATGAGGGTAAAACGAGGCAAATGCATCATTGCATTGGCCATCAACTTCAAGATCGAGTTAGCAAAACGTAGATAAAGCTAAATACAGGTATAGGGGTGGAGTAGTGTCACTGGTGACTAGTGGGCACAGGCGGTGGGTGCCTTGGCTTCTCCTTGGCTTGATGGTTCTGTTTGAAGTGAAACATTTACAAGAGCTGTATGACAGTTCTGGTCACAGTACCACAACAGACAACTGTAATAGCATCTGTAATAAGAACTTTTTAGATACCAGATTCCATATCAACATTTATTCTATCTCTGGGCATTATCCTTTACATCAATGTCTTTCATACATTTTGATTTCACAGCTCTTGTCTCCATTATATGTGTGTTAATTAATTTGCATGGCCATTTTGTTTTGGTTTCTGCAGGTCTTGGAAGAGATTTAGTGAAAGTCCTTGCTAAATGTGGTGCTGAAGTCTGCGCTTTGAGCAGGACACGGGCTGATTTGGATTCCCTTAAAGAAGAGGTAATTACTTCATTATCAGCCACCCTTGCTTAGACGCTAGAGAGAGGAGGTCAGATGTACGAGATGTACGAGGGTTGATTGATAAGTAGTGAGCCTCGTGTGGAAGGGGTTTAGCAGGGATATCCCTTTTCAGCCCTTCTATTCCCTGACTATTTAAAGGTGTGTAGCCGAAGTTTGGTGTCATTTGGTTACTTTATGTTGACGAGGCAGCAGAAAGCTCAGGAAAGGTGTACTGTTCCTCCAGGACAATGCCCCTGCTCACAAGTCTGTCATTGCCATGGCTTCATTCAATGAGTGTGGCTTTGAACTGATAGAACATCCACCTTATTCGCCTGATTTTGCTCCCTCTGACTATTATCTATTTCCCAAATTGAAAAAGGCCATTTCAGGTGCTCACTTTGTGTCAGATGATGACGTCATACGTGAAGTGGAGGGGTTTCTGAACGGCCAAGAGAAGGGCTTCTATAAAAGTGGCATAGAGGCTCTCAAAACTCACTGGCAAAAGTGTATAGATGCTCAAGGAGACTTTGTTGAAAAATAAAGAAAAATACTTGTAAAATGTGTACCCCTTCTATATGAGGCTCACCTCTTATCAATCAACCCTCGTACAGTTGTGGCCAAACAAGATAAACATCAATATAACATGGAAGGTCTTATTGTCATATACTGGTACATGTATCATATGCTGCCATATTTCAAGTATGATGCTCCTTTTTTATTGCTTTAATCATTATTTCAAATAAAATACTTGGTATGACGAGTTCATAGTACAGTAACTCTTATAACTTATAACTGATCAATTTTTGTGCAGGCATCTGAATACCAAGTGATGTATTGCATTATTGTCAACAGCACATTCAGATTACCTGGATATCAACAGGGACTCTGTTTCATGGAAATGGGTTCATTCATTCATGGTATCTCCTATGTTTCAGGTACCGGGAGTACGCACAGTATGTGTTGACATATCTGACTGGAAGGCCACCAGGAAAGCAGTCCAGGAGGCAGGACACTTTGATCTCCTTATCAATAATGCAGCCGTCAGTTTTGTTCTGCCATTCTTGGAGGTTACAGAGGAAAACCTTAGCATGTAAGACCTTATTGGTTTAAAATTTCCCATTTTTTTGTTTTCATCCTTAGTCTATATTTGTATGTCTTAACAGGTACCTAATGTTAAAGTAATTGTTACTCTGGCCAACAAGGTTGTTTTTGTTTTCATTTGTCTATATTTCTCTGTGTATGTTTGACTGTTAGCAACATTAAAGGAAAAGTTGTGGAAGGATTTTGATGAAAATTTCAGAATTTCATAAGTACAACAATCAGGAAGCAGTTCAATTTTCAGTTACATTTTCAAGAAATTGAGCAGAGATCTTTTAAAAAGTTTTTAGAGCAGGGACTGGAATGTTTTGTTGATGTTTTTCAGGCATTTAGACGTTAACTTGAAGGCAATGTTTAACATTTCTCAGGTAAATGCTGGCAATATGTATACGTAAAGTTTATTTCTGTTGATTATAATTGAATGCAACAGTGCATTATTTTTGATAAAAGAAAAAGACATCAAATTAAATTTATTTAAACATACATTTATTGACATGATTTGTAGAGCATGAGTCTCTTCAACAGGTGGTTGCCAAGAGTATGATAGACAAGGGTACAGGAGGGTCCATAGTGAATGTGTCCAGTGTGGCCTCACATTGTGCCTTGCTTGACCACAGTGTCTACTGCTCCATTAAGGCAGCAGTGGACATGCTGACCAAGTGTATGTGTTTAGAACTGGGGAAGTACAAGGTAAGGAGAGTTTGTATCTTGTTCCATTGAAGACCAATTTCACAAAAGAACTCCAAAATCTTAGACCAGAAAATTTGGTGTTTTTCAATCCTTATTGAAAGCTGTGGAAGTTTAAGTTTTAGGGTTTAGTATATATATTGGTCTAAACCATTATTGGTTTCCGATTTTAAGTAATAAAAAACCCGATATGTCCTTATTTAGTTTTGATGAAGGTTTATGGAAATGTTTGGTCTTAAAGTTAAGACAAACTTTTGACATTTAAGATCTTAAAATGAAACCAGTTGTGGACTTTTTTGAATAAGCCAACAGCTGAGCTTTTTATGCAACTAAGCATTAAGATGAGAATGCTATAAAAGGGCATTGCATTCAGTTTATTTTCTTTTGGGAAAATTAGTATGTTTTACCCTTTGGACAAATCTTTTATTATTAAAGATTCAATTTACAATCATGGGTGGTTTGCTGATGATTGTGCTTGGTGTGCCTGAGATGGTAAATGTGTTGGATATCCAGGAGACAATTAACACAACTTAATCCACTGTTGTTCCTTTTAAAAGGTAGCAGCTACATTTATGTAGCCCAAACTGATATAAATTACTCTTGCTCTAAAATGAATAACTACACAGCTTTCCACTTGTAGGCCAGTATTGGAATTGTTCAAGTTGAAAAAAAGGGCTTTATCACTAAAAACCAGGTGTCAGATGAATAATCTGCTTGTGGTTAGGAACCTGCTTCATGTTATTTGCCTGACATATAGTATGTCTTCTGTTTCTTGCCTGGAGTGAGGAGGGTGGTTAGACTGCAATAACATGGCCAGTTGTAATGTTATAATGTTATTACTGCTAAATAAAGTGCTGTGCCATATTTCAAATGAATGAAGATTTATCCACAGCTGTGTTTCATTTAAGTGTTACATAATATTTTAAATCATATATTTTTTGGTTTAGGCATGTTTTTCTGGAGCTACATATGTGTAAACTATGGTAATATTGTAAGTACTAATAAACTGGTAATTTGGCACTTAAAACTGTTTATGCAGTGTGAAGACGCAATTAATTTTCGTTGATCAAATAGAACATTGTTGCAGTATTTTTCCTGAGGTCAGGTTTCAGACCGTCCAGTTATTCGGTTCAAACATAGTGTTTTTACCAATTTTACTAAAAAGAAAAACTAAGAAACTAAAAAAATAATAAGAAATGATTAAAGACCCAGGATCCCAGATACTCTTATATCTTGATTTTATATATACTGACATTTAGCATCTTTAACACAAGGCTAAATCAACCTTTTCTTGCCAGTGGTGATGTGCATTAGGCTGAATACAACAGCAGGGGATGAAAAGAAAAAGATAAATACTATATCAGCAATTCAAGCAAACAGATCAAGCCAACAGATGGTGTTTATTTTAAAGGATGTAACCCTTGCTAGGTTGGCAGTACTTCTAAGTCGAAAGGCAGTGGAAACTTGGCTGCTGCACAAAGGTGAATTTATTTCTGTTTTCAATAACATGCATTTGTACTTAAGAATGGCAATTATAGATGAGATTAAAATAGAAAAAAAACTTATCTTCACTAGGAACAAGATCAGTATTGATAATGTAAATTAGAATTCTAAAAACTACGAGCCATTTACTTTTATGTTTTTTTTTTAATTCTTTTTTGTTTCTGTGTGATAATTTTTTAGAGATCATCTGCATTTCATATAATTTTGAGTGTATATCAATAACATGATATAAAACAGCATAGGCCAGCCACAAATAATATGATATAAGCCAGTATAGATCAGCTTTACAATGAAGAAGCAATAACTTCATAATATTGGTTGAGGGCAAGACGAGAGGGAGCGAAAAAAACATATCAGGATGGTTAACTCAATTCATCCATATCCAAATTTGTATGATGTGAAGATTTTTCTTGTTTGATGTGCATAACCCATGTACATAATTATCACAAGTATGAAAAAGTGTCCATGTAGCTTCTTCATCTCAGCTAGACAGTCTGACTCATAAGCACCCAGGGTTAAGCACATCATTAACGAAGTCAAAATTCTGAATTTGTTCCAACGATGTTTTTGAAGAACTTGGCTGAAAAGTGAATGTGCAGATCTCCTCTGATTGCTAGGGGCAACACCTGACATTTGAAATGTGAAATCATAGCCTTTAATGAGTCTTATTAAATTTTCACATTCTTCTTTACATTACAGTAACATGTACAAGAAGCACTTGAAAGCTACGATTTCAGTGAAGTGTGGGAACTTTATTTTTCAGTTTCCATGTGTTGCAGTCAGAGTGTGACATTTAGATTTAAGAATTGATAAAAATAAGAAAAAAAGGAGAGGTGGGATTTAACCCTGAAATTGATGAAACAGATTTTTCAAAATACAAAAAAATTCCTTTTTGATGTCTTACATGATGATGTTATGTGGAATATTGATTAGTTGTTAGTGCTCATCTGTATAATTCAATTTTCAAATATAATAAAAAATACTTCACTTCAGAAACTCTCTGAGAACGATAAATATGTTATTTTGATGACCAGGTACAAAGTCAGAGAGAATGTGCTGCTCATGCTTGTTTGAATATTACTCCAAAATTAACTAAACCGCCCTGTATTTTCATTTTGGAACATTTGGCAGGGGAACAGATTCTTCTGAATATAATCAATTCTTAAATGTAACGTTATTGATTTCCCATTAGTCTATCACATAACATTCACACTCTTTAAGGCACATTCACACATTAAATAAGTCTGGTATTTTCGTCCCTTGATTGAAGCAGATTTTAACCAAAAGTAAACATTGATTGGGCATATGAGCTTTATCAAAGTTGATCACTTTGATAAAAACTGAAACTTTTATGAGGAATGCTTTCAATCAAGGAATAATGGAATGATGAATTCTGGCAGTGAAATTTTTAGATTTATATACAGAGTAAGATACAATTTTTTACCAAAATCTATTGAGTCAAATTTTAAACAGACTGGACAAAGAAGTATAAGCAGATACTAAGTATTGAATTTTTTATTATAAAAGTAGACATATTTGAAAAATCAAAATTTGAAGTTTAGAACAATTATTATTATTCACCAAATGGATGGCATTTATTGCATGTTTCAGAACAATTTCATTTCAATTAGTGATTGAAATGAATTAGAATAAGAAAAATAAGCAAACCAAATGTAGAATAGACTGCAACAGATGTGCTTGCATTCCCTCCCTCAGCTCTTTTGTAAATAAGTTGTCAGTATAATGAACACCATTTCTTGTAGAAATATTGAGAAGAAAAACATTTTATTAAGGATGAAATCATCCAATACTTGATTTTTATATAAAGACATACACTTTTTTCAAGAATATATCTTTGTATTTGTACATACAGGGATGCTAACATGTATATATTTCTCAATCAAGAGCCTGGCTTGAAAAGTGAATTATGGAGAAATGTTCTGTGGATACTGGGAAGGGATCCGTCGTTGGTTTGAGAACTTGCCAGCTCAGTAATGAGTTGCATTCATTTGGACTAAATAAGATTTTCTGTGTGAATAGATATAAGTGGTCCTTAAGTGTAATACATACATTATATATATAGCAGTCTAACAAGCTTTCAAGCATATTTAGTATGTGTGCCAATCTGCACCAGTAAAGCTAAATACAGCATTGCTACTGCCAGGTTCATGTGTTCCATAGGCATGTATGTTACTTGTAACACAGGTACATGTATGTTATCAATCTACATCCTCGGTAGCAATAAAAAACAAATGAAACAAACAATCTCTCTCTTTCTCTATCTTTCCATGTGTGTGTGTGTGTATTTGTGTGTGTGTGTGTGTGTGTGTGCATTTACTTAGTACAATAGCATTGCCAATATTTAAGTATACACTAGAGTGACATAATTGTAGAGGAAATTTTAAAGATTTTCTAAGCATCTGGGATATTTATAATATATCACCATTTTTGCAAGTGTTTGGCTAAAAAGTATTTTTTTTTCTACTCTGTTATTATTGTATAGCCAATCTTTAGTGAGTCCAAGGAGGCATATATACTTCCTTGGTGATTTGATGTGGTCTTCAACTTGAAATGCAAATATTTAACAAGTCTTGCACATTGTCTTGCTCTATCAGTCGTACAAAAAAGTATGTTATAAAATATTAATCTGAATAAGTTATATAGATCTAGCTATAAACATTATTTCAATTAATATGATGATATGGAAATTCATATTGCAGTCAGTTACTTAACAGACTGACATGTATGTCAACAAATTACTAAAGTAAAAAAAAAAATGATGACATATAAATGCACAACTCATGCCTTGTACAGTCTACAGCATATACTGGAAACAAGTTAATTTTGATGCCAAAGCTCTGTGACACTACTTCTCTACCTCAGCCATTCTAATAATTGTTTGGCTTTTCACATCATGTAATGCCAACTGTTATGAAAGCTAGGCTAGTTTATTCAGGCTTGCAGAAATCCTATGTAGCTCTGTTGCCTAGATAAATTGTACCACTCCAAAACTGTCTTGTCTACCTCATGCAGCCCACAGTATGGTGCAAACTTTCACTTCAATTTACTGGCAATTCATCTAAGATTCCATGAAAGCCATCTTTTTCATCTTTCTTTGCTGTGACCACAATTTAGTCGCTGTTGCATGGTTCAAGGAGGGAAGAGTACTTTAGCAGACTTGTGTCTCCAGTATATGTCTCCAACCCTCCAAATTTTGGTACTGCGCTCCGGGTTTAACTTTATATGTGTCCGAACTTCATAGGGGGCATACCCCCTGCTGGTCAACAGCTGACACAGTCTTTGCAGGCTTTTGGTGGGACATGGTGAATCTGGTTTTAATTGGTCAACAAACATCTTTTTCCATTCCATGAAGATGTAAGGGACATAGACAGTGTCCAGGAATGTGGTGGCCTTCCCCATGGCTTTACATTCATATCCCTCTGGAAGTTCAAATCAGGTTGATGAATTAAAACATGTAGTTAGACATATATATGCAGTAATCATGTAATGTGTATCTTATTTGACCAGTGCATGAATATGACAATGAATATTTGATTGTTACCAAGTCTTCTAGAGTCTACTTGGTAACAATCAAATAGAAGAAATAATTTAATACTGTATGTCTGAAGTTATGTATTTGAAAGCATGTCTTACATTGTAGCCTAGCTCAGAAAGATAAGGCACTTCTCCCAGTTGTAAGAGCAAGTTAGATTTCTCCTTTATATTTTTTAAGGTGATATAATGAATACATTTGTATGATGTAAATAGATGAGAAAAATAAGTTTGGTTTGTGGTCTACTACTACTCTATAAGAGAGAGTAAAATTATAAGAAGTATTTTAGTATGGGCAAATGTAAACAGATTCTGAAATCATATGAAAGTGATTGGGATTGAAGTGGCAGGTATAAGTGAAGTTGTACTGGATATGATGTAAGTAAATATAAGACTGTTGATATTACATAATGCTATACCATGCTGTGAAAACCTCCATAACAAGGAGAGGAATGGTAAATATACTAGTCAATGAGAAAAAATATTAGACTTCCTGATCAAGTTGCCTTTTCTAAACAGTATCACGCCTGGTGTCATTTATTTTCTTGTTACACTTGATGAAGATAGATTTATTCAACTTTTTTACATTGTTTAGGTTCAATATCTTCAAAAGATGCCGTGACTGTTTCGTAATTGACTAGGAAATGTCAAACCTTTCAGAGGAGGTGAGGCAAATATATATTGTAGTGGCAGCAATAGATGGACGATGGCGTAAATTTTGAAGCCAAACAATGTGGCAATTCTTCCCCTAGGCAGGTGCTGTTACAGCTAAGGTGCTAATATACCGTGGTGTTTTAGAATACGGCTATCTGTGGATACCTTGTGTGAAACATGGACATCAATTTGGTGCTCTGTTATTGTGAGTGTAGAACAACTGTTAGGTTAATTGAAGGGAAGTAGGTAGTTAGGCTGAGTAAATAAGCTTGGGGTGGGTGTATGATGAGTTGTTTTCAGAAAAGATCTATATGTAGTGAATTTTTTTGACACAGCGTAGATATCAGTGCACACTTAATGATGAGAAAACAGCATGTAATTGAATTTTTTAATGGGTGGTACAGGCACTTTTTTCTTTCTTTTTTTCACCAGAGACAAAATATACCTTTGGCAGTTAAAGTTGTTTTTAGTTGGACCACTTAAAATTAGAAATATATTTTTTCATGGTTTTTTTAGTGACCAGCGGTCTATAGGCAATGCTTGCCCTAATTAGTAGCAATATAATTTTGATCTTAATAGATATCTGAGTCTGCTAATGGCCAGATGCAGCTCACTACTTTCTCTGTTTGGCTACTTATGTTACATTTGATGTTTAAATCTGAAGGACAAACTGAAAAGTTGTCTTGACCACTGAAAATATACACAGAATTTAGTTTTGCTAATCCTGATACAATACTTTTAATTAGGTCTAGTTTTCTCAGTTACTTCTGAATTCTAGGAAATATTGATTACACACTGTATAAGAAAGGTTACAAATACCGGTAGTGTTCACTCCCATTCCAATTTTTATATATATGAACTAACCAAGGTGTCTTAATGTTGAAATGTTTGGACATACCGATATATATTGTTTATAACCCTATGTCATGTTTCCAATTTTTAAGATAAACAATTCAGAAAATGAAAGTGATTAGATGAAATTGATCTAAAATTGATATGATTAAAGATAACTAATTTTCACTTTTATCTTGAGGAAAGTAGACCTGTTCATCATTTTAGGAACACTGAGAAAGTAAACTGGACATGTTTTGATTCTATCATTATAATACATCAATTATCCATCAGTGAATTAAGTGCATAAAGTCACACTGCAATAAAGTCATACTCCCTGTAAGTGAAGGCCTTGGTATAGTAAAGATTATTTTTTTTTTTTTTGAAATTTTAACATTTTCCATTTGAATTCATCACTGTCATTTGAATTCATCACTGTCATTAAACTGTTGACAAGATTATGCTCTTTTTTGAGACAGTTTCTGATAATTAAGTTATAGCTTGGTGATAATAGAAATATTGCTGAAATTTCCAGGATTTCCCCCTGTATTGAGGTCTACTGTGCATGGTAACATAAGTTTTCCCTTTGCCATAATTTGATAATTAGTTTATATCTGATACTTCAGTGGAATCAAGCCTGATCCCTATTACATTGTATGATTAACCATATGAAAATAATAACTATATATTATTAACCTCTGCAGAAGAGTACCTAAGGGCTGTGAAGCATGTTTTTTTTCAACTTAAAGGTTGCATAGATCAGGGGGTTAATCTCATTGAAAATATTCTCAGATGTAAGTGTCAAGAAGGTGTTGTTTCAAGTGCAGTGAAGGTCCGGTTTGGATTTTTTTTCTCTTCACTGCAGATTTCTGTTTTTTTTTTTTTTTTTGTAATATGGGGTTCCTTTGATTGACAGCACAGAAAGTGTGGTACAAAAGTTTATATTTCAAGAGTGTTAAGTGCTGTCCTCTGAAAACTGTATTGTATTTTGCATGCATATATAAAAATAATGTTTATGTTTGTAATTTGTTCTCTGCAAGCTTATTGGTTAAATCAAATCATCTAAAAATCATTTAAAGAATACTAATACCTTAAATCAATGTGACAAGTTAGTATTTAGTGGCAACTTTGTATTGGGTAAATTGTTTTGGATTGTTTTAAAAAATAAATAAATAAATGAAAATGAATAAAAAATATTTGAAACAAAACCCGAGTATTTTTACCTTTCATTTTGTATTTCAGTGAGCATGGACAAAGATATTTTTGTCAGATACACGTATGATTCAAGACTAACTGGAATTTATAGCAACTTATGCAATGTGAAGTACTGAATACTTAAACCCTTTCTGATCTTTCCCACTCTCCCCCCTCCCCCCTCAATTCAAAATTAAAATTATGTATACATTAATACTCTTAATATTAAAAGTATACCAACCTATATCTAGTTTTATTATTGCAACAGGGGTATCTGTTAGGTCCAAAATATCATCGATGAAAATGGTCCTTGCGGTTGGGAGAGGGTGACCCTTACTTAAAATCTCACGGTCGATGGCGTCCAGTTGTCGCACGCTCACTCCACCTTGGTTGTCTACATTGTCAATGAATGTCACATTTTCATGCATATCGGAGACTGCATTTACTGCCAGGAGAACTTGGCTGGTACAGTTGTTGAGATGGATACTCTTGTGAAAGCGGCGCACACTCTCCCAATATGGCTCTACTGCAATAACCATGTGACCCATTTTGATGGCCAAGAGTGTGTAATAGCCAATATTAGCACCAATGTCAATTACAAATGCGTCTGGGACAGCTGCCAATGCTCTTTGATAGACATCTGTTATGTGAGGTTCCCAGAATCCTCCAGAACGAAGTGCTGCGGAGATGAATTTGTCCTCATCTGATTCATAGACACATATTGGAAATTTGGGTGTGGTTTTTGTCAGTATGCATTCAATGTCACTATTATGGGTTTCAGGAACTTCATTGTATAAATTGTACAAATCTGTCGGAGTATTTGCACTGGGAAGGAGAAAATGGCGTGGAATGCTCATACGAGACAATTGAATGTTGGATGGAAGTTGAACAAAGTTTCTTTTTGCAAGAATAAAATTTGAGTCAGTTTCTTCTCTCACATTTTCTGCTCGGAGGTTAATACTTCTGTACTTGCCCATCAGGTGCAAGAAGAGAAACAGGAGACAAAGGTTCAAAAGACCTAAAAAGAAAAATATATATATGGTGGTTATATGATAAGAAGACTAAAATAGCACCAAATGAAGCCTCTCATTAATTAGACCCCATTCCCACAGATTTTAGATTGATCTATCCCTGTGGGGAGTCTCACTAGATTACTGTCAGCTTAGCCGGCTTAAGCGTCTGTCCCGCCTACTAAAAGCTGTAAGGGGGTTATTAACTACCGTGCGCTCGGCTGAAAGCAATTTAGCGTGAACCCCCAGGGAGTTGGGTCGTTCTAGATGGATCGATCTAAATCTATGGGAATGCAGTCTTAGATTGGTTGGAAAGGGATTAGCTGTACAACAATTGTTCAAGTAGTCAAACAAACATAAGGCACATTTCTCAAACTCTATCAACTCGTGTGACATGTTTTCATAATGTTACAATATGCGACTTATGTAGGTCTGTGACAACACAGGTTATTGTTGAAGAAGTAGGCTATGAAGAGACAGAGACTGAGACAGATGAACAACATTGATAACATTACTCAAAAGCTTGGCACAGGTAAAAACAAGTGATTATACTCTGGCTTAGGAAAGCAGATTGGCATTTTGAAACAGAAGTGAAGGAGATAGATAAGTAGATAGATAGATAAATTTATTGGCAGATCCCTTATCCACCCCTCTTTGTAAAAAAAATACCAGACACTAACTTGATTATTTGAAAATAATATTACGGCCTTTTGGGACAGATGTACAGACTGTTTGATTACAGGCAATGAACAAAATGCCTTGATGTACCTTTCAGTAAATGGATTAATAAACCAGCTTATTCCAGAATAGGGATTTTTTTCCTTGAACAAAGTGGGAAATGAAGTGTTTTCATGTCGTTGATGAAAAACAAAAACATCCTTTGGGTGTAGATCTATACAATCCATTGAAATTTGAGAGACTATCCGGTAAAACTAAGTTTAAAGACTCAGCAATCCAGTTAGGAAAGGTCATCTTAGTACAAGTGTTAAATCTTTATCTCGAAGCAAGCTAGCTAATTTTATTAGTAACCGCCGTTACTGTAATTTCTAGAAATTTTCAAACATCTTTCACATTACAATATTTTGCTTTTTCAAGATTTATCATTTTCAGTTTTTCATAAAGATTAAGTATAATTGACAAGTAGACATCTCTCTTTTCACAACTTTCATATCAACATCTTTCTTGTGTAACCATCAAAACATATTTTCGGAAAATGATATCAGTGTATTTTGTTCAAATTTGATAAGTGATTACCGTATGCTTTGGCCTTGTAACATAATGCACTGAGAGAACATTTAGTAAGTAAACCCAGCCTCCAGTGGCTGGGGCCACATTATTATAGAAATGGAAAGAACATGTTATGGTGTAATCAAGTTAGGTTTGCATTTAGACAAAGTAAGTTGGGGGTAATTAGGATCTCCCCAACAGTCAGTTTGTATTAATGGTAATATGTAAATGCTTGTAGGTGCACGAAAACAGTTTTCTCGCTGTATGTGCGTTTCCAGTATTTAACAAAAGGCTTTTTGTATTTCTCCTTTTAACGTTTTAGGTGAATTTCCAGAAGTACTTGTAAAAAATCTCTATATGTGAAAAATCATGCCTGACAACAATAGTATGAGTGCAGAATTTGATTTTTTTTTTTTAAATTTTTTTATTTTTATTTTTAGATATCTACTTTTTCAGAGTATTTTATGACTCGGAAACCTATTTATAAGGGCATGAATTAAGGCAATTGTGCTGTCAAGCAATAATACTGAATTGCAAAAATAAATTTCATAGGAAAAAATATTGTAGCATTCATTATTTTTACAAAAAGTAATGATTTTATAAGTTGGCACATTGCAATAAAATATGTATTTGGCCGATATCCCGTCCATAGAATTCCCCTAACTTCATACCAGTAAATTTGAATTTGAATGAGTAGACTTCTGGGGTCTACTGGACAGAATCAGTGGGATGAAAGGTATGAGGTACGTATAATAATGTAGTTTACTCTAAGAAGAATTTTTGATCTTTAAAGCTATCCATCATTTTGGCTGACATTTATGATGAATCTTCATCTACGTCTAATAAGTATATCAGGTTTTTACTTCAGAAGTCATTTCCCGTTATTGCCCATTGAGAAATCCAATTATGAAATCTATTTAGAGGCCAACATTGTTTATGATAGAGGCAATGTCTATAATCATTTTTCCAGCATATGTCTTTGATATACGTACACATAAAGCATACTTGTGAGACTTAACTCTGGTAATTGAATGAAATAACCTATGGATTTTTGTACCTGCCACCGACTTATACAGATGAGAGTGCAGTTTGAAATGTATATAATCACAGTGATTGGTTTCTTGCTGCTGCACCTCTCTCCAAGAACTTACATATTATGGTAACTTATTGCTCAAGGGTCAAATTTACTAAGCTACATTTGAATTTTTGTTCATGGTGAAACAAAGTATATTTTCAACATTTGTATTGCATTGTAAACACCCTATTTCTTGTTATAGCATATATCAGTCTTACAGTAATAAATATTTGTATTACAGTAATTTATTTTGTTTATGTAATCCATGCCAGTATACATTATTGACAAGATGTAGTCTGTGTTGAGTCTAGTGTCTTACAAACTACTTTTATGATATTATGTTACAATCAATACAAGTATTCAATGTCCACCATATCCAAGTACAGATTTATTCACATACTGTTGAAATACCTTGTTCTTGAGTCAATAACATTACGAAATTAGTATTGGTGTCCTTCAGGATATTATTGTTGTTCTTTACTCATTGATACAAAATAGTTGAGCCACGATATTACCAGAGCCTTTTTTCTGGAACTTGTGAACTCTGAATGTTCTGCTTAACCGTGTCAACATGCATGGATGACTGGAAAAATATTGCTGTTAGCTGCAATCAAATGGTCAGCAGATTAATGTTTACATAAGGGGGACAGGTGTAACATTTGTCCACCTACAGTGCCCTTCAGGTGATCAGCTGTGGTGTAGTGCTAGAGACAGAGAGAGAGAGAGCTAGAGACTGGGGTTGATCACACATTTTGATGAAAATAAAAATGACCAGATCCGTCTCAGAATCTTTGCTTATTATATTAATAATGAGTTTTATACAGTTTGACAAAAAAGAAAACAATAATGCAAAAAAATTGTTTCAATTTGTAATGTTTAGGGAATAAGAAATTAATGTGCCAATATTATTTTTCTCATTTCATTTCGGCTTTAAATTTTGATGAAAATAATAGTACTGGGGGTAGTAAGGAAGATTTGCATCTTCACAGATCAACAAAATAAAATTTCATTGTACCAACAGGGTACAATCTATTAATACGAAGTTATAGCTACACCACTAATATCAGCCATATATTTGGCTTGGTATCAGAATTAGGTTTGATGTTTACCATTCAGAGAGGGAGGTTTATCTTATTTCTGTCAGAAGGTAGAGCAGTTTTGTGAGATATTTGGAATGAAATACCATGTTTTGAACAGCACATTTCTCACAATAAATTGATTTAGTGTTTGTCCTCAGAACCAAGCCAGATTACTCAGAAACGTGAGATCGGTGATTTTTGTGATATGTTTTTCATTTCTTTTTCAGAATTTTTCCATATTGTTGGAATTGATTGAATATTTTATTTGGAGAACTTCTGTTGTTTTAAAAGGTTTTAATTTTTTTGTTAGTCATACTGTGCATAGTTAGACTCACACATGGTTTAATAGACAGGCACCTAACTCCTGCCTTTGATAAAACTTTTGTTTGCTCTGAAAATAATTACTATGAAAACTTCAACATAGCCTCTAACTCTTATCGTGCAGCTGAAAATGACTCTGTTACTAGAAAAATACAGCAGAAATGTTTCATTGTTAGATCACTTAAACTAACGTGCTGCAGGCGCCATTTCTTAAACAAGCAGACAACTTTTAATTCTTGTAAATGAATAGTTAATTTTACACTGAATATTTAAGATTATTTTCACACTAAATAAATATTTTAGTGCATACTCACTCAAGTTGTACTTTAAAATATTCTAAATCTCAATTGACTTGAGTGATTTTTTTTTTGCACTTGTAAACTCTAATCCTTAAAATGTGTTCTAGCCTAAGATGTTTTAGTATATACATGAACACTTAATCCTTATTGTTTCTAATTGTAACCAAATTCTGCCTCCTAGAACATGGGGTCTAAGTAAGGACCACCAGTGTGCATTGTCAGGTGTTTGTACCCCTAATTGTTAATCTCTGCACGGTTCAGCGCTTGATCAGATGTCACACTTTTCCTTTACATTTACTCTTTTCTTTTCTCTGTGCAAACAATGTCTAAAAGGGCTGTAAGTAGTTTATTTGTCAGATTTCCCTTGGGTGTGCTTCGTTACGTCTTTTCGTGCTAAAAGTTTCAAGAAACTTTTTTGTTGAGAACTCAATCCAGGTGGCTTGGGGTACCTGCGTCCCCCGTGGGCATAAGATCAAAGATTGGGTGAATTTTCATAACTCACCCATTTCTGAAATAATATTTATCAGGTAATAGATCTGCATTGTCCAGTGCTTAGTCCACTCCGAAATGCCTGTGGTCAACTGGCCAGGCGGAATGACCACGGGGGCTTAGAGAGTCAGTACATTGGTTTACTTTGTAAACAGATTCCAATATTTAGCCCACGGTCCATTAGTCTACCCACTGAAACATGGTCGGCGTGAAAAGGCAATAATTCTTCCGAATTTGTGATTTCATTATTTGCTGTTTTGGAATGATGTAATTTGTAGTCGATCTTCTGGAGACTGTGATCTCCTTTGTTTTGAAGCCTGCATAATGGATGTTGATTTGCCGCCATGGCCTCATGAAAAATGGCCAACATTGGAAATCATGGGTCATGTTGTTTAGCTTAAAAGACAGTGGACTTTATTTTTAATTATTGTTTTTGTTGCCTTACTTCATGCAATATGTGCAAATAAAATGGTTACAATTTTGATGTTTTGAATCCTTTTGAAACAGGCCTCTTGATATATATATATATATATATATATATATATATATATATATATATATATATATATATATATATATATATAACTGTAGAGAGCTGTTAGAGAGAAAAGCATAATGTTGCAATCTTTCAATTTCCCCCATTCCCATTATCATTACTTGGCAATAATTGAATTGTAGCATTAGCAGTGTTCAGCTCACTTATCAAATATTGTCTTATGGACCATGTTCAATGAAGCAGTAACTGACCGTGCAGTTTTTTTAATCATTACTGCATTTATTTTCTTTTTGTGCTCGCATGTAAGGTGTTTAAAGGTGCATGTGTGTGTGTGTGTGTGTATGTGTGTGTGTGTATGTGAGAGAGAGAGAGAGAGAGAGAGAGAGAGAGAGAGAGAGAAAGAAATGCATCAGTTCTGCCCTCATCATTTCAAAATCCTGTGTTTGCACTTATCAAAATCACAATGGTAGCCTAAATCACTCACTTTTTTTTGGTCAGCAAATTCTAGATATTTTATGTTAAATATTTGGCTCATTTAAGAGATCAATGACTTAAGAAAGTGTAAATGCCTCTTCATTAGAAGACAAACAAGGAGAAAGGATTTGGACTAACAAGCGGTAAGAAGTCAATAAGTTGCTATTAGGAAAGGGAAGGTAAATGTAGAAGGAAGGAAGCCAGGCTTTTCGCATTTTCACAGGTCAGTCTTCTTTAACCTGCCAATCATGACCAAAACCCTCAAGTTGTTTTGATAATAGCTAAGAAATATGATAGGCAGATGCTGAACTATTATTGATTTTCTGTTGCAAGAAGGAAATTGGAGATGTCTCTCTTTTTTTCTCCCCTTTTATATTTTAAATATGTATTTAGCCTTTCACTTTCTTACAAGATTTCCATTAATCCTTTCTCTGCTGTCATCTGTGTGGGAGCTCTCAAGCTCTCAAAGGCACTACTTTTAACCATTATGTCATTTATTGTGAAGGAAGATTGGAATTTATTATTGCACAATATTGAAATGCCCAGCAAGCTTGAATGACACTCAGAAAGACATTTTAATCCAGCAAAAATTTACCCATATAATCAACTTGAATGTGCCATTTGTTTAACTCATGTGTAACACAATAAACTGTCTCAAAATATGAAGTCATGTATACTACATACAGTCACAATTTTGTAACAAGAACTTCATTTTTGTAACTTAATTGAAGAGTAAAAAAATATCTTTGCAATTTAATTTCAGAAATGTTTACTTTTAATTTGCTATCGCCTTACCTATTTTAAGCCATTTACACACAAGTTTGGTACTGTGTAGGTTGCCCAAGGCCCCATTATGCACCGTTATTGCTATGTTAATTCGTCTCCAATCCTGAAGGTTTGGATATCTTCTAGAATGCAAATACCAGGAAGACATGATGGCACTTAATCGTCATCTACCTGTATCTTAATCCTTGTCTCTATCTTACTCCTTTCTCATTCTGTCTTTCTGGCTTTGAAGTTTCATGTCAATAATCAAAGGCAGCATGTTTGGTGTTATGACTGGTGAGTTACCGAAGAGTGCATCATGACAGACTGAAGTAGTAAACGGCCAGGATTTTCTCATGTCAATTCATTGATCATTCCAGGCTTGCTGCTAGCTGTGCTCTGAGTCATTTGTGCTGTGATAGATTTGTGATCCATTCATCCCATAGAATTAAACAGCAATTTCTATAAAGGATTCCCCTTCTTGACCTACTGAAGGTTTCCACTTCACTTGGTAAAACCAGGAAATGCTGCGGAGATGGGAAAGGTACTGGAGCAGCCGAGGACAGATGTTTTTTCTCCCTTTTGAGAAAATCAAAACCTTCACAGACCAACTAGCTTCGTGTTTTTTTTTCTTAAGTTGTATCAAATATCCAGGTAGGCTCTTATAAAAGGTTTTTTTCCGTCTTTTTTTGGAGAAATGTTATTTTTTACCTCTGCATTGGACTAACTGAGTGCAGGCTAACTAGTCACTGTCTTTTTCAAAGACTACACTGGTTCTGTGTGGTAAGCCCCATAGCAGCATGACATTACTCTAGCAGACGTAACTCCACATGGACAGAGCGGAACAATGGATGGGTCCATTTGAGTGGTTTGTTAGGGGGTGCTAGGTAGTTCCTGCTGGGGAACCTCCACGGTGTGAACATGGAGCTGCCTGTCCCATATTTTAGTTCTACTAAAGAAAGCAATATTGAAAATTGGTCTTTGATTTAAGCCCAAAGAATTCCGGTCTACTTCAGTTTGGGATAAATTTATATAGCATACCACTTAAGAATAATAATTACTATTGGAGGAAATTTGAATTATTTCCTTTTTTCATTAAACAGCCCTATAATTTTTTAATTGTAATATTTAATTGGACTACTTACTAGTCTACAGATTCTTCCTTAATGAAAAATAGACTTCAGTTTTGATCTTTAAAGATTAGACCAAATTTTGTTTTTCATTTCTCCTGTGACCAGAGATCTGCCCAGTCCCTGAGATCTGCCTGTCCTGGGGGCTTTCGTGATTTGTAGCTGATATTTGCCTTGAAGAAACTAAGACTGAATGTCCTGATCAATACACCTCTACACAAGCTCCATAGTTTCCATTATTCCATGGTAGCAGCGGTGCAGTTTTAAAAAATTGAATTATGAATGGTTCCTTATCTTGATTCAGAGTAATGGCTCATCTGTTTAGTTTGCTGCACAAGATTAGATATAGTTACTGAGCTCTTAGAAATGCTTTGCTGAGGTCATGCTAGAAGTAACTTATTTCAGGTTAAGGCTTATAGAAAGAAGCTTTATTCATTTTTGTGCCATTATGCATAAATAAATTACATGAAAAGATTAAATGGATTATATAAAGATTAAATCTGCGTTATGCTACAGGATATTAAATCTTGGTTCCGAGGTTTAATTGTTAGGCCCCTGAGACGGCACATGTGGAGGTGGGGAGACCATCAGGAGATTAATTGGCATTGCTTTTAAGTGGGTCAACCATATATGATCCGCAGATCTGTTAGGCCGTATTCACATCGAGTTGAGCCATGGCTCTATAAAGCCACGACCTTCATATGGCGAACTCACATGAAAGGAAAACCGCCTAATCTTTTAATAGTTTCTCTGCCTCTCACACGCATCCCCATGTGTCGTCCCAATGGTGCCGATTTAATGACTGTACCCCCGCAGGGACGACGCATGGGGAGGCGTGTGAGAGGAGGAGACACTATTTAAAGATTAGACGGTTTTCCTTTCATGTACGTCCGCCATATTTAGGTCGTGGCTTTGTAGAGCCATGGCTCAACTCGATGTGAATGCGGCCTTAGTCTGCAGATCAACTTGTTCTGGATGTGCTCCAAGTTGTTTCATAAAAAAACACTTTCTTCTCAGAATCTGTCATTTTGCCACCTTTATAAACCTGTTCACAATATTTAAATTTGATACTCAGTCACTCGGTAGTTACCATGGTAACAATGCCAATTAACTAAATGATGTTGATTTATACTGTAGCTGCTGGAGCAGTACACTGTACCTTTTATTATTTAGAGACATTTCATGTCTTTTCATTCAAAAATAATATTTTGAATATATATAGGAAAATTGGATAATGAATATGGTGTGAATATGGCTGTGGCTGATGTTGTGTTGGATGATTATGTAATAAGAAATGCACTGATTATTCAACAAAGGTCATGCTATTTTTCTTCATTGTAAATTATTATAAAAAAACAGCTATCTGGTATTTGTAAGAAATGAATGGTAATCAGTAGCCTAAGCATGTTTTTTTTTCTCTTAGTTTATTTTTTAATAGATTACATATTAAGCCAAAGTAGTACCTGTAGTAGCCTATGTCCTTAGAATAAGTAGAATACTAATAGTCTACATCCTTAGAATACGTAAATGGAATACTAGTGTGTATTCTTAGAATAAGTATGTGCCATTCCATGCTGCCACATGCATACTTACATGTAGTCTATTGATAGAGATTAGTAGACAATATCTTGTCTCGATACAAAGGTTTACTGGTCAGAAGGTTTATTGGTCCGAAAATGGTAAAATTTTCATCATTTTTTAAATCAAGAGTTCATTGGTCTGAACATTCGGGCCAATGAACCTTCGGACTATTGCTACGGCCCGGACAATATCTATATCTGTTGTCTGGCACACCTGATGGAGAGACCATCATTCTTTCATGCAGTCACTGGGGAAGAATAATGATGTTTGGGGTTCTTTTGTTTATATAATTTTATAAGGTTAAGAAGTAGCCTAGGTCTGCAGGGTACCAGTTAAAAACTTGTACAAGTCATATTTGCTGCTGTGCAGTTTCACTGAAATCACCTTAAAAGCACCCAAAAACATTATGTCCTCATACATAAATATAAACCCTCACTAGTGGCTTTCATTTGGAGGCCAAAGACCTACATAAAAATGCTGTACTTGGGGACTTTTCTATTGATTCTGATATTTCCTATGAAGACAAGCCATTTTATTGGCCTCACAGATACTTATTGACTAGCAGTGTCTATTTGTTTGTTTTTATTGATTTTTACTCGGTGTCATAAAAATGGCCATGTTAGATTTTCAGAAGGCCAAGTCTTAGAATTCATTAGATTTTTGGATGGCAGGAGAAATGTTTCTGTGCAATGTGCTTGTAGTGCATGCTGTGTCAATTTTCTGATAATTTCAGGCCTTTTACCTCTTGCAACTAATGTTTGTAATTACATTAAAATTGTTTTATGTGATTTTTTAACTCCAGTTGTGGAAATTTGATACAGTATTGTTGCACAGAACAGCTTTAATTCAGAAGTAATTGACATAAACTTTGTCTTAGAATTTGATTAAGTTGAAAATACTAACTGTTTTAATTTAGTGTGTACTGATGCAGTGCATAAGCTAGTGTTATTGTTTGACTATAGTATATTTGGTAGTGTATGCCAAATATAACAAGTATGTGTGTGAGTTAATTTACCTGTGTGAGTGAATGCATATGTTTTATTTATGTTTGCATGTACTTGTGCTGTAAACATCTCTCTCTTTCTGTGTAAGTGTGTGTGTGTGTGTGTGTGTGTGTGCATGTGCGTGTGCTCCAGAAGCACTCATTAAATGATACATTTATATTTCTTCTCCTACTAAACCAATAATCTGTGATGCATATATTCCCCAGATCCGTGTGAACTCAGTCAATCCCACTGTTATCTTAACTCCAATGGGGCAGAGAGTTTGGGGGGATGACCCAGTCAAGAGTAAACCACTGCTGGACAGAATACCTACAGGGAGATTTGCAGGTGAGGAGGAAACATTTTACCTTGGAAAATTGGTACATTCCTGATTAAAGGGATAATAACTCTTTGTTTTGGCCAGAAAATGAATTTTCCTGGAGTAAACAACAGTTTTCCCATGCTTACCAGTGGTTAATGAATCCATTTTTGCATTCAAAGTTAGTCCCTGGTTTTTTTCTAAAAAGTTTGGTTTTTTGTTAAAATCTCTTGAGAGATTATAACAGAGTACAGCCATCAATGGAAGTCACGTGATCTGAAGACAAGCTCAGATATCAGAATAATAGCTATAACTGCTGTTTTTGTGGTAAAACAGAATACATTATATTTCTATGAGTTGTTCACAATGTTTTTATTGTGAAATAAAGATATCATACGAAGAGTTATTATCCCTTTAATTTTGTACTGAGATATATATGAAGTTTCTCCATTATATCTGTTATTATGAAGATATTATAATGATGATAACTTCTACTGGTTACATGTGGATCTGAATAACATTTTGTGGTTAGTTCAAGAACAGGAACAAGATTTTTGTATATTATCTCAACTAGGAACAACTAGGAACAACTAGGAACAACTAGGAACAAGATTTTTGTGTGTATTATCTCAACTAGATATCTCTGGTTAGCAATCTTCATGAACCTAAGTAAAATAAAAACTTATTGCCAATGCTGCTTATTTCTTTAAGAGAGTTGGCATACCCATCTTAATTTTGTAGACTTTTTGTACCTGTAATGACTTAATATTCTCAAATATTAGATTTACTGAGCATCCAGATGTTTATTTTATATTTTATCAAACATGTTTTATCTGTGTAATGAAAACAAAAACACTTTGGAATTTTGATTAGTGAGTTAACAACTGTGTTGATTTTGGTGTGTGCATATGCAGGACATTAAGTCGGGTATTGATTTTTCCAGTTTATTCTCAATGAAATGCAAGTTGTGCAACTTCTAATTCTAGTACAAGAAAGGTTCATGTTATAACTGATTACTGCTCCTACAGACCTCCTTGTAGTAAGATATAGAAACAGTAATTTAAAGTTGAAAGAAAAAAAAGACATTTTATTTTGAATACATCTCTGTAGAATTTCTCCTAAACTTATTCATTTCTCCTCATGCAAGTAAGTTGTTTGTCTCTCCCTTCACTTGTCAGTTTCTCAGCTGTCATCTATACACTGCTTCAAATAAGTACAGCAGTTTAATTGCTTCGATCTGGCAAGTTATGAACAAGTCACCTTTCAGAGGATACTCAGCAAGTAAAGTGGTAAACTTATCTTCAGGGTAAAGTCGTTTTTTATGCCTAATGGACCTAATTGGGCTTTCCTTTAAGTTTGCTAGATTGAACAAATTGAAAAGCATTCATTTACCTGTCAGTCCAAATTTACATGACATGAAAAAAATGGCCTCACTTTTAACAGTTAGTGCAGTATATACACAGGTGTTTAAAACACTTTGTTTTTAAGGAGAGTCATTCATCTTAAAGTCATCCTATGTAATTGTGGAACAGAGCACACGTTTTATGTTCATATATGACAATATAAAACTGACATTAAAACAGTTAAAATGGTCTGTTGACAGCAATTTTAAAGGGGAGGGGGGTCTTTCTTGAAAAATTCAACCTTTTTACCTCCTTAGTTGACCCAATTTGAAAATTAAGTATTTACTTTAAAATATTTCAGTTATTGTTCTGTGATCAAGTCTTACAATGTGGTAGGTGAAATATCCCTATAACTTCATATGTCCCTCCACTGACAGTTAATGATAACATAAAAAAAAACAATCTTCATGTTCCAATTGCTAATGAACTCACCCATTCTTTAGAGTGTTGAATTGCAAAATAAATAAAGCTAGGAAGATTGCTTTGTATAAATTTACATGCTGTATTAAAAATCCAATTGAAAAATGACTGGAGGTTTAGTTGTAAAGTAAAATATTCACATTGTGGATGGTAATCACTATTGACAATATTGACATTTCCTTAAAAAGCATCTCTAGGGTTGTTCTGTTTTTTTAGCATTTTGTCAGAATTGTGTGGAAAGAGTGATTAAGTTTTGGAAAATTGTTTTATTCATACTTATTAGCATTTCTCTGACATTCTCCCAGGATTTAAGTTTTTCTAGGCTGTATACACAATCATAAAATAAGTCATCAAGTCACATAAATGAAAATGCATCCCTTAAGTTTTTTGCTTTTTGCATTTGGTGAAGATTATGTGATTATATGGAAATAGGGATTAGGTTTTCAGATGTGTTTTATTCATATATTTAGCATTTCACAGAAAAATGTACCAAGTGTCTCCCAGATGTAATTTTGGCTCCACACATTTGCTTTACAAAATGCTGTCATTTCTCTCAATAATCAATACTTTTTATAATATGTAATTGCTCATTGCTTAAAAATCTGTTTTATTCATAATAACTCTTCTCCTTTCAGAAATAGAAGATGTTACAGGGGTCATACTTTTCCTGCTCAGTGACAAAGCAGCCATGGTCAACGGCCATAACATGTCTGTGGATGGCGGGTTTTCCATTTAACTTCCATGGAGTCCAGTCTGCTGTATAAGCATATTGTAATTTTACATCATTCCTCTCTTCTCAGTGACAGCTACTCACTGATGCCAATAAAAAAAATCAATTAAAAAAAATCATTGAACATTGTTTACATTTAATTAATCGTGCCATCTTGACATTAAAAATATATATGGATCTTTCTTGCATTTATGCATGCATAATTGTAAAAGCAGTGCCTTTTTTTGAAAATTGTCCTGTGATTTTATAAAGCACAATTTACTTTTTATCATCATTCCTTAGCATGGTAGAAGGTTGTACTTGCTGTTAGCGTTATATCTCATTTAAATTAGATTATTGGAGTATAAATGACAGGAATTGTATTTCCAAGACAATGTTAGAAGATACGATTAGGTGCCATCAGTCTATACCACATTAATAATAATAATAATAGTAATATAAGTAGCCATTATTATCATTTGTCCAAGGCAGATCAGATTATGGTGCTCATTACAGGGTCCAATACTCTGGGGCCTGTGTTATTAAAAATAATTATGTTATTAAATATAATTACTACGTGGTCAGAGAATTTATTTCATATACTTATTGATTCTTAAGATATTCATATATAAAGTGTTTGTTAATTTCATTAATGTAGCTTTTCACTGCCAATGAATTGTGCATTTTTTAGTTAAGCAATCTTTCCTTGCATTGGCAATGAGCATTTTTGTTAATTTTCACAATGACAAATTGTGTCCAACAAAATCCTGTTTAATTTGTAATAATCAATTATTACATAGTCTAAGGTAAGTGAGGAGTTCCACAGAAATCATTGCTAGAATCATAAAATTATTGATGAATTCTGTACTGTTATCACTGCAGCAACTGTCTCCTAGTGACACAAATTAACTCATGAATGTGTCCCACATAAGTTTGAAATAAATACGTCCCTTTGCTCAAGTCCTAAAGCCATTTTTACAGATGCACAATGAGTACTAGACCTTAAAAACTGGAAATTTCATTAATTTTGACTTTAATTTTAAGTCCGACAATGTATCTGTATCCAAACTGTTTTTCTGGTTCTCTGTTTCCAGTTTTTACCACCCTGTATAAAACATTTTGGTCTCTATCTCCATTATGCTCAAGAACTTGAGAACTAAAAACTCAAAAAATAGGCACACGGATCTTATTTCTGTGTAAGATTTGGATATTGTATACTTCGATGATTAAAGGGAAAATGCTGAAATATCCATGAAAATTAAAATTTTATTACTGAAATGTCTAATGCTCTTTTGTGTTTTTAAGTTTCCTCTCTCATCAGCTATCCTCGCCTCTTTCTCCCTCAGTTTCTAGTAAAGATGGTACATTATCCAGCAGGTCAGCAAAGCTATCGGTATTGGTTTCACTGCCATTATCCAGTCCACTATCTACCTCCTCGCCAGAATTATTTATCAACAGTGTATCTGTACTAACATAAAATGGTGCCACTAAGCTTGTATCTGAACTTTGTGCAAGTCCATCAATGGAAGTACCAGTGGAAGACTTATTCATTGTGTTAGTTGAGCTTGAAGACATGGGGATTGTGTTGGTTGAACTAGTTGCAGGTATGACTGAAAAGACTTCTGAGTGTTTGGAAAGTTTTTCCATCTGTCGAATTATCTGGAATACAAAATTAATCTCTAACATGATATCAGATAATATTTGTACTTCTCTTTTATATAAAAACTTATGTAATAACACCATCATAGCATCAAGCATAATTCCATTTTATAAAATAAAAACAATTCCTAAGGATTTAAATTTATCATGTATGCATTACAAATTGACCACAGTGACTGTGTCGCAGAAGATTTTTATTACCCCCCATCCCCTCCTAGCATCCATACAACAAATATGCTCTCATACAGTAAAACTGACCTTTCTGGCCTTGGCCTGGACTGCCCCTTCTTTATGTTGATACAACATAATAAGGTTCTTGCTGAACACCAAAGTCAACTGGTCCACGGTGAAAAGATCTGACCGCATCATTGCTTCCAACAGAAGTAAGCACCGCTGAAAAAGGTAGCATTCAATAGTAATCACATAACTGCAATCTATTCGTCTGGAGAGGGAAGTCTGGAGTTGCTACATCCCAAAACATGGGTTGTGTCAACTACACTTTTGCTAATCTAGGGTCTATATATTTTTCAAAGCAAAGACTTAACTGCTAAGAATTTTAGCTGACTATGCTGTGTTTCACAAAGAATCTTAATGACCATTTGCCTCTTTTATTTTAGTCCTTAACTACATCCCTACAGCAAATTGTGATAATCTTCATATTGACTGTCACTCTCAGTGTTAACATTAACATGGGTAAATCGTTTCATAGGAGATTTCAGGTCAGTTTTTAAAATTAGAGTAGTTCACAATGTATATTAATCGGTTTAAGACTATAAGACTGAAATATTATAATTTTTTTGAGAAACAGACACCTGAAAAAGCTGTGACTAAGAATCACTGACAATTGTATTTGTTGGATACTAAAAGTATCTAAAAAAATATTCAATTGCAGTCTGATGCTTATCATGCTCTTAGTTTTCTGAAGAAATTCATTAGAGATGGCCTGGATAATTGCTTTAGTCTCCAATACCACCTACCATGAGCATCACATCATTTGTAGAAGTGAGAGCATCATTTAACAAGTCTGTTATTTTTTCACAGTTCAATATTTGGCACCTAAAAAAAACCTTTTATGAAAAGAATGCTGCAGAGTGTATTTGCTGATGAAAAATTAAAAAAAAAAAAAAAAAAAAAAACAGAGCTGCATATAACATCTTTACATAACCTATCAGTCAAGTTTTTAAAAATGGCTAATAAAAATTAAACCAAGCTCTTTAGGTCAACATGTATTTCATTTGAAATGACCTCTGAGGCAAGCAAGATAAAACCAAGCTTGTTAAAGTCAAGCTTACTAAACCAAGTCAAATAATATTTTTTAAAAATACAACAAGCACCTTTAGTTTTAGAGATCACTGAAAAGTGACATAACTGCACATAACACAACTTTCCAAGTATACCTTTTAAGGAACTCCTGGATTTCTCTCCGAGAAGGGAGTAGTTTGGCACTCTTTGAGGTAAACTGGTTGACTGCCTGGACCTCAGATGACCAGTCATCACTCACAGTCAAGGAATTCATCCTGGTCAGCGAATAATAGGAAATAGATTAATTTAACTGGCAATAATAATTGGACATAAGTGCTTGCTTAATATGCACCTTCAATAGGGTTGAGTCTGCTATTTAGTGCAAAAAATACAGTGTTGGGTCTAAGTGCTGCCTAGGCCAATGATAATTTGGCTCCCCAAAAGAATGAAATTCGCAAATATGTGGAAAACTCTCATCCCTGCTTCAAGCATTTGGGAGAAAAACTAGCTTTACAAAGGCAAGCTTAAAGGTAAAGATAACAATTACCTGTCAGACAACTCATTACTACCAGCACTGTGTCCAGTTGATCTGTCATGCAGGTTCCAGCTAGAACTGGTTCCCAGTTGACTTCCAGAACCACTACTTACTACCTCCTCCTCCTCATCATCATCCCAACCTCCTCCTGGTCGTCCTTTTACCCGAGCTAAAAAGAAAAGTAAAAACTGAACTCAATAATTCAAGATTGTCTCTCTTTCCTGCTCTTTTATTTATTTATTTATCCATTTATTTATTCATTAAGTATTGCATGTCAAAATGACTATAACTTTCCAAAAATAAAATAAATCAAAATCTGAAAGACATATTGTTACAAAAACATATAACATGTATGCTGAAACTTTGCCTGACATGTTATTTCCATTTGGTACATATTTCATGATATATACCCAGAGGAGTGCATGTATTATAACAGAGAAACCAAGGTCCAGAAATACTTTTATTATCAGTGTTACCGTTCAATCTCGTTAAAGATTGTACATTAAAATGTACCAGTGAGCAAAGAGGAGAAATAGCAAACTATAAGCCTGGGTGTAGTTTGAATACTCTGTGTTCAATCAATACTTACGACAGTAAAAACAGTCCAGGTGGTCATAGAAGTTGTGAAAGAAATTAGGATATCTTCAGGACAATAATTTATGCTGTGAGAAAGTTGCACGCCATGGTTTGAATTCAAAATTGTACATATCATGGTTTGATGCAAATTCATAATGCCACATTGGCTGGGTAGATATAAATACATATCTGATTATATACATTCTTATATTAAACAATTACAGTACCTTTCTGTGTTCCTCTATGTGTATCAGTAATGCTGTTCTCTTGAGATTTTCCAGGAGAAATTGCCTCCTGGAGTCTAACTCTGGTGTACTGGTCAAATGGACGCTTGAAATCTGCAGCTTTTGTCCTGGCTGTGGTCTCACTGTGGTCAGAAAGACTGTCCGCAAGACTTCTCAGGCCACTGACCACTGTGGAGCCAAGGCTTTCTGCATGTAAAAAAAAAAGGACTGAGACTAACAAGACAAAGTACATTCAGTTCTTAAAAACATGTATTACTTTATTTATTTTATGCATAATTCAACTGAATAATATATACAAAAAGCTTAGTCTCTGTCTTGTTAATTTCAGTATTTACTGTGCCAAAATCATTGGGTGCTGATAATATCTTTTTTGTATTAAAATACAAACCATCTATCATTCAATCATAAAATACTAAAACCAACTGCTTGAACAGAATTTTGATTTTATTCTAATCAAGCCTTATTGTTACGAGATCTATGGTAACTGTTATAGATCTATATTTCAATTAACTATATATACATGTAAATTATAATCATGATCTGCAATTTACATGTACTCACAACATTATAATTTTCACTTCATTGACTTTACAAAAGAAAACTGTTACAATTAGTGCTACAGTAGCAAACTTACTTGTTGTTTTGTTGGGGCTGTTACCAAAGCCTTCCAAACCAGACGAAGTAGAACCACTAATCCCAACTGAAATGGAAAGTTTACAATAAAAAACAATAAAAAAAACTCAAACGCAGTAAATGTGTACTGCTTATGTTTGTCATCTTCTTTCTTGTTGCCAAAGTTGCAAGTATAACCTTCCTTTATTCTTATAAGCCATGAGCTAAATATACAGTGAAACTTTCCAGTACAGTGTAATGTGAATACCACACAAGAGTGATCATACAACAATAAATCTTTCCACTAACCAGCCTCAATCCTGCCCTCTGGTGGCCTTGTTCTGTGCTGCATGCCAGTCTCATTGTACAACTGCTGGGACAGCTCCTGGGATGAAGATATCACAAACCAGTAAAACAACATTAACTATTCAAAACTCTAATAGTACACCATGTGTTGTTATAAAAACAGTGTATATTATACATGTAGTGCCATCAACTTTATTGTCATCATTATTATTTCTGTCATTTATTTATTTTGCTTTTACATGTTCTACTTACGTATCTATTTTTTTCATGGCAGAAATTTTCTCTTTTATTTGTGTGACTGGAGTTTGTATGATAAAAGATTTAGACATTTCTGAATAATCCAAAAAATAATCTTTTCAGATATATTACGTAGAGTTGTTAGATATAAAGTGACTTTGCCCTTACCTTGGCTGCCTTTCTTACTGTCTCATAAGGTGTGTTGCCATGGAGAGGATCTGGGGGACCCCCAAAACCTACACAGGAATAAATATTTACTATGTTTGACTTTGCATAAAAAACACCTTTGAAGTTTGACTTATTTAAAAAAGTCTGGTCACCAAAATAAAATGCAAAACATGTGCTGTTAAAAAGAAATTATTTCATTTCACTTACCGGTGCATATTATGGTAACTATACAATTGTAACAAGAACAATATGGTGATACAAGATTAAATGAGATAACACTAAAAACCTATACCAGGATAAACAATTAATTATAGTGGCTTTGTTGTAGCTGACTGAGTGTATTCAATAATGAAAATAGCATGATAACTTTATCTTGTCATTTTTTGAAAGTATAATTAAGTTTGAAAATCTCACTTTCCGCTTCCTTGATGCCCCTGGACTTTTTCCTCAGTCCCTCCACAAATTCATGGTGGCCATTGTCCACAAGGTATCTCATTATTTTTATCACCTGAAAATTCAAAGGAATTTAAAATTATATTTTGAATTACTTGGTATCATATTAGGATTTCATTTGTTTCCTTTAATGCAAAATTATTCTGAATTTCATTCAGTGCTACAATTTAAGCATTTCATGCACCTGAATATGCAACTTTCTTTGGTATAAACTATGAATTTGGTATAAAATAGGCAGAAAAATACAAATGCATGCATGAACACGCACACACACACACACTCTGCATATATGTGTGTGTGTGTATACATATATGTTAATAACACATATGTACCATGCACACACATAACACACCTACCTTAAGTTTAACATGGTAAGATTTGGAATCCAGTTTATCAACCAAATAACTCAGCAATGACTGGCAGTGGGATCCCGATTCATATGAAATATCTTTTTATATCTTCATGGAATATAACACTTTGAAAATAATCTAAACACACAGGTCTTTATATTACAATTTCTTTTCAAGCTATTTCTTGTTTAATTAGATTACATTAAGATAACAAAGATTTGCTGTGCTGATGCAAGGAATTATTTGTCAATGAACAAAATTATTATTTATTTATGTCAGTTATATAATGATGCAAAAGGTGGGTGACACAAAAAATTAAGGCATCCTAGTTCATGTAACTGAATATGCCATTGTTTGACTACTTGGCTGATTTTCGTGCAAGGTCACAAGACTATAAAACATTATCTTAAACAGAAAAAAAATTAATACACCCAGTCAGGCAGCTAGTACTTGAACTTATATGTCCCTTTATTAGTAACTCATTGTTTGTTCTGTATTTTATAACTTATCTAGTAAATGACAGTTGATTCAGAAGATGACATTGTGTGTATAAGTCATTTTATTGTATTTAAAATCAATCAATCTAAGGTCTGGTGCATTGATCAAAACATCTAAAATACTTTCATTTTAATTGTAAGTTTTTAACAAGTAACCTTTTCTATCAAATAAATCCATACCAAAAAGCTGACCTTGAAAGATAAGACAAATCCCTACTTCACATATATAACCTTTGAACAGATAACACAAAAACTAATCAAACTAATAACAAACTACAGCAATTGATCTTTAGACTGATACAGTATGCTGTATCAACTGCTTACGTGATTGTGTTAAGCTAAACAGTTCTAAATTATTTGACAGTGAACATCACATAGAGCAGGATGTCTCCACTATCATCCAAGACAGCTCTGCTGTTGGTGACATTATGTGCCACACTCTACTGTGTTCCTGCTATACCAGCACCCAGTCCAACCTCTACTGCAGTAGGCACAGGAGACCTGTACTCTGCTGTCTCTAAGCTCCAGCTTAAGGTTGAACACCAAGCCATGCTACTGAACTCACAGTCATTGTTACTTATGCAACAAATGCAGTTGCTTAATCAGCAAAAGCAACAGTTAGAACTTCAAAAACGAGAGCATGAACTTCAAAAGCAGCAAATAGAACAGCAAAAGCTGCAAATCAATCAACAGAGACAACAGATTGTTCAGCAAAAGCAGCAGTACAAATCACATTTTCCTCCAGAGGACTGTAAAAGTCTGCTGGTGTCTGGAAAAAATCCACTCCCAGGTGCCCAGATTAAAGTTACTTCATCCATATATCCATATGAGGAAGCTGCAAGAATATACTCAATACAAGATGGTAAACTCTCAGGGAGCTGGGCACCACAAACACAGAACAGATACCAGTGGCTGCAGTTTGACTTTGGAAGAGTTAGAAAAATAACTGCAGTTTTAACAAAGGGGAGAAATATAGCAATAGGCACAGGAGGACATAAATATCCACAGTTTGTCCAAGAATATCAGCTCCATTATGGTAACAACACACTGTTAATGAGAGCATACCAAGATGTCAAAGGTCATATTCAGGTATAAAATCCAACGAAGATCCATATCAAGATTCATTTACTAGCCTTTTTTGATAATTATTATGAAATACAGCACTTGGTCATCAATTAAAACAATGTAAACATGTCAATAACAAAATTTACAAGAATCATCTACAAAGCTTCATCGTTAACTTTAAAATAATCTTTTCAGTCATTCCCAGGCAATTTTGACCAGGATACCATTCAAGAGAATGTCCTTCCCAGTCCGATATATGCACGATATCTTCGCATAAATCCAGTGTTATGGAAAGGTTACATAAGTATGAGAGCAGATGTCCGTGGATGTTAACAGTTTTATAATTATTTGAAGAGGATAACTTTTGAAATATTCTCCAAAGGAGAGAGGCAATATCAGTAATTATTATTGTTGTCTGACGTGAGAGTTTGTAGGTGGCAAGTACTTTTGAATAGCATCAAGAACTAATGTGATAGTGATTGCAGTTAACCATCTTCTGATATGCTACCACTGGGTTAATATATGTTATCTTTATTTAACTAAATATTAATATATAAAAAAATCTTAAATTACTGGTACTAAGCTCATACCAGCACCTACTTAGCATTCTTTTTTTTTTTTTTTGGATAAATAAAAACATGGTCAAAGCTATTGCTGTTAATAATTATTTATTTTTATTATATCAGACTCCTTAAATTAGATATGCAGAGCCTTCTGTACATCATAGTATCAGGAGTTAAATAAACTTCATTATTTCAATTCACTTTCAAGATTTGGTTTTATCTGGTGGGTCAAGTTTTTTTATATCATGTACATCCTTTTAACAGAATATGCTGGCAATAAACTGTACTTATCAATATTTCTGCTTTACCAAAAATTACTTCAAGGATTAAATGCACATAATACATTTTGCCACTTTTGCCCCATGATGTTACCAGCAGAGATGATATACCATTATTTTATCACTCTTACATGGGTCTACCTAAAATGCCCAATAATGCACAACCATGCAATACATGTGAAAAATTAAACAGTCCAGCAGCAAGTAACTATTTGTTCAGTTGGGTTGAGTTTAAAATAACCCAGTAATATATTTAGCTTTTTATTACCCCGTTTTTTTTAAATAAATGACTGTTTCCTGTGTAAACTTGCTACTGGACTTTTTTTTTTCAGGTGTATTGTGTTGTGTTGTGCTTCATTGCAACACATTGTACATTGTACAGACTGCTCTTTCACTGCAAATTCAAGCAGCACTGACTTTCATCCACATTAATGATAATCTCTGAATTTAAAATAAAATTTTCTTTGAATATTTGACTGTGACAAGGATACTGTTTATTTCCTTAAACATATAACCAGCTGTGGGTTGTTCATTATCTCCAGTTGCCTTTTCCAGGAGGGGATACTGTAATTTTAACAAAGATGACACTGTAAATAACTAGTCAAGTAACTATCATGATAATATCATTGCTATTGTCACAAAAAAGGATATATCAAAGCAAGTTAAACATCTTATTCAATTTCGTAGCTTCAGTTCAGGGCTAGAATTAGGTTCCAATTTTTCTAATTCCCGACAAAAATTTGTATAATCTAATTCATGATTGGACCTTTCGATTAAAATAAATTAGATTATTAGAATCAGTATCACGGATGTGAGATTAGTTTTTAATGTCTAAAATGCGTAAGCAAACGCCAAAAATAATTTTGCTAAAAGTTTGAATCAATATGTATATTTGGCTGATATTTATAGTAAAACTGAGAAAATAAAACTACATACCTCTTTAAGAAACGAAATTTTATCAAGGAAAGATGAAATTTGTTTTCCCTCTTCCACCATCTTGGTACTTTCTCGCCTTCAAATCACCAAGAGTGTAGGATAAAATACGCCTCACGACATTAAAGAGTCGTCTCATGCAAGTTCCTTTCGTAGAGCCTCATAAACAAAGCTCTTAACATTCCTTATTCGACTTTCATTTGGCAGGATTTTTTAAATGGTTACATCATTTAAACTGAGACGCCTTTGGTGATGCTTTCCAAATCCCTGGAGGGCAATGTCCCTGCAAGAGGAAGTTTCTACATTATTTTTGCAGGTGACTTAATTTATTGTGTACATGTACATGCAGTCATTAACAATTGATTAAAAGCCTGGTAATTTTTTTCTGGTAAATATGCAGTTAGCTACTTGATGTAGAAATTGATAGGACAACGCTGTAAGGGACTTGGATTTTTTACTGTAGATTTGCTAGGAGGTTATATTTGAAAGTGAAATATGGTTTTATCTCCCATTTATATTTTGTTCAATATTTGTTGCAAGGTTGCTTGTGTCTATTCATATTGAATATACATGTATCATGTCAATGTTGTAGGGATTTATGAATTTATTTGATAAGAAAAACACAAATGAGAACAGTTAAAATATTTACTTCTCTTAGACAGGCCATACCCTGTTGTTAAGATGAAAATTTTTGAAATGTTTTATAATATATTTTAATTTATACATTGTAATAAGTCTATTGTCTAAATGCCAATTATCAAATGTGTCTGATTCATTTGACATGTTTGTTTCATGTGCCTGTATGGTCTGATCTGCATGTTACAGATGCCTTATATATACTTTTGCACTTTATATACATGTTAGTTGTTACAATTCATATATAATTTGATTTTCAATCATTGTCATCTTGCAGGTGTTGCATTCCAGTCCATTAGAGGACAGTGATATAACTAAAGAGGATGTGGATGCTTTTCTACAAGAAGACTTACCAGTAGTTGACCAATACAAGGAGCCTGACCTGAAGGTGGTGGGATATCCAAGCCACCCACTTTACTTGGCAATATCTGCCAGACTGTGTCAGTGGATGGAGACTGGGTCAGTGATAAGGTCGCATTCACAATGAGAGTATCATACTAGCTAGGTCGTTCTAAATAACTATGTGGGGACAGATTTACAGATTAACCTGCCTCTTCTTGTTTTCAATGTACTTGTACATGTATAATCACCAGCTTTTTCTGTATTCTAATCAGTGTAAGGAGGAGGTGTGTTAATCTATAAATCTGATTGCATTCAGCAAGAGTCTCCACGGAGTTGGTTTCAAACTACCTAGTACCGTAACAATAGTTTCATTGTGAACGCACTCCCAAAGTGATCACAGCAAGGTTGTAACTATAGTCTAAATAATAGCACCCTAGCACTTTCTGCACTGATAAACCATAGATAGTTTTACTAGAGGATGATTATACAGACAACATTAGTTTATATCACTCTTAGATACTGGTAGCAGCGTCTTCATTTTCAAATCTCCACATGTGCATGCTAATTGGACCTACTTGATAGTTTGAAGTGCCAGCTTAAGGTCAGGCACAACAGTCAGAAATGTATTGAAATTTGAAAATAAAGAAGCCAGCTAGCTTGGACTCTGAAACTCTGGTTACAGCTAGATGAGTAATGTTGATCTTTTTTATTGACGATATAGATAAAGACATGGAAGCAAAGAATGTGTGAAGCATGTGTTTTCGATTCATCACTCATTTTTTATTTATTCATTTATTTAAGGAATTGTCCAGTGGACAAATTACCCAAACACAACCTTCTAGAGGAAACCAACTCAACATTGACCAGGTAATGCAGGTAGAAATATTTGGCATTTATGCTCTTATACACAAGCCTTTATAATTTAGTTCCATTTATAGTGAGGTTGAGCTTATCCCCATACTTACACTTAGTCTTCTTTACTTCTATAAGCATGTTATCAAGTTTATTTTTTTAACTAGAGTTACTGGGGTTCCATTGAAGGTTGCCAGCTGCTTGTTTCATTTTTTTTTCAGTGCCCTGGTTTATCAACTCTATCATGGCACTCTGCCACAGGGGAAAAAAACATTTTAGCCACCATTTAGATTTTTTTGAACATGATGTCCCTAAACTCAAGGAATAGTAACAAGGGCAAGGGGCAATTACACTTGTGGTACACTACAATTAGAAACAATTAAGCTGGTTGAAATAACACTGTTAATAAAGATGCGGTGACAAACACTTATAAATGAAGACAAAAAGAACCATAGTCTGATGTAAAGCTAACAGTATTTTTTGTAAATATACAATGCGATTTTTCAAGTGTATAAAGTTTAACCTATAAATAATCATTTAGAAAGAGTTCTTTATTATAATATTGTCCGGAAAAAATATTTGTTTAAAGCAAACTCAGATTCTGATTGTAGTTCAGTATTGTAGAATATTGTATTAACTTTATGCATCATCTAATAAAAATCAAATATGAGATGTGATTTGGTTATTCCATGTGCAGCACTGATGTCAGAACACAGACTGGTGACAGACTAAAAGACCTGTATGTTGGCTGGGCAAGTTTTAGTGGTAGTGAGAGGATAGACAAGCTGGAGGGCATACTGAAGGTGATAAAGCTTCTTCATTATAGACAGTCTTCAGAATAGGTAAACTCTCAGTTACTGTGATAGTTCCTTCAATTAATAAGATATAATATCAGTTGCTGTCCTTCTAGTCTAATGTGATGTGACGGCCACAGAAACATTGAAGAACACTGATAATAGTTTGAAAAAAATTGTTCATAATAACTACTGCAAATTGGTGGTATCCAGGGCTTAATTATTTCTAGATACCTGCACAATGAGGAGGATTATGTAAAAAAAAAACAAACAAACTTTGAAGTCTGTTTCAAAGATAGCAAAAATGACAAAAAAGTAGCCTTATGCAAGTATCCTTTTTTAAGATGTAAAATCAGAATATTTCTTAATGTACCAGTCTGTTTACAGAGTTAATATTTGTTAATAACCCTGAAAAAAAATAGTTCTCAGAGAAAATGAACAATGAAGTTTTCTAATATTGAAGTTTTCAAATATAGAAAAGAGAAACATAGTATGATGGATAGAAATAAATCTTAAACTTAATTTTACTTGACTTGATAACAAAATGTAAAAAATTATCAAAAAGTTTTCAGCTTTTGTGAATTTTTGTTTCAGTTACTAGGTCGTAGGGGTTTGATGAACTTGTTAGGAATGAGGAGAACTGTGGGCTCAAAAGATCTCTGGCCACCCCCAAGGTCCACCCTGGAGAATACTTTCAACTCTAAACACAGGTGATGATACCAAGTAGCAAATATTCAGTGCACTATAGATTGGCATATATAGTAAAATATATATATATATTTCAGCACTTCTCCCTTAATTACCAAGGTACACCATTTTTAAAACTGCTGAGAATATTTGAATTTTTTAATCTGATTTTGTGTTTAAACTTAGTTTCTTTATTTTTTGTCCCTCTCATAATATTGATGGAGACTAGTGAATTTCACACAACAGTAATATGTTACTTTTTTTGATGTATAAAGGTTTAAGAGGCATCGTAAGCAATTAAACATAAACTCTAGAGTTGAAATTTTTGGATTGGTAAAGATCGTTTTTTGGGATTTTTGATGATTTTAATATATTTTTGCTAGAAACTGTCTCCAAGAACCATTTGTTTTTCAAAGAAAAAAAAAGAATGAAATATTGACATATAATGTTTCAAAAACAATAGTCTGTTCAGTTAATATGACTGTGTCCCTCAGGGCTTGACAGTTAAAAAACATTTGTCTTTCGAACATTGTGTGGTATGTTACTTAGTTAGACATTTAGTAAACATTAAATAATGTTGAAAAATGTATAAGTGTTATTCTTTTATGTCCCTAGACCTGACAACATAAAACCGTGTGACCTGACCACAGGGGCCCGAGCTCTGTCCAAGCACTGTCACAGGGACGTCACGGTCAGCTGGTGGGGAACTGCTAAGGGGCGTAAGTTTACTTTCTTTCTTTCTATGTCCATTCTATCATTTAGTCATTCACTGACTTACTGAATCATTTATTTTAATCATATATCTGTAAATCCCACACAATGAAGATGAACTTGTTTGTGGTAGATTTGTGATCAAAAGAAAAGGATGAAAAGCAAAATGAAAGGAAGAGGTACATTCTTACATATATGAATGTTTCAGTTGTTGTAAATTTAAATAACTGTAAAGTTTCACACACAACTTGACTACATGTAGCTAGTAGGCTAAACAGTTTACGGAACACATGACACTAGTTGGAATGAGTCCACAATTGTTGTTTCCTAATTCTGTTCCAGCCGTTGCCAAACAAAATGATCATGCCTTTAAAGTTGTGACAAGAATATTAGATGAAGCCACCTGGATTAATATCCATAGTTTGCCAGTAAGTAGAAAATCTGATTCAGAATTCTTATTGTTTATTTTTTAAATAAGTGTGCAGTCCACCGGTTATCAATTTAGTCCCAAGTTTACTCTTCAGAATAAATGTGTATGCATTCATTTACAGTGCTAGTATTGATACTTAATGCATTAGATGTGAGCTATCAAAAATTTTGCAAAAGCAGTAAGTAAATTATACAGCTATGTGCTATTTGTTTATGAATATACGGTTGAAGTATAAAAAAAGTTTTTCAAAAGAATTATATATTTTTTCACACAAAGAATAAAAATACTTGTATTCTTTTGATTTTCAGAATGAAGTACTTATATTAGAAATTAGACAACAGGATGGTAAATAATTTTTTTTCTGAAAATATGTTAATTGGAGTTCACTTATATTTACTAGTATTCATTTGTTTGTATAGTTTGATGGAAAAATGGTGTTAATAGTGTATTAAACCTTGCTCATATTTGTGTGCTGGCAATAGTTACTAGTATGTGCACATACTTGAATGGCTTTTGCATTTCATTCACATTTCAAGGCAAAATACAAATGAATAAAACGAATACTTTCAGGTGCTTTTATATTCAGTAGACTTATTTGTTTATCTTTTGCTGTATGACAATCATAATATAAACAGAATCTTTGATTTTCATTTTTTCATATTATCATTTTTTGTCATATTTTCTAATAAACTAGTGCTAGATTAGAGAAATGTCAGGATGACAGTATTTTATTTTGTTTTCAGGTTATGGAGCACGTTGGTCACATGATGGATTGAACTTCCGTGGATTTGTGGAACCAATGATGGAAAATGGACACGAAGTTGGTTGGAGACATTGACCGTGTTCAAAGTTCCTAAAGACTGACAATTAATAAAAGTCCTTTTGATCACTGAGTCTACGCCATCATCATACAAGGTTCAACTTTTAGTAGGAACATGTTTATTTAACATGTTTGTATGTGCAATATTTAAAACCTTAGATTATGTCTTTGAAAACAAAACTTCAAGACATGTTGCATTAACAGCACACTATTTTATTCTCATTATAACATTTGTATAATAATCATCTTCCATCTCATTTTAAAAGTTTTCCAAGAAAGCATCAAAATGTTCGAACTATCTTTCTGTAATTCATTTGCAGCAATAAAGGTTTGAAAATTTATGGTCTAACAGATGTATGTATTCATTTTTATGGGTCCAACTAGTCAAATTAAAATAATTTTGCGTCTCTCATTTCTAAAGAATGCAAATCAGTTACATATTTATTTTTATGACTATCAAAAGTAAACTCAAAAAACAAGCATATTGTATTAATGTAGAAAGTTGTAGATATATATACCATGAAAGACCAGCTTCATGGATATAATTATCTAAAATTAAGTGTTGCAGATTTTATGCATTGAGGGTGATGTGAGGAAAACGAATGCACAGCTTATTGCTGTTTTGGTTGAACTTCTCCAAAGATGCAGTTGCTTGAAGCCGAGTTGTATGGAATTCCTCGACAACAGGCATTGTTTTCTGCAGTGCCTCTCACAATGCCTGCACAACAGAACTGGGTGGCAGCATCAAAGGCTTGTCCTGCGCAAAGTGGAGGTTTGGGAGGTGCCCTGCTGCTCGGTTTCATTGTATTTTGAAAAGAACTCCATTTTTGATTTCCTGGTTGGTTCTGGGGTTGCCTTCGTTGAAAGCAGGGGGCGGGGTCGGTGATGAGTCTGATGGCACCAGAACAGCATTTATGGGTGGCAGTTTGGAAAGGTTGACCACGACAACAGGCATTGTTGGTTCCCATATTGTGCACCACTCCAGCACAGCAAAACTGAGTGGCTTGGTCAAAGGAGAGGCCAAGACAGCAATTGTAACTTCCCTTGCAGCCTGATGTTACATTCCAACTCAATCTTGTACCATTTCTAAAGCGCATAGCCCGATTTGCATTGAATCGGCGATCGTAATCACCTCTTTTCTTTGAGCCATAACGATCATCATCACGGTCACCAAACCTGTATCTGTTCTGCCCTCTGGAACGACTTTCAGGTGACTTAGGCCCTCTGGAACGGGCGCTGGGTTTGCTGGGCCTTCTAAAACGCTCGCCAGGTGTGTTGGGACCTCTAAAACGGTTGCTCGGACTGCTGGGCCCTCTGTTGGGTCCACGACTACTGTCTTCTCTACCCGCCCCTTGCCTACAGTTATTACCTGTACAAGGTCTTCGTTGCTGCCCTGACTGTTGTACACCTGGTCTCTGACATCGTGGTCCCTGGCAAGACAGTCCCTGTGGTTGTGATGGACGGCGGTTTGGTCCTTGAGGTCCTCCGGAAGGAGCAACTGGCTTGTTAGGTGCTCCTGGTCTTTGACATCGTGGTCCCTGGCAAGGCGGTCCCTGTGGTTGTGATGGACGGCGGTTTGGTCTTTGGGGTCTTCCGGAAGGACCAGCAGGCATGTTGGGTCCGCTAGGTCTCTGGCATCGTGGTCCCATGCAAGGCTTTCCTTGCTGCCCCTGGGGCTGCTGTGAAGGTTGCACGGGGTCTACAGGGCATGGTGACGATGAATTCTTGGGCCTTATAACCCCTCTGCAGCACTCGTGAGACGCCGGGTTGAATTCGTTGGAAGCACAGCAAGGCCAGCTACCACGGCAGTTACTGAGGACCCTAAATCAAAACGCAAAGCGTTTTTAATCCGTTTTATTATTTTGACTATTGCTAAAATGATTTTATCTTTTCTAAAAAAAAAAAAAAACGATTTTAAAAACCTCTGCAGATTCACAAAAATGTACATTTAAACACAGAAAATATTTTATAATTTGAAATGAAGAATTAATTAATTTATTGAATAGCCCTAATGAATGAATGATTTAAAAAAAAAGAAAAGCAACCAATGATAAACAGTGAGCAAAATTATAAATTTGAAAATGCATATTAATTTACCCTGTCGCTAGCGCCAGCAAACTGACGGCCAATAGCATCACTTTTTTCATTCTTCAATGAAGCTTCAGATCTTCACTGCAAAGTCGGCTCAGGTATTTTTTCTGTAAAAGTGATTGAAAGATGTATGGTTAAAACTATTAAATTTATGTCGTGCTTCACACAATAACTTGATTCATTTTCTTTGTCAAAAACGTTCTGCAACAGGTAAACACAATTTATTTTATTCAAATTTAAATTAATTTTACACGAATGTACCAACCGAAAACACTGTGAAAGAAACGAATTCCAAAGAAAATATCTATTTCATTTGACTGTGCCCTGTCACCATATCGTCTATGTTATCATGGATGTAACTGAATTGAATATATAATTACTGGCTAAAATATTACAAAAAACATCAAACAAATAAAAAATAATAAACTGTAGCAAAAGAGAGACGTCACGAAGGTTTATTTTTTTTAAGACGGGCGACACCGCGAAAGTAGCCGCAAGCTGTTTATTGCGTTATTTGAAATGAACAGTCTACATATTTTCTGCGACGTTAGACATCAAGTTGCAAATTTTCTTCTTAGGTAAAAATAAACTAAACCTATTGGAGAATGTAAAATTGTGCTGCGAGAGCCAGTAACGAAGGTTTAAAATTTAGTCCGTTCATGTATTTTTTATGTCAATACAGATAAATCTGGTAATTTTTTTCAGTGATTTAATTTGCTAGACTGATGACATGTAAGTAAAGTTCCACCTGGAAAAACAATTTTCTGTTCGCTTACTTTTTATAAACTAAAAAAATGTGAAATTGACCTATAGCCTATATTGAGAATCACTGATAGCATAAATGCTGAAGATTTCTTAAACTAAGACGTTATAACCATGCAAATATTTTTCACTTACCTTTCTTTCTCCTGGATATCAGGTACAGCTTTTCTTCAGCTCCAAATCTGGATTACCCTTAACTAGCGTCTTCTTTTATAGAGAATTCCAGACAATCTGAAGCATCTCCAGACTGCTATTATAACGTTCAGCGTGACTCATTAATCATAACATAATCGTCAAGTCGTGTTAAATACCTTTTTAATAAGGGTTCTCGTGACGCTTGCACAGGGGTTATGGCAATTTAGGCAGGGATGACTTGCTTTGGTATGCAAGACTGGGCAGACGCTGACTTATCCATTAATACAGTATTTAACCAACAGGTAAGCCCATGTTCAAATATCCATTTTCGTGGTGCACGCGTGAGGCTGGTTTTATTTATTTGATTTTGATACAGAGTTTCTGGTGTGTTGTGTTTGGCGATCTGGAAAGACTGGAATAATGATCTGGAATAACGTGCGTGACAATACTTCACATCGGCCTTAATCTAATTAAGAAAAGGGAATTTAGCCCGTCCTCCTATTCATATTCATCTAAATGAGTACTACGAGCGGTAAAAATTATATCCGTCTAACACTAGGCCTTCAGTACCCCACCCAACCCGCATTTTTTCAATCTATGACCCTGTGCTTTGAAAACTGCTAATTTCAGTTTGCAAAACGCAAACTGTCTATAAAACAAAATTTCCTTTAGCAAGTGATTATAGTACGCCTAATTTATCATAAAACAATGCTTAACTAAGCTTAGTTAAGTTCTTTTTTTTTTCTTGTGTAACTGAACCCATCTTCAGCGAACTATGTAAACACGTTTGGGTGCGCATTGAATTAAAACGTGATTAATCAGAACAATTGCAAAAATGAACAAATGAGGGGTTAGACTTTTGTTTACAACCTGTTAAGTCACGTTTTGGTGAATTGTTTTGGTCGCCGTCGGTCTGCATTGATTTTGCAAGTTTATACAACTGCATATGCACTTTTCTTCTTGTTTTAGTTATTTTGATAGTCTTTTATGATCATTTAAATGTAAGATCCAGCTGTTTTTGTTGCAAGAACTAAACAACCATTACATGTTTGTTATTAATTCCGAATTATAGAAAAGCCAAGTATGAATCATACTGCATGACATCACGTGACACTGACGTCGTGAACAATCCAAAATCCTCACAGTTGGTGGCCAATCACAGTCAAATTTCTTTTTCGATAAACGTACGTTGATCAGTCATTTGAAACATAGCTGCGCCAATAATCAGGGGCTTAATATCTTGAACATGATGTGGAAGAATAATCCAGTTTATCAAACTGGATGAAAGTCTAAGAAAAAAAGAAATGGACAAACATCAATCACCATGGTAACTTTAATTTGGGACTTAAGATTCGAGATTAATACACTGCAACAATTTCTATGCTCGGTTATCATCCAAAGTATTGTTATTGTTTACTCCATCGATCCGGATTTTTTTTCTCAACGTTGCAAAGTTCATCTTTGAAGAACACTCGTAAACGGCATAATTTGTAATTAGAAAGAAAACTTACTGATCCCTCTCCCTCCCCCCTCTCCCACCCCCCCCCCCCCCCCCCCCACACACACACACACAAAAGAAAAAAAAACAAATATGACTCAATCCGTTAGAACATGTGCACTATTTTTGGACAGCATGTCCTTATTGATCGCTTACTTGATGAATAACACGTATCCGCGATACGCGACAAAGTTCAGGTTTCTTTTACGTATTATTCGTGTTACAAATGTCCTTGACCCTAAAAAGCACGTTTTCTCCTAGTTATGCTGGTGACCGCTTTATTTTGGCATCATAGTTTGAGTCTAAAAGAGAGTGAGTAGGCTTCATTGCATTACTGTCGTTTCCAACGTAATAATGACAAGGTCCTTGGTGCTGACGGTCTCCATTTTGCTGCTGCTCATTTTCGGGTACGTACTGCTAATTAATATACATTTTACATTAAAAGAGTGTTCAAATCCTGGAAAAAATAAAGACAAAGGGGATGAACTTTTGGCGTGAAATAATCCATGAAATAATTTTGGTCGTATTTTCGTCTTGCTCTCTCATTTTCTAATATTTCCCCATATCACATTTATATGGGTGGTGAAATTTTGTAAGCACATTTAATGAGGTATTGACTGTTGAAGTTTTAAGTTGGGGAATCATAGTGAGATATCCAGATCTAGACGTCGTTTACGTCTCTTGATTATCCGTTTCACATCATTCTACTGAGAATATTTCCCTCTCTCTCTCTTTTAGCTGCACCGGCCACGGCATGTACCATGGCTGGGGTCGAAGTCACGGTGGACGCTGGCATGACCGATGGGATGGACATAGGGGGATGGGAAACGGAGGGGGTTGTCCTGGGTGTGGACGCTGGGGAATGATGATGGGTCGACGCTTTGGCTGGGACGAGATGATGGGTCCAGGATGGGGCAGACGCTGGCAAACTGATGGCGGTGATGGTTCGCCCTCGCGTGGTCTATGCGGGGAGGAAAGTTACGACCCCAGTACTCACATGTGCTGTGGAGGAGGCGTGCACGCAATAGACGACAACACGTTTTGCTGTGGCGGAGAGGTCGTGAATGCGAACACAGAATCTTGCTGCGCGGGAAACAAGTATAGACTGAAAGAAAACAAGGGTTGCTGCCGTGGTCTCCTGTACGACACCACAAAGGACTTGTGTGAGAGGGGGAGAATCATTTCTAAACCAGACTCCACGTTGAAAGTTGTGGAATGAAAAACGTGACGACTGCTGTAGTTATATCTGACGTCAGCGCATATTTGGAGAAGGTGTGGAAGAACGGGTAGAAGGATTGAAAAAGGATGTACCTCACACAGTTGTCGCAGATGACATTGTTTAAGGCATGCAGTACGCATAAGACCTTTACACAGCCAAAAATACACTTTCCTGTCAATCACTGAACGTTTTCCTTTATCGCCAAATTACACCATATCCAGAACCGTTGCCAAAGTCACAACATAAACCCGTTTCTGATTTTGTAATGGAGATGAAGACTGGTTCTTCTCTCACGTGAATGTTAAAAGATTTCAAAATGTGGTTAATAGTGATTTTCTCAACAGTTTTGGATAGGATATGCCTATTTTGGTAGTAAAGGAAATTTGTTGAAATTTTCAGGAAAGTTTTATCATTATTTTTATTCATTTTTTTTATATGTATACCAATTAATTTTGCAAATAACCTCTGACCCTCCATTATTATGTGCCTTAAAGCTATGCCAAAGAAACATCGTTTATGCAATTTAAAGGGATAGCAACACTTCATTTTGGCGGGAAAAGTGCCATAAAACGGATTTTTCCGGGGGTAAACAACGGTGTTCCCATACTTACCAATGGTAAATATATCCGTTCTGACATTCAAAATTAATCGATTGTTGTTTTAAGTGTGCTTTTATAATCTTAAGAGATTCTTACAGAAGGTAGAAATCTATGAAGGTTCATAGGTCCGATGGGAAGCACAGATTTCAGAATATTTGCATTGACCGCCGTTTTGGTGGTAAAATGGAATTTATCATATTTCTATTTGTTGTTTCCAATGTATTTATTGTGGAATTTTGAATCTCATACGAACAGTTGTTATCCCTTTAAGATTTTCCCTTTAAGATTTTTAAGAGAAATCCGAAAAAATACCGTGTATCGTAATGACAATCATTGCTTCAATCAGCATTAATACAGTTTGGCGTTAAATGTAGCATTGATGGGCGATGCTTTTACGCGGGGTTCAGAACGTGATGGAGTGTTATTTTTATAATAAAGGAATTGAGTAAACTCGTTGTAGCAGCTGGATGTTGTTATAGCTTGATTTTTTTTTGTCACATTGATGTTTTTATTTCAAAGACCAGTATAACAAAGCGCTAGGACTTTTGAGTGAAGTCGATAAACAAATGGTACATGTAACGATTTGAAACACTCATTACATGCGCTTCGCCGCAAAAATGGGACATACGCCAGTATCTTAGTGAATAATAAAACGCAGAAAAAGAAAATCATATAATGTTAAAATGTACATTTGACTATTGTAATGTTAAATTTGAGGACGAATTTATTTGATTAAGAGGTTTTTATCGTAATGAAAATTGACTGATATCATTTTGTTAATGTAATGATATGATTTTACGGTAAAAAAATGTGGATCCTTCATGTCAATAAGCCAGAGAGTGCAGAGGAAAGAGTCAAAGAGTACAATGAACAGAAAGTAACAGATAGCAACAAGAAATATTAGGTTATCATTCTTTTAATTTATGATGAGAAGATGGAAAATCTGTATTAGTTGTCATTCCTTTATGATGAGATGATGGAAAATCTGTATTCAAATAGAATTTGTGAACGTAGGTCAATCATCACACCATCACCAAATAAATGAAAAATAAGGAAATGTTTATAGATCGAATTGTTTAGAATGCAAAGTTGTGAAAAACCCAGAGTATCTGTGTTATATAATATGCTAATGGAATGTGACACGAGAAGATAAAATGTAGAGTTTAATGATTGTAAGATTATGAATACACAAATAAACATTTTGTACACCAAAAGTGTGTATGTCCTTTCTGCCTGCTGCTACATAGTAAATTTACATTCCCGTAACTAGTTAAGCCCCCTTTTCACTGGACGGCGTCCTTTCTGCGTCCCGTAGTACGGCTCCGTTTGAGAGTAAAAAAAAAAAAAAAAAAAAAAAAAAAAAAATATATATATATATATATATATATATATATATATATATATATATATATATATATATATATATATATATATAATAATAATATTAATACTTTACGTGCCGACAACTGGGCGATAATTGAGCACTTGTCGGCACTTTTTTGCAACCAAAACTATGCTTGTGCCTCCTTTCTACGACCACAGCGATGCCACTTTCATGTTCGCAAAAAGGACGCAGAAAGGACGTCTAGCGTAAAGGATTTTTTAGTAGGCCTAACTATAGTGCTACACAACTTTCCATCCCTGATCACTCCCCACCTTTCCCATAGGACACTCCTTTGGAAATCTAGCTTGGGAAAATGAGCTCATTGGCCTATGTTTCTAGCAACTTTAGACGTAATTGAAGTACAAGTATTACCAAACATTTTATATAGCATGTAGTTGTCAATGACCACAGGACAGATGAAACGTTCTTTAAAGGTACGTGGTATGGTCATTAAAAAAGCACCCCAACAACAAGTGGATAACTTCATTCTTTTTATAATGACTGTGCACGGACCATTGTAGAACTAACCGTATCCTTAGTAGAATATTGTACGCACAATCCACGCTCTTATATGTAGTATCCGGATTAACTTGTGTTGAATGCGATCTAAGCTCTGGATTGGTAGCATCTTGGATCACGTGGTTTAAGATGGCTGCGCCCACAAATGCGGGGTTAGGCGTGCTTTTTATGTAGGATTGGGGTAATATTTTATCATTTTTGACGGAAAGTGATTTCTGCTGAACAGAACAGCTTTAAAGTTTCGAAGCAATGAAATGGCACTTTATGCAGATGTATGCAAGTAGTACCAGAACTTCAGAAGCAAATTAAGTCAGGTTTTTAAACTTTATGTGGGGGCACGTTTTTAGGTTTGTTGGAAGACCATTCCACTTGACCATTGTGCATAGAAAGAAAGATATTTTAAAGTGATTCGCCTTGGTGAAGATAGAATAGAATAGAAGTGGGGGATTGGACCTCTGCCGGCTCATACATTATTGTGTTTTGAAGGTGATGAAATTCTCAGCTTCAACAATTTGAACCAAAAAAGTTTACATATTTTGTCGCTAATCAAAATGAGCCAGAGCATGCTTTTAAGAGTTGCCTACAGGTGGGGCCATGTGGAGGGCAGGACATTACACAAAATGAATGGACTACTGCTTAGGACTATCAATAGTTCAAAACACTGGCCAAATGTACGGTCTATAAGTGTGACCAGTGTCCAGTTTGCTAAGCTGTCTACTAATCTGGAGGATAATGGTATCAAAGACTATCTTGAGAAAGTTTCTCAAAAGGGTAAAAAGCCTAAAAAGATAGTAAAAAGGAATCCAGACAGGCAGCAAGATTATGAAGTAGATGTCTTTGAGCTGCAAGAAATGTTGCAGAAGGAGAGTCAAATGGATGATCAGTCACTGATGAGTAAATACAAAATCAGAGTTAATAGACAAGATGCCCCTGCAGGTGTGACACCACTGGACACTGTGGACAGGAGACTGAAAAAACAGGAAGAGGATGAAGAAGTTGTATTTGGAAAAATAAGTGAAAATCTTGAAGATCACCTAAGAGAAAGAGGTACAGTGTTTTAAAGTGAATAACACATTAGTGGATCCCGAAAGGGGACAGCTTCAACCGTTGGGGTTCCACCCTTTTCCTTATCTGTTACATATTATAGTGAAATTGTCTTAGTTTCCTATTTCATATTTGTCAAGTAAAGTGATTAAAACTGTATTTTATGTACTTGTAGTCATGGAATTTTTTAAAGATAAAATAACACCTTAACATGGCAGGTGGTTGACATTTTTAGGTCATCTAAAAACTAAAGAGATAGCATTTCACTCGCCAAAATCAGCAAAACAAAGGCGGAGAAAGTTTTCTCAGCGAACTGAAGTCGACAATTACAATACTAAAAATCCACGAAAATTTTCCAAGAAAAAACAAACAACATATGAGGAATCCTTTGGACAGTTTGACCCCACATTTCGGGCATCTCGTTCATACCTGAAGACCCATGGCATGCTGAAGGATAGAGGAGAGTACAGAGGACTGACCAGAGAGAAGAAAATGGTCATAGTGGATGACCACGAAGAGTTGAGACGCATGCCAGAGGTGGACCATAACGTGGTGGAGAAAGCTGATAGCTGGGGGTCAAGGTCAGTGGACACTGACCACACCAGGGAGGAAGAGGGTTTGTAAATTAATAATTTTTTGAGTTTGTTTTATTTCTTTCTTTCTTTCTTTATTTATTGTGCTCATCCTTTTACACTTACTCCCACTCAACCAAACCATTTTTTAGGTTATTGTTTATTATTTAGTAGCATATGAATAAAGTCATCTTTTTTGTTCAATTCTTTGGCTGATTTTTGTAAAAAGAAAAAAAAATGTCTTAATTTTAAAAGATTCTAGTGATAATGTAAGCTTATTTTGAAACTTGTTGTGATAGCTTACCTTTAGATACTGTGTATTTTATCAATAAAAACCTGGCCTACAGAAGTGGCCTCTCTACAGTAGAGTATTGCAGAAACTTGCTTTTAATGGGGAGGAAGACTTTTGATTGCATTGCTGGTATACAGCTGTTCTTTTATCGTACATGTCTCTAATTTGAATTTTGTGTTTTTAGATTCTCCTGAATGGGAAGACACTTTTGGCACTTTGTCAGAAGAAAGCACTCCCATTGGTCAAGGACAATTGTACACTTTTAATGAAAAGTAAGAAAGGTTCTGGATTTTTGGGCTTAGTAAAAAGAACTAGATTTAGAGATATAAAATTGGATATTATCTTAAATAGACTGTGACATTAGTTGAAGAGCACAAATTTTGAATGACTGGCTTGCAATAAATGTTCCCTCAGTATTAAGTAATTCATCTTTAATAAAAACCAACATGAGTCGTAAATTATTCCAGCAAGGTATCTATGATAGAAGTGTTTTATTTAATGTTTGGAAAACTGGCTCTTATTTATAAAAAATACATTTTTAAATAAATTGTATTAGTTGATTTTACTGTGTTTGCCTAATTACAATGATGTAGGAGATGACCTAAATTTAAAAAAGTGTTAAAGCTCTTCTGAAAGTGTACATGTTGAGTTGAAAAGAAAATAAAGATCTGCTTAAGTGTCACTTATATTACTTTTCGTTTGACTTCAAAGCTTTGTTTTTTAAGGTACAAAGATATTGTAAATCATGCCGAAGAGGAAAAACCTTTCAGACGTTTGTCTCAATTTGACCGAAAACATGATCTTCATTTCTACCATATGAAAATCAAGAGAAAAATTGAAGAAGGCAAAGTATGTTTGTAAATCTTTTTTGCACAATTTCAAATGTCAAGCAAAATATGAAGAGAAATGATATATACAATAAATATAAAAATAAACATGAAGAAGGTGACTTGTTGGTGGTATTTATTTTGCAGTAGATGATTTGAAAATAGTACATATAGTTTCTAGTAGCATTTACTTGACAATGTGTAGTGTAACCACATTAAGCAATGTTTAGCTTTGACTCATTCAAAAAGTCTGCTGCCACATTTAGCTTTTCTTTTATCATTGAAAAAAATCTTTCAATTTCAGATTGAAGAAGCACTTGCAGTGCTTGAGGAAGACATGTTGGAGAAGGACCGTGTACTTCCAGACACATACATATATACATTGCTTATCACTGGACTGGGGAAGGTTGGCTACACTTGGAAGGCATTCAAACTGTTCAATCAGGTATGCTGTTTGTCTCTGTGGAGGATAGCTGAGAAGTTGAAGAGATATAATGCAATATGTATTATGTGGTCTGAGTTATGGTAAATCAATTTTCCTGAGGTACACTAAGGCTGATATTTTCATGATCAGGTCTACACATTGCTCATGGCAGATGCAGTCACTGAGTCAATAAATTTACTTCCAAACAACTGAAGGAATGGATGTTACTGATTATATTGTAGTGTGCACTGTCAGTTTAAACCAAGTTAAGCCATTTGAATATAAATGTGTGTATTTAAAAAATTTGCTCTTTAGCTAAATATTATTCCAATTACTCATGTATCCATAAACTTGTGCTCAAGCTATATCTTTGAAAGCACTTATTAATCAGTTGTTATTTAGGGGGAACTTTTCTATCTTAAATAATATTACATTTTACAGATGAAAAAAAGAGGAATGACTTATATCCACCCCAAAACTTACACCTCTCTCTTCAATGCCTGCTCAAATGCCTATGACAAGCGAGATGGCCTAAGTAGAGCCAGGAATCTCCGAGAAATGATGTTCCTAAAGGGCGTAGAGACGGCATTTATCACATACAAAGCCATGATTAAAGCCTTTGGGATTTGTGGAGACATTCAGACAGCTTTTTTGTTAGTGGATGAGATGGCTGAAAAAGGTAAAATTTGTTTCTCTTCCTTTGATAAGCACCAAGAGTTTTGGGGCTTATTTTCAATAAAACAAATGTCCTGCAAATGTAGATTGATATAACTCCCTGGGGACTGTGGCTGAATGCAATTAGTTAAACTGATTTACAATGTTTCTCTTGTTTCCAACATATTCGTATAATCACCAGCTTCTCTAAATTCTATTCAATGACAGGAGGGGGTGTATAACCTGTTAAACTGATTGCATTCAGTGAGAGTCCCGTTGAGTTAGATCAATATACATGAGCACTTCTATATCCCTGAAATCACTTCTCCACTTACAGTATGCTTCTGTCATTTCTAGTAACTGCAGGGACATGCTGATACAGTGAACTAATAGAGAGGCCAGGGACATCTGAAACCAAAAATGAGCCCAAAATTGGATTATTGCTTACATTTTTACCATAATTTTTCTAAAATTTAAGTCTCAGTTTATTATTATTATTTAAATGGTTTTTGGACACTTGATTGAGCATTGTATCATCCAGGCTGTAAATTGGTTTGAGCTAAAAGTTTTCAGGGTTGCGTGTATGTGTGTGTGTGCACGCATTTCTTTCTCTTTTGTTTATTAAAACTTATATAGGTTGTCTGCACATTTGTCAGCTTTTTCTCACATTTTCACAGATAGACAAAAAGGATCAATTTGGTATGATCAGAATTATATAATGCTTTATGAGTGGTTAGTTGTATGTTACATATTTATTATAAGGCAATCATTAACTTTGGATATTTTCATGGGCAGGTCACCAGATTGACGTTGAAGTTTTCAGTTTCCTTCTGATGGCTGCTATTTCAGACAAAACTGCAGGGTTCCAGCATGCAATCAAGGTAGGAAAAAACTTTTTTCGAAGGATTAAACTACAAAGGATTAAGGATTTGATTACAAACATGCCCAAGACTGTGTTATGTTATTCTCCTTTTTTGGCTCTTTAACTGTATATTATATATTCCCTACGTCTGCAAATCACCCATTCAGTCAGTCAGCCAGTCAGACTAGTTGTTTGTAAGTCTTAAGTGTAATGGTTGAAATCAATTTTTTTTTTTATCTATTTTTATTCCCATCTAGGTGTACCACACCATGCTACAGATGAGGATTCCTCCAGATATCTATATCTTCAACCTTCTAATGGAAGCTGTCAGACTCTGTGGAGTTCAGGATGCTAATGCTGTGGTGGAATCAGGAAGGAAAGCTCAGATCATGATTCAAAAGCAGGGTGAGATGGAGACACTCCAAACCATGAAGAGGATGGAAATGAGAAAAATGAGGGAAATGAAAAAGAAAAAGAAGAAAGAGGCAAAGAAACAAGAATCCAGTGAAACGGAGAATGGAGATAGCATGAAGGCGGAGACTGTCAATTCATCAGTGAATCTTCCTGTAAAATTAACCACCACAGAAAGTGGACTAGACATCCTACCAGAAAATAAACCAGAACAAATTGAAGGTATAACCAAGAATAGACTGTCCCTGGTGGAAAAAGGGCCCTCTCAGGTTCAAGAGACACATGTACCAAATTTGCTCAAGGTGAACACCCTTGATCAGGTGGTTTCCATAGGCCCCATAGCAACTGCCAGTGACAGGCTGGCTCTGATTGGTGGAACAGCAGGCATCCTGGAAATCCTGGCGATGCATCAAATACAACCAGACGTGAGGTTTTTCACCCAGTTGCTGGACTCCGTGGAACAGAACAAAGACGCGGAGGTGGAGGTGCTGGCGCAAATGGACAAGACCGGGGTGGTTGGTGATGTAGGTTTTTATAGTAGACTGATCAGAAGGCGGAACATGAGGCAAGATTATGAGGATGCCAAGGTAGGGAATCTGGAAGAAAGGTACTCGGGTTGCAATTTTTGTTTTAAAAGTAGCTTTTTATTTGCTGCTAGAATATTACTACAATTACATGTGATGTTTTAGTGGTAGTTCAACGCTGGCATCCAAAAAAGCACTTTATAAGTTGCTCATAATTGTATTATTGGATTGTTGATAGGCTGGCATATGAGGTTTTGTAAGGATTTAAAAATAAATACAAGTAAGCTTAACAAGTGGAATAAACACCAGTTTGTTTGCTTAATATTTTGACAACTTTCTTCAGGACTTATTGTTCTTTGGACAAAATTAAGTAACAATCTTTACAGTTTTGCTTTTCTGTTTTTAGGAAGTTTTAGTGCTGATGTCTGAGAAAGGTATATTTCCCAATATGAACACATTTGGTTGCCTGGCAATGGGATGTACAAACAGACACTTGGCCAACCAGCTCTTAGAGACAATGGATGTAAGTATGAAATAATGATTGGTTGGTGATACTTTTTATGAAACGGACCTAGGTCTTTGTTGCATACCGATATACCCGTTTACAGAATCATGTAAGTGCTTTGACCAACGTGGATGAATGTAATTTTTTTTCTTCACTTACCCTGTTAATCCTCTTAAGAGTCTTTTGAGTTGAAATTATATAAGAAGCTCAATTGATGGATCATTTTTGGAATTTTAAATTCCCTAAACATAATTTTTAATTCAATTTTGATTAAAATACAGTTTATGTTCATAGTAAAAGAAACCATCCTAATGAAGTTATATTCTAAGTTAGCAAGATAAATAATTTGAAATATAGATAGTTTGCAAGGTCTACAAACGCTTGTTATGTGTAAATTTCTGCTAGTCCTTAAATTCATGTTACTGAGAATAAGTCTGTCTCTTATCAGATGGATAAAATTACTTTCTCCTTTAATTTTCACTTTCAGAGTGCAGCCTTTTATCCCAATAGTGTGATTTTTGCCATATTTGCAAAGCAATCTGGAGACAACTTCTTGTACAAACTAGATCTCCTCAAAAAGATGGAGTCCCTGGACATACAACCAAATGATAAGTTTATCATGTACATAGAGGACTCTATTGCAAAAGCGAAGAGAATCATAAAAATAAAAGTAAGTGCTAGAGGATTAAACTTTCAGGTCAGGTTTTCTGCTTGGTTGAGAAGTATATTGTAAATGTGAGTTGAATGTGGCACATGTGAATTGATATGTATCACTTCTTTTTTTATGAATTGATGTCAACAGTCAAACCAAAAAAACAAAATCTACCACACAACTGTAAGCTGTGATTAAGTGTAATCCCTGGCTACCCACCAACCTCTTCTGATTTCAATCACTTGCAGGAGTTACCCCCAGGAAAGCAGGCCAAGTTCAAGCCAGTGCCTAAATTTTGTGATGACCAGTGGTACGAGCATTATAAAACCTTCATACAGGAGTGGACTCCATGGCTTAAACGGACCATGTATCAGAAGCCTGAGCACCCCTGGTCAAGATTTGGACACGAGAAACAAGTTCAGATTCTGGCTGAGAAGCATGAAAAGAGGAAAAAGAAAAGAGAAGAATATCTTAGTGAGCTGGAAAGAATGAAGGAAGAGGTGTAAGATTGAAAGTCTAAATTTGACAAGTCGGCCAAGTGCATTGCCCTCTCTCTCTCATTTCACATTTTACTGACCATGAACAGTGTAGAGAGATGTAGTATCTTCTATCTTGTCCCATTGTTTCATGATTTATAGAAGTAAAGAGTAAAATGATTTACTCCAAAAACTGCAATATTCAAACTTTGTACAAAAATTGTTAATAGCAGCAAATGTCTGCAGGAACCAAATATACTTGGACTTAGTCTGTTTCATAAAGTATACTTGTGAAGATTGCAACCAGATACTAGTGAAAATCGGAATTGCCATAACATTTATGGTGCTATAATTCAGTTAGATTTCAATATTTGTCATTGTTATTGACCATGAATCAGTTTACATATTATAAATATAACTATGTACTGTTTGAATGGTATTTAATTTTTGGGTGTTGTGTTGTTGTGTTTTAACACAAAAATCTAAAATACAGATTGAAATCTTTCACAGTGAAGGAGATTGATAAAATTTCTAGCCACAAACAGTTAGACACAAACAGTTGAAATCAAAAGGACCAAAATCGACAAATCTTCACGATTCTATTATATAGCAGGGTAGGAGGTGGCAATCTGGAGGCCTGATTTGTGTCCAACGTCATAGGTTTGGATGTGTACAGACTTCCCCTGAAATGAAAAAAAAAATACATGGACAATACATGGAATGACTTGCCGTTAATTTTAAATTGCTGAGACCAACAATGGAAAAGATCTTATATTGCATCCCTAACCGCTGCTTTATAAAAAAAGTAAATGAAAATAAAATTTAAAAAACTTCAATTGAAATGACAAAATAATCAAATTAAGCTTCATACAAATAACTGAGTAATTAATACACTGGGATTCGGGAAAATCTGTCGTCCATGAGGTCCACTTACGGCTAGTATGATAGGACAGCGGCTGTTAGTCCTGGCCAGCGCGCACATAGTGTATACAGCTATGTCGTACTCAGGAGAGGTCCCTAGAAAGAAACTGGACTGGGACTTGCTCTTTCCGGACCACTCCATGCGGACTTTGAGAACTTGGGGCTGGAAAATAAAAACCAAACAGATGGCGTTATACCCGGTTATTTGTTATTCATGCTTTTTTCGTTCACTCAGCGATCCATCTATCTCTCTTGTTTCAAAATATCACATTATACACTAACAAAAGTTATGCAGTGGAGAAGAGAAGTAGTAAATGTTAATTTAACCACACCTTGGGTTTTGTTATGTTTCAACCGAAAATCATCTCATCCATATGGTTTATTCTTGTGTGGTAACAGTCCGAAAAAACGAGACATTCACAATTAACCTTTATTGAATACAGTAAGCCCTCTTGTACAGTAGTAAACTAAATATGACGATTGAGCAGAAGTTGTCGAAATTGTGAAAACATTTGGTTTCCCAAAAAGGATAAACTGGCCTTCAACACAAGAACAAGGATCCCTACTGCTTAGTACCCTACCGATGTATCCACTGACAAAATGAATCCAGTGTACGTTAAGCTGCCCGCTTTCTCCAGCTGATAAAACCGGAACCAGTTGTGAAACCCGGTGACCGACGAGGGCTCTAACTCCCCGACCATCACGTGCTCGAAGCCGCTACTGTCCACGGGGCCTGAGGATGACCGCGGGTACAGCCGGAACCACAGTTCATCGAGAAGATCACGGAACACAGAATCGGAACTAGTGTATCCTTTGATATGAAAAAACTTGTTCTTAAATAGAGGATTTTTTTAGACGAAAATGTCATTTTTCCAATATAGGTCTTTATAGGGATCTGTTCAAATGCTTTTTTGTTTTATTTTTACATTTGCAGTTTTTAAGAGACTGTTGTTCTGTGATTGTTTTGATGAAGAGTGGAGTTTGTATCGTACGCTTTACAGGGATTGTAATGCAGAATGATCGTATTCGTTGGTATTTTGTCGCTAAATATCTGTATGTATTGACCTTTTTGCTTCAGGAAAGTTATCAGTGTCACCATAACGGGAGTGGTCAAAATATAATCCAGATACTGGTTAATCTCGTAGAGCTCCTCACTGCTGAGGGTCTCTAACTGACCAGTATACGGGTTGTAGTTGTCAAGAAGGGAAAAAAACAGCGAGTAAGATGGCTTCTGCAGTAGCGACGCCTCGTTCACATAGTAGAACAACCTGTGTCAAAAAGAGATGGCAATGTTTTAGTAGTTCGTCCATTCTTGTTTGTACTTTCGTCTAAAAAAACAACAGGGAGAGAGAAAAAGAGGGGGGTTAGAGAGAGAGAGAAAGAGAGAGAGAGAGAACGTTACAAGTGTATGTGTGTGTGCATGTGTGTATGAGAAATAATGTGTAAGTGAAATTACTGTACTCCGAGGTCCTCCAGAATGACGTCACTTGAAGCAGCTTTGTTGGAGTCTACGTCATACAGTTCCTCGGCAAGTTGTGACAGCTCGTCATCAGTGATTAAGACAGGACAATGCCGGTCTGAAGGGAAACAATTAATAGACTACATTTCAAGCAAAGAGGTATATTATGGGCGCTAAATAAACTTCACGATACGATTTTCGACAGTTTCCCTCTTTTCCCATTGTATATTTTACTTTGTTTACATATTCAGTCACAACATTGTATTCAATTGCAGTTTTAGATAAAAGTATGAATTTTAATGGTCCCGCCATTAACAGGAGAAGACGAAATTGCATTCCTTTTTGCGTTCAGCAGACAAAATTACCACGTTGTACTTACATTATATATTTTCAAATAGTCCTCCTATGTTTTACTAAATGCGTTCACCCCCATTACACCCATTGTACCTCATAGAAGATGTGCTACCCAAAACTATCCCCCCCTTACTCCCGGTGTAACATGAATGCAAGTCCAGGCTCCCGTATGATTAGTACAGGTTAGGGTTAGCTGGAATATTGGGATTAGTTTATAGGAGGAATGTCACCCGTACAAAGTAATGGGAAGCGGACTTCCATTCCTGTTACACTCAATATTGCACCCACACAGGCAGCACTCCAAATAGTCTTCACAGCATTCGTCGTTACACTGACAGGAGCGGGTACGGTCTAGCAGAGCACCGCAGCGACCGTTACAGCGCTCTGAAACAAAAAAACATACAAAATCCTAAAATATGTCGTGAATGAAAACAGAAGAGTCCACTACAGAGTCTCAAAATAACAACATTTATTTATTTATTTATTTTTTTTCATTTTTACCTGCCGAGCAGCTGAGCAGGTCTATAGGTCGCTGTTTTCATCTTCTTTTAACATTTTGGAAACCGGAACCATTACGCTGCAGTTTTTTTCCCTATTCTTAAGCTTGTTTAATACGGGTTTAATTCTCGCAAATGTACAATAACATAGTTGTATCGCTAAAAATGATTGCGATTGCACATGAATGAGTAGGTTTTTAATTTTTTTTAAATTGTCTTTAAAATCATTTCACCGGGAATCTCAGTGGCGGATTTGGAGGGGGAGGTCAGAGGGTCCTGACCCCCCTTCGATTTCAGGTCCCCTCTTGTAATTAGAATTTTGACTAGCTGAATCATAGTTCTAAACCGTACCAAATGGCACCGTTCAGCAGGTCCCGAATAATCCTGTATCCGCCTCTGCACATATTTCTGGGAAAAGGGAGAACGGGAGGAGGGTGACTTGCCCTCTGTGCCCCCTTTCCAGACCCTGCGTTTCTGCGCAGAATTGGGGGAAATTAAGCATTTATAATTAGTTTCTATGGCTGTATTCCCAGAGCTTTTAGATCGATCTATCCCTGCGGGGAGTCTCACTAGATTACTGTCAGATAATCCGGCTTAAATGTCCGTCCCGCCTACTACAAGCTGTAAGGGGGTAATTAAGTTTCGTGTCCGCTCGGCTGACAGCTATTTAGCGTGAACCCCCAGGGAGTTAGGTCGATCTAAAGTAGATCGATCTAATCTCTGGAAATGGGGTCTAAGTGTACATGTATGTGATAACCTGGGCTACCGAATCAGCCATATCGACCAGCAAAANTTTTCGGTGTCCGCCTCGGCTGACAGCTATTTAGCGTGAACCCCCAGGGAGTTAGGTCGATCTAAAGTAGATCGATCTAATCTCTGGAAATGGGGTCTAAGTGTACATGTATGTGATAACCTGGGCTACCGAATCAGCCATATCGACCAGCAAAAAGTATCCTTTTCACAGGTGTAGACAGGGTATGTTGATGCTACAGTGCAAAGGAAAATGGGAATGAAGAATAATATTTCTACTGATAACCTACAATCTAAATGTAGTAACCATTCCAATAACGTATTCAATTCCTTTGTTCATTCTAACGTTTCGTCCATTTTGACAGTTTAAAAGGATAAACATGGTTGATACCATTGTCATTTTTAAAAACTTCTGTTCGTATAAATACAGATGTTGCACTGATTTGGTGGATTTAGGTAGCTTCTGCCAAAGTAACAGTCTGGTGTTCAAATGGAATCTGTGGTAAATTTCCATGGACGAATATGGCTGCCGTTGCCCAAGTATCCAGCAAAATTAAAACCTTCTTGAAAAAAAAACACATCAAACCTTCTTAATCAAATTTCATCAAAGAAAATTTAGGCGCAATATATTCTGTTTAAAAGGATAGCAACTGTTCCTTTTTGAAACAAAAAAGGGTTTTCTGAGGTAAATGACGAATTTCCAATACTGACCAATCGTTCATGAATCCTTGCTAACATTCAAAGTAAGTCCACGTATTTCCTAAAAAGTTTGGTTTTTGTAATAGTCCTTTAAGAGATCATTACGGAGGTATAGCCATCTATGAAGGTCCATAGTGTCTGATGGCAAGTAAGGAATACAGATAATTGCAATAACCGAGGCTTTGGTGGCAAAGTGGAATTTTTTTTCATTAGTTGTTTACAATTTTTGTTGTGAAATACATATATGAACCTCATGCAGACAATTGTTATCCCCTAAAACATGGATGTGACCCAAGGTTCTTTAAGCCGCTATCTATCATATCTACTGTTAAAAGCATACCCGGATAGCGTTTAAGTTCCTAGTGAAAAATAAATATACTCCAGCCGTTTTGGATATTGGTACTGGTACTTTAATATTATGCGGCGGAGTTTTAGCATAACCACCATATTGCAGGAAATTAATTGTATTGCATTAAAAAAAGCACAATCTTTTAACTGCAATTGCCTACCGTATGAAAATTAGACAGACGTTGATTTTTAAAGTATATGTACGAGCAAAATATACAAATAAAGACAACAAACAAACTCACCCATAAAGGTATGTATTGTTGACTACACTTGTCCCAAATTTCTATTCTCCTATTATCGTTTCCTGTCAATATCACCTCAATCAAATTCATCTTGAGAGTTAAGGAGGTTAAAAATAAATTGATGATTGCATTGACCCATATTCACTCATTCTCAATATAGATTAATGCTAATAAGTTAAGCAACACTTTTTTATTTCTTAATTTTCTCGGCAACCAAGCATTTTATTGTAGCAAAATATGTACAGAGCAGATGTTTGCAGATGGTCAGTTAAGAGTCCGGAGAGGTCCAAAGCAATTGCAAGCGTTTCAGGACGATTTTGTTCTCCCACGTGTGTAGGGTGCCGGAAGGTTTGTCTGGGTCGGTGTCTCACATGATGAAAAATCACCACTGTACGTCATTCAAGGGATGTTTCATTAGTGAACGATACAGAGAAGAATTCCTGTTGGGGCGCATATATTTAGGCAAATCCAGCCACAAACACTTCTTTAGAGCAGGACAATGCGCCCATCAATGAAGCAAGACGCGCTGCAACATCATGGTATCCTCAATATGGGGGGGGGGGGGGGGGGGG